GCCTCTCCAAAAGCCAGTAGCGAAGGATAGTTTGTCACAGGGCTGTAGTAGGGAGTTATGGGTTAACGTAGAGTATGGGGGCTGTAGTTGGGACTAAAGGACTGTAGTAGGGTGTAGGGTCTGTAGTAGGGGGTTAGGGCTGTAGTAGGGTGTAGGGGCTGCAATTGAGGGTTAGGGGCTGGAGTAGTAGGCTAAGTGCTGTAGTCTAAGTTGTCTAAGGAGGGATGCTATGTTTAACTTGCTATGTCTTTCAGATTTCCTTACAAAAGAGTTGATATACACGATACTCTATGGGAATTCCATTGTATCATTCACCTGTCATTCCATAGAAAAAAGCTATAATCCCAGTTACTTTTAATGTTACAATCCGCTGCTGTATTCGGGGAACACCTGTGGTAAAGGTTAATTTGCTATGTAACACAGATTTGCCTGCAAATGAGTTTATATTCTACTTCCCATTAAACTCTCTGGGCATTCTCTTAAGTCATTCGCCCTTGAGAGTGAACTTGAGTATGCCTGCAAAAGATTTACTTGATATGTTTCACGGTTCAGATTCCAAGTCACATATTGCTTCCCATTATACTCTAAGGGCATTCCATTGTATCATTTAGCTGTCATTCCATAGAAAAGAGCTATAATCCCAGTTACTTTTAATTTTACAATCTACTGCTGTACTTGGGGAACACCTGTGGTAAAGCTTAATTTGCTATATAACACAGATTTACCTGCAAATGAGTTTATATTTTACTTCCCATTATAGTCTATGGGCATTCTCTTTAGTCATTCACCCATGTCATTCCATAGAAAACATTAATAATCCCACCTAATCTCAATTTAAAAAATTGACGCTGAATCTGGAGAGTATTGTAGCAAAAGATGTATTTCATATGTGTAATAGTTTTGTCTCTAATTGAAATATTTTGTTTCCATTATTCTCTATGGGCATTCCTTTTACTTCCATTATTCTCTATGGGTATTCCACCGCCTTGTTAAAGTCAATGGGAATTCTAATCTGTCATTCCTTTTAGGGTTATCCACTAAAGTAAGCATTTAAAGTGAATTCAAAGTCAATTTCAAATAATAAGACCAAAATAATCAAACTGGAAACATTCTTTAAATCAGTTTTGCTTCCAGTGCAGCTATCATGACCTTAAAGGAACACACTTGTATTCCTAACAATATAGTGTCCCCTTTTCCATCCCCTCTCCTTCCCAGTTAGAGGGTTAAAAAAACAACTTTTCTCACATACCTTATTCCAGAGCTCCGCCTCCTCCAAGTAGTAGGAGTAAGGAGTACCTAATGAGCATGCGAGCACCCATCACACATTAGGCTTTCCTATTGGGGGATTTGTAGAAGTTGGATGTCCTCATGCAAAGCGTGACAACATCCAGCGGCGTTTCAACAAGTCAAACTCCATGAAACAGCAGGAAGCGCCTCTAGTGACGGTCTGGTAGATGCCCATAGGGCATGGAGGAGGCATTAGAATGTCCTTCCATTTTTTGTATTTAAAAGCCCTCACCTACTGGCCAACAAATCTCCATTATTATGATATAAAAGTCATACTGCACCTCCCCCAGACCCCATAGGATTTATTTTTTTTAACATAATTAATGTGTTGGCTGGCTAATAAACACTTGCCAGTGGCCGTATAATTAAGCCTCTGTTTTTAATCTTTCAGGATTATTATTATTATTTTTTTTCAGGAATTGTATTGGAGGATTGGAGACAGGCAGATGTGGTTCCTATATCCAAAATCTTTGCCTGGGAATTATAGACTTGTGAGCTTAACTTTTGAGGCTGTGAGAAATTTGTCTGGAATGCAGAAACACAAAGGAGAAGCTGCAGGGGTGAGTAAGGACTTGCAGGCCCACTCACCCTCACCTAAATCATGCCGGCGGCTTATTTCGCCACTAAAATGCCCGTTGGTGGGAGCTTCGTGCGACCTTCCGCACGCCCAGCTCCACAATCGTGCACGTATCAGCTGCAAGCTCCGACGGCGGCTCAGTGCGGAACTAACAAACTTCTTTCAAAATATGTTGAGGGGACATTGAGAGATGGTGTAGTCTGGAAATTTCTTGGTTGTGCAGAATAAATTCAGTCAAAATGACTCTCCTTCCTAAAATCTAATACTTTCTTAGAGCTATCCCTCTCACTATACCTTCCTCTTTTTTAAGAAGGTTCACTCAGCCCTTCTGGCCTTTGTCTAGAATAAAAATAGTAATTCAATTGGCTATTCTACAAAAACTCAGGGTTAATGAAGGTATGGGTTTGCTCATTTTGAGTCAGTATTATTTAGCAACTAATGCAGCCAATGCTCCTAAATTTAATTTGGTACATGGTCGCCCACTGTGGTTGGAGATGGAGGATACTAAGATCTATCCTTATAAGATAACTGAAATACTATGGTTACCCTCGTCACGGGTTCTTGGTACTTTTGTACTCCAGACAGAGAGACCGACCGTTAGCCCTGATTACATAGGCCTGGGCACACCCTAATCCCCGCAGCACGCCTATGGAGTGAGACCGGCAGGGGAGATCTCAGGATCTCCCCTGTCGGCTCATGCAGAGCCGGCCCTATCCGAGCGTCGGCTCTGCTCTCAGCCTCCCTCTCCACTGCAGCACGGAGGGTGGCAGGAGAGGACCCGGGGAGCTCAACCAGCAGCTCCGCCAGGTTCCTCTCGCGAGGTTGGAGCGTTGCCGCGGCAAGGCTCAGATCTCACGAGAGTGAACTCTAGCCCCACAGGGGCTAGAGTTCACTCTCCACTGGACCACCAGGGAAAGCAGCAGGAACAAGAATCCCCCCTCCCTACATAAGGTAAGAAGGGAGGGGGGGATATTAAGTAATGTACCCCCACCTCCACCCCCACAATCACCCACACACACCCACACACACATCACCCACACAGCACCTACACAAACACAGCACCCACACACACAGCACACACACACCACCTACACACATACAGCACACACATACACACAGACACACAGCACCCACACACAGCACACACACACATACAGCACCCACACACAGCACACACACAGCACACACATACAGCAGCCACACACATACAGCACCCACACACATATAGCACACACACATACAGCACCCTCACACACATACACCACACACACACAGCACACACACACAAACAGCACACACATACAGCACACACACACACATACAGCACCCTCACACACATTCAACACACACATACAGCACACACACACACACATACAGCACACACACACAGCACACCACACACATACAGCACACACATACATACAGCATACACACACACATACAGCACCACACACACACAGCACCCACACACACACAGCACAGACATACAGCACCAACACACATACAGCACCCTCACACACATACAGCACCCACACACACATACAGCACCCACACACACATACAGCACACACACACATACATACAGCACACACATACAGTACACACACACCTACAGCACTCACACAGCACACACATACAGCACCCCCACACACACACAGCACACACATACAGCACCCACACACAGCACCAACACACACACACAGCACCCTCACACACATACACCACACACACACACAGCACACACACACATACAGCACACACATACAGCACCTTCACACATAGAGCACACACACATACAGCACCCTCTCACACACAGCACAGAAACAGCACCCTCACAAACACACACAGCACCCTCACACACACAGCACACTAACAGGACCCTAACAAACACACACACACACACACACACACAAACACCCTCATACACACACAGCACACAAACAGCACCTTCACACACACATCACACTAACAGCACCCTCACACACAGCACCCTTACACACACAACACCCTCAAACCACCCTCATGCAGCACACACACACACACAGCAGTGTATGTATGTGTTGTGTATGTGTGTATATATATATATATATATATATATATGTATGTGTGTGTATATATATATGTGTGTCTATGTGTATATATATATATATATATATATATATATATACACAAACACATACATATACACGCGGCGTGTGTTTGTGCTTTAGGGTGCACACCCTAATGCAATAGGCTGCGCACGCCTATGCCGGATTCCCTGGAACTGTTTTGGGCATAGGACCATGTGCACGGTCTGTCAAAATTATGACTCCCATGGAAATCCTGAACCCCTGATCGATCTGGGTGATTTTTGGATATGTTGGTCACCCAGATTAGGGCTTTTTTAGGGGATGTAACTTTTGGGGGTTTTCCATGGGTTTTGGGGGTACTTTTAGAGTGTTGTTAAAAGTTGTGTTTTTTGTGCCTGGAGATAATTGAGTTAGTTCAGTTCCTGACTCAGTTATCTCCCAGGCATAGGGGAGGGATTGTCTTGTTTTGTATGGGAGTGTCCTGGACCTGAGAGCCAATGCAATTGTATTTATGTTTTTACTGTAGTCTACTCTCTGGTCCAGGGGGGAGTGCCCCTTGCATGGGGACTGTCATAAAAGGACAGCTGTGGCTGCCATTAAACAGAACAGTTTACCCATTCAAGTCTTGGCTCATGTTTGGGGGATTGGAAAGCTATATTCACTCTGGGGATTGCTATAATCACTATTCTCCCATGGACACAACGATTGCACTTGTAAGAGCTTGGGTCCAGGGTGGGTGGAGGACAGCGAGACCCCAACCAAGCTGCGGCGGTTTGTGGGGTATACAGTGGTTATGGTGTTCCAGTGCAGTGCTTATGGTGCTCGCAAGTACTAGAAAACAGCGACAGACGGAGGTACCCGGTAGTGGTGCCAGGCCGTCCGTCACACCCTCCTCTCTTCGGCCGCGAATGGCCAGACATCAACACATAAAGTTATTCAATATTATTTTTAAAAACCAAAACGAGACACAGCAGATCTGAGATCTTTTTTTTTTTTTTTTATTGTTATTTGTTATAATGCATAATTGACATAATGTCAAGTACTGGATGATTCCCCCCCTACCCCCATCCCCCACTGTTCAGTTTGGTGCCATCCAGACTTTAGTGGGTACCCCTGTCAGTATCAATAGGTTTGTTTAGAGAAGAATAGTGAAGGCATTTCTGGATTCCTTAAGAAACATATATTATTCAATGCAGATACACACAGTGCAAACATGTTGATATGCAGCGACCCCCTTTTCTTCTTCCTTTGTCTTTTTCTGACTTCTCTTCCTGCTTCTTGTCCACACACTTATCTTGCTTTCAAGTAATCTGCTTATGCTTGCCATACTATTGTAAAAATATACTGTATACTGAATAAATGCAAAAGTAATATTTTTATTGAAAAAGGTTTTCATTTGTATTTTTTTAAATAGATTTACTAGTAGACTTGTTTAAAGTCAGAGACTTTTTTTCTGAAAAAAAAGGGAAGCTATTGTGTGTAGCTATTCCACATCCACCATGTTGTCATTTACATACATCACTTATATATTCACATGAATATATATGTATATATACACACACACACACACACACACACGTGACTGTGGCCCCATAGGAGAGACCTCACGTTACAATCCACCCCAAACATCACAATCCACCCCAAACATTACCTGCCATTTTCCCAGAAACATTCATCAAGTTCCGATGTACTGAAGGCAGTTTAGAAGATACTAAAGTACCAGTATTTGTGTCTCACTCTGTGGCTATTTTATTTCCCATTGTTACATTGTTAATGCAATTTTCTGCACATGAAGTTCTTACTGTATTCTGTATATGCAGTCTATTAGCATTTTCAGTACGTGATTATTAACTTTTGGGGACATATAAACTATTGGAGAAACTATTCAATATTAAAGCAACATTTCCCCCCCTGCCCACCCCTTTACCCAGCATTGCGTTCCTTCACCTAAATGATTTTCCTTATACTATTCCATCTAGGGGCCTGACATCACAATCCATCCCAAGCAATATTTGCAATTTTTTCAGTAAGCATTTCCCATCCACCCAGTTTCTGCTTGCTTTATAACATGCCTTTCCACGTGTTTGGCACCATTTAACTATTCAATCACATCAAATATTAGCAATATATGCAAATACCCTAAGCATACTTATATATTACCTTCATAGCTCCCCTGCTACTTCTTGTCTCACGTGCCCTTCATAACCTTTAGATTGTAAGCTCACGAGCCATTTAGCTTAGTACCCCTTAAATAAGATAAAAACTCATCTTTATTCCAGCGCTGCCCCCGATCCGCCTCCTTGGCTGGGAGCATCAGAATTGACAATCTCAATTGATGATCTTTTACTAATTCTAATGATCTCAGACAAGGAGGTGGGTGGAGGGGAGGATCCAAACGTGTCTTCCTGACACTACAGTGCGGAAATGCTGCATTAGGTCCCCAGCCCCCTTGCATCGCAGAGCATGGAGATGCTAAATGGCAGTATATTTACATGAAAATGCCTGGAGGGACTGCCTATACTTACCAGAACAACTACATTAGGCTGTAGTTTTTCTGGTGACTATAGTGCCCCTTTAATTTGGAAATATCCATAACACTGTTTCTAATCTTTCAGGAACGTACAGAGGATTGGAGAAAAGCAGATATGGTGTCTATATTTAAAAAGGGTTCAAAAGCTCAACCATGAAGCTATATCCCTGTGAACTTAACATCTGTGGTTGGGAAATTATTTGAAGGGTTGAAATAATATTCAGGAATTCCTTTTGAACAATAGCATTAGTAGAAATCAACATGATCTATAAAAGATAGGTCATGCCAAACTAACCTAATTATATTCTATGAAAAAGTAAGTAGGAATAAAGATCGCGATGTTCCCTTTGTTTGCATGGTGTAGAGGAAAAAAAGGGAAGAACATCTACAGTCATGTCTTTTGTATGTGCTTTCTGTCAGAGTTATTCACAAGGGAGAATTCAAGGTACATAGTAGTTGAGCTGAAAGCATTGCTGACTATTTTGGTCTTAAATTGGAAATCATTTTTGAATTAGCTTTAAATTCTCACTTTAGTGAATAACTCTGAATGTCTCTCTGAATGCATCCTTATCAAGTACAGAACTTGCCTTTGCTAATCTCTTACTATCCATATTAAAATAAAAGGCAAAATATACTGATAATTAACACAAAAATCTAAGTTTATTACAACAGTATAAAATTAAAACACAAAAAATACTTGAAACCAGAAAAAACTCCTCAGAGGACAAGCTCACGTTAAGAAAAGCTGGGAAATTTGCCCTACCAGTGGAAAAAATAAATCTTGCCTTGACAAAGTCCTCTTTAAGGTCAAAACGTAGTGGGGTCATTTAATGGCTGAATAAATCACTTTCTCACAATATTCTGGGCGGAGGATTTTCATGATTTTTACAGTAAAAATGCAGTTACATTCTGACCAGATATCATATTTAAGTTATTCTTGATTTATTTCTTTGAATTATTTTACCACGCTAAAAAAAACATTTAATAAAGATGTGTGTACCTTTCTACTTATGATTATTTGTGAACAATCCACTTTGATGCTATGGAATTAACTATGGTATTTGCTAACCACAATCTAGTTAATTTAAAGGGACACTATAGTCACCAAAACAACTTTAGCTTAATGGAACAGTTTTGGTGTATAGATCATGCCTCTGCAGTCTCACTGCTCAATTCTCTGCAATTTAGGAGTTAAATCACTTTGTTTATTAACCCTAGTCACACCCCCCTGCATGTGATCTGCACAGCCTTCCTAAACACTTCCTGTAAGAGTCTAATGTTTATACTTCCTTTATACTTTGTTTAGAATTTCTTATCTCCTGCACTGTTAATAGTTTCCCAGACCCTACAGGAACCTCCTGTCTGAGATTAAAGTTCAATTTACAGAGCTGGAGATACAACATAATTAAATTAAGTTGCATCTGATTGAAAATGAAACCATTTTGTTTTCATACAGGCTGTGTCAATCAGAGGCAGGGGAGGTGTGGCAAGGGCTGCATAAACAGAAACAAAGTGATTTAACTCCCAAATGGCAGAGAATGAGCAGTGAAACCTGAGAGGCATTATATATATATATATATATATATATATATAAACACACACACACACATATATATATATATACACACATATATACACAAACTAAAACTGCTTCATTAATCTAAAGTTGTTTAGGTGACTATAGTGTTCCTTTAAACTAAGCAATCAATGACAAAATAGCTGCTAAAATGTAACACTAATTTGTTGCTTCTGTAGAGCAACAGAGAAGGGACTGATGTATGCTGGTTTGGCATTGACATAGGCTTCAAATGGTTCCAACAATCGACCCATTATTGTTAACTTGAATAATATGAAAATGTGTCATACTTTTTACTTTGTACCACATATTCTCTACTTTATGTGAGCAGTGTCGATTGAACAACCTCATACAAGTAAGATATTGCAAAAGAAAAAGTGATCCTAGGGCAGAAATGTCAAGGATACACGGATAGGATATAGCAGAGTTTTCTGTTACTGATAAAAACCATAAGCTTATTAATCATCATAAACAAAGAAAATAATAATAAAAAACACAAACTACCACAAAAATAAACACATAAAGAGGAGATAATGAAGCTCAGTAGGCTATGAAGGGGAGGCCAAATGAAGTTGCAATATCAGAGGTTAGATACTCCGATATGGCATGTAAGCCACCTATAGAAGAAATATGAATAGCTATAGAACCTATATTGGAGACTGGGTAGATCTCCAAGTACCCCTAGTGTGAAGCCAATAAGTTGTAAAGTCCTAGAACTGATAATGTAAATATGCACTGAATAGACATTTAGCTAACCTCTAGCCCTATTGATCCAGATATAGCAAATCTCTTGGTATAAAATAGTGAACAGCTAATTCACAAGTTGGACACTTTATCTCCAAATGGCCTCAATGAAGGCTTTACTTTTACCCCTTTTATCGAATCTTAGACCATACCCTAATGAGTATATATCAGTTAACTTGTTACTACCTATACTGATTTAGGATTTGTATCATAATCATGGACCATTGAGGACAATATACCATTACATGGATCATATGTATTCATTGCGCTAGTCTATATCTGTCTACATTTACACCTGTTTGGAGTATTGTTCTCCTTAATTTAAGAAAGTGTGTGTTGACATTGTTTAAACTGTTATAGCCACTTAACATTGTGACTCTAACCTAATTAGATCTTCTTAATTTAAGATATTTATAATCTAGACTCAAAATAAGACATGTCATACCTATTCCTGTCGGTTATAACTATGGCTACTGTATCCTTAGGGCTGATGAACCTTTGCATTGTAATCTAAAATACCATATATTGTTTAACACTGGGGGATTTGACAAGAAAGTGACATCTTTATTTCTTCATTAGGAGCCTGCTGTGATCAGTGAGAATGTATATTTCTTGTTTTGTTGTCGATGACATCTCCTCCTGAACGTGATATGGTATACACTGCCGAGATTGTGTCCATGGCAACACAATAAACACATATATCCGTGATCGGCACTAAGCTCCACCCACTTTAATCAGATTGGTGCATTTACGGATGAATGACAGAAGTTAGTAACCACTCTGACTTGGGGGCGTGTAAATGTAACGCCGCCCATTGTCTCATGGATTGGCTCTGCACAATGCCACTTCAGGTACAAATACATGCTCAGGTTAGTGTCCTCATTGATAGCCTTTGAGAAAGGCGCTCGTTTAAGCGCCGAAACGCATTAGGCTCATGATTTTTTAAACTCACAGCACTTTTATTTTAGAACTGTTTGGGGGTGTTAATTTAATTTATGGGGAATAGAAGCCGGATTTAAGCACTGTTTAGAAAGGGACTTTGTCTCCTAATTACCCAGTAGCCTTCCTATACACAGGATTAATAATGGATAGCTTTTAGCACAATATGTGCAAAGGTTTAGTGTGGACAATCACTTGGAATTAGCTGTTCACTATTTTATACCAAGAGATTTGCTATATCTGGGTCAATAGGGCTAGAGAGTTTAGCTAAATGTCTATTCAGTGCATATTTACATCATCAGTTCTAGGACTTTACAACTTATTGGCTTCACACTAGGGGTACTTAGAGATCTACCCAGTCTCCAATATAGGTTCTATACCTATTCATATTTCTTCTATAGGTGGCTTACATGCCATTTAGGAGTATCTAACCTTTGATATTGCGACTTCATTTGGCCTCCCCTTCATAGCCTACTGAGCTTCATTATCTCCTCTTTATGTGATTATTTTTGTGGTAGTGTGTGTTTTTTATTATTATTTTCTTTGTCTTTGTTTATGATGATTAATAAACTTATGGTTTTTATCAGTAAAAGAAAACTCTGATATATCCTATCCGTGTATCCTGGACATTTCTGCCATAGGATCACTTTTTCTTTTGCAAGTCTATATTTAGGGTTACCCCCTATCTGGATATCTTCAGGACACACTCCATAGTCCCTGCCTAAGGGAGGGATTATTTTCTGTTTTTTCCTTCCAAGTAAGATATTGTGCTGAGGTTTCTTATCAAAGTAAGGGTTTAACTGGATTCCTCCATATCCAGTACATGGCACTGTAGTAGTTATGGTACCAGGACAGCCCTGGAGTCTCCCTAATTGTAAGTAGACAAACCATTTTTCCATTTTGATCAGTTTGACTTCTTACCTTGGGTTTTTTAGACACCTCCCATATCTTAGGCTAAGAAAAAACGATTACGTCTCCTGAGCTGCACTAGTTAGCATCACCTAATCGCTCTCAGCCAATAAGCGAAGCTCTGTACTGCCAAACTTAGCTCAGATCGGCTCTGTTGGTGGTGGTGGAGTGGATTATGGGGCCTTAAGTGTTCCTTTAAAAAAATTTAAATGTCTACATTCTATATTTGAAATTCAGCTTTCTATAAAACAAGCTGACACAAACATACAGAACAGAAATTACATGTCAAACTTTAATGAATGCTATTATTGGACACTGAATTGTAATTTCAGTATAAAAAGAAGTCATTCTTTAATTCATGCTTGTTTTTGTTTCTTATTCTTCATCAGAAGAAGTTTTCCTGTAATAGAAAATAAAGATTTTAAATTCTGTACTTATTATATCAATAGAACTAAGAGTGGAAGAAAACCGTTTGGCTCCAAAGAAATATGAGATTTGTAAACAAACTTGACTTTAAAGGACCACTATAGTGCCAGGAAAACATACTCATTTTCCTGGCACAATAGTGCCCTGAGGTTCCCCTCCTGCCCAGCTCTGGAAGGGGGAAAGGGGTAAAAACTTACCTTTTTCCAGCACTGGGCGGGGAGCTCTTCTCCTCCGATCCGCCTCCTCTCCTCCCCGTCGGCTGAATGCGCACGCGCGGCAAGAGCTGCGCACGCATTCAGTCGGTCGCATAGGAAAGCATTATCAATGCTTTCCTATGGACGCTGGCGTGCTCTCACTGTGGAAATCACAGTGAGAAGCACGCAAGCGCCTCTAGCGGCTGTCAATGAGACAACCGCTAGAGGCTTTGGGGGAAGGCTTAACCCATTCATAAACATAGCAGTTTCTCTGAAACTGCTATGTTTATAAAAGAATGGGTTAACCAAAGCTGGACCTGGCACCCAGACCACTTCATTAAGCTGAAGTGGTCTGGGTGCCTAGAGTGGTCCTTTAAAGGAACAATATAGCGTTAGGAATACAAAAATGTATTTCTATAGTGTCCATCTGCCTTTTTCCCTCTAGGTCTTCCTCCCATGTCTAATGTGTACAAATCCTTTTATCATTTACCCCTTTCTGGTGCTGAATCGACCTCCTCCTCCAGTGATGTCACACTGCGCACACATTAGACCAGGGGTCCTCAAACCTTTTAAACAGGGGCCCAGTTCACGGCCCCTCAGACACTGTTGGTGGCCGGACTATAAAAAATATTAACTTATTCCTATGCACACTGCACACACACGCATAAGGACATAAATACACACACACACATACTGACATACATATATATATATATATATACTTATCTACATACATACACAATACACATACAGACACTCACAGACATACATACTGACATAAATACATACACACACACACAGACATACATACTGTCATAAATACATACACACACATACTGAAATACATACACACAGACAGACATACACACACACAGACAGACATACAGACTGAAATACATCCACATACATTACATACACACACACACTGACATACATACATATACAGACATATATACACACACACACACACATACACACACACTGACATACATAGCTAATTTTGCTTACCTTTTTTTGCAGAAGGGTGGCTGTGGCTGACGGTAGTCGGCGTAGCTCCCGCGACCTGGCTCTCTTCCCTCCTGCGCTGAGGGAGCTTGGAGGAAGTGAATACCGGCCATCATTCCTCCCAGCACTACTTTGCGGCTGCGATTTTTTAAAGGGACCCGGTCACGCTATTGCACGGCCACAGCGCTGACCAGGCCCCTGAAGATATAGGGCCCATTGGGTGGCCCTGAGTGCTTGGGCCGGGTTCTGGACCCTGGCGGGCTGTAGTTTGAGGACCCCTGCATTAGACCTTCCACATAGGAAGGCACTGAATCAGGGATTTTATACTGAGATTTTAAAAACTCTGGACATCCTCATGCAAAGTTAAACTCCTAGAAAGTCAGGAGGTGCCTCTACTGGCTGTCTGGAAGAGGGCGTCTTAACTGTGCAATGTAAATGTTGCAGTTTTTCTTAAAGTGCAATGGTTTACATTGCAGGGCTAAGGGGACAGGGGCACTGCACGCAGACCACTGCAATGAGGTGAAGTGGTCTCGGTGCCTATCGTGTTCCTTTAAAATTTTAGAGGTTGTTCCTTAAACAATAAATTGTCAGGATGGAATTCAGGAGAGATTTTGTTTTTAAATTGAAGTTTATAAATAGAGTCATAAAAGATCGTCCATTTCAAATGAGATACATCTCATCAACATTTTTGTGTATACCGGTTAACGATGTCTAATTTTTTTTTTTAAAGTAAACTATCAAATGAGTGTTCTCAGAAGCACGGACTAAGAAAAAAACAAACAATTAAAGAGGTTAAAGATATACAATAACGTAGTAGGCAGATAGATGTTCCAGCTTAAAGGGACACTCCAGGCACCTAGACCACTTCTGCCCATTGGAATGGTCTGGGTGCCAACTCCCACTACTCTTAACTCTGCAACTGTAATTATTGCAGTTTTTTATAAACTGCAATAATTACATTGCAGGGTTAACTCCACCTCTAGTGGCTGTCCTCAGTGGCTGTCCTCACCGCACTTCCTGGTGAGGACCTCCAGCATCGCTGATTTCCCCATAGGAAAGCACTGAAAAGCATTTTGAATGCTTTCCTATGGGGAGCTCTAATGCGCATGCGCGGCATTGCCACGCATGCGCATTAGGTCTCCCCGGCCGGTGGGTGGGATCAGTCTCGCCCACCGGCCGACGCAATCACAGGGAGGAGCGGCGGCGGAGGAAGAAGCAGCTAAGTGGGACATGTCGCTGCCTCTGGTAAGTCACTGAAGGGGTTTTCACCCCTTCAGCAACCGGGGATTGGGGGGTGGGAGGGAGAGGGGACCTGCAGTGCCAGGAAAACTGATTGTTTTCCTGGCACTGGAGTTTCCCTTTAAGTAAAGCAATTACATAGAGCTGGTTTGCTGGATGCTTTGTATTGACTCTTATTGGAGGCAAAGAGATGGATGACAAAAAGTCAGCTAGAGTCCCAGTCCTAGCACCAAGATCAGCCTATACCCTCCAGGGGCGCTTTGGTAAAATATTCTGGGTATAATAGCCCAAGTGAAGGCAGATCTGACATCCAGTTGGGGTCTTAAGGTGGGTCTAGTAACTTCAAGGTTCGGCCTCTCGGGAAGTCCCAAAATATGGCCCCAGTGTACTTAGGCCCGAAAATGAGCTGTGCCCAGCATAAAAAGTGCATTCGCTCCAATTTGCAGTTTAGTAAGTAACCCAATGTAAATGCGGGCTACAAAATTGATCAAAGGAAGGGAGTGTTTTAGTTATGAAGAAAGGTAACTAATTTAAATGTCTTTAGTTTGGAAAAACGGTGCTTCAGAGGGGATATGATAACAGTATACAAATATATTCAGGGCCAATACAAACCATTGTCTGGAAATCTGTTGATAAATAGGACTATACATAGGACAAGAGGTCACACATTTAGACACTGAGATTTAGTCTAAGGTAAAGAAAGTTGTTGTTTTTTACAGTAATAACAATAAGCATGTGGAATTCAATGCCTGAAGGGTTGGTTGTATCAGTCTATACAGATGTTTAAACAGCAATTGGATATATATTTGCAAAAACAGAATATGAAGGGACTTGATTTTCAATTAGTGGGGTATTAGCTTCTTGATCCAAGGAGATATGTGACTGCCAATCTTGGGTCAAGAATGTGCATCTGCCTTGGTTTTTTGCCTTCTTTTGGATCAACAGCAAAAACAAATGTGAGAAAGGCCGAACTTGATAGAAGCATTTCTCTTTTCAGCTATGTAACAATGTAGATTTTATACACTAAGCGATTAACTGGGACTTCTATTGTATTAAGCAGGAGACAAGCAAATACATTCACTCGGTATGTGTAAAACACAAAGGACTAAGAAAACAGTCTCTTTTAATACATCATTATCAACATGTCAGAACTATCAGGGTAACAAAGTATTGGATTAACTCACCCATCCAATGTCTTTTTTTGAGCTATGGGCCCTTATTCCTGTCTGCCGAAATCCTTCTCCATAAGGGTATGAATCATGGTTACTTTGAAGTTTTGAAGATAGTATGATAAATGAAGGTGCTTTTCTATCGATCTGGATCCCTCTCCTTCTGAAATATGCCTGCAAGGCATTTAAAAACTGTAGAAATAAATATATATGTTTTACCACACAACTGTGTAAAATAATCATGTTAATTCATATTTCAGTTGTAATCTTCCCTGTGAGTGTCTTGGCCAAGCCCATTCTGTAGCATACCCCCAGCAAATCAGCAAGGGATTGAAAATACAACTTCTTCAGCCTGTCAGTTTGAACTGCCTAGCACCATTTTATTATCTGTCAGTAACTTTGTTACATATCCCCACTGGAAAATTGTGAAGCACTACATAATATGTTGGCCTACAATACATACAAGCACACCACTGCACACAAATACACTTCTACATTCACAAACACTCTGTACAAAAACATGCTTACATTCAAACACAAAACCTACTCACAAATACAACTTAGCAAGGATGGGCAAATGGAAGACGCTAAGCTTAGAATGAAGGAAGTGGGATAGAGGATGGTGGGTAAAAGGAAAAGGAGGTAGCCAGGCGCTTTCTAAGTCCCCCCTTAGTCATCTGGCTTCTGAAACGGACTTTCATGAAGCCTGTCTGCGTGCAGGGGCGTCACTGATTGGCTAGAGTGGTCAGCTGATGTTCTAAACCAGTCAGTAACTTTTCGGTGATGCACAAGTTAGAGACAACTATGCAAAAAATACTAATTCTGTATGAATAATGAAAGGAATTCTATAGCATTAGGAATACAAGCCTGCACTCCTAAAGCTATAGTGTTCCTTTCACTAGTCAGAAATAGCCCCTCCTCATGCTTGCAATCAAAACTTTTAAAAAGATAAAAGTTTCACTTAAAGTTTTTCCAGTGCCAAGACTCCCCCAGCACTGCTTACCGCTCTGCTTCCAGCAATATCACGGAGGAGACATGGTTTAACATTGCAGGATTAAAAGGACAGGGCCACTGCACCCACACTACTTCATTGAGGGAGACTATAGCATCCCTTTAATAATTTAGGCCAAAAGATATCAAATGTATAAGGTTGTGTTGAAGTCTGGGGTTTGCCTTTTATGGTACAACATAAAAAGAAAAAAACTATATATCACTGCACACACAAAAACTACATTACATTTGTAACTACAGTATATACTCGAGTATAAGTCTAGTTTTTCAGCACATTTTTTGTGCTTAAAAACCCCCACTCGACTTATACTCGAGTCACTGTCTGTATTATGGCAACTTAGAGAGCCGCGGCCGTCAGAGCCATGGCAACGATCCGCGCGGCAACCAGACCTCGAAACTTACAGTGGAGGTGACCGTAACGGAGGAGAAGGGAGCTGACAGGAGCTGTAGGAAAGGTAAGTAAATGCTTCCTGCCGGCCCCCCCACTTCACAGCCCATGCCACTGGACCACCAGGGATTAAGATAGCCCTCCTCCCTGACCAGTTAACAAGCAGGGAGGGGGGACAAAATAAAATTAAAATAATAAAAAAATTATAATAATATTAAAATAAAAAAAATTAAAATAATAAAAATGCCCTCCCCCCACCCAGTTCACTACACAAACACACACTCTGCATTATATACACAGAGTGTGTGTATATAATGCAGAGTGTGTGTTTGTATGAGTGTGTGTGTTTGTATGAGTGTGTGTGTATATAATGCAGTGTGTGTATATATAATGCAGAGTGTGTGTTTGTATGAGTGTATGTGTATATAATTATAAAAATCACAGAATTTCATAGCCCCAAGTTTTAATTGTTGGTCACAAAACTGCACTCGACTTATACATGAGATCGACTTATACACGAGTATATACGGGTAGATGATTTATACTCCCATGCCAAACTGATTTCACCAAATGTCGGTCACATTTTCCTTCAGTTTTGATGTAAGGGTTTCAATACCTTGTGTTATTTCAAATCGAAAAATGGGCTGATGCAATAGTCCAATCAAATTAGCTAATTAATTTCAACATTCTATTAAGCTTTACAATCACTAATGAGGCTGCTTTGATTCACATTGTAGGAAGCAATCACAAACAATATTTCTTCTATGAACACTTAACTAATGGAACATTGTGGGGAGTCCTCTTGGGAGCTTTGCCATGTTCTTTTGTGGAGATGGAATAAGTCACCTGCATCCCTTTGTCCCAGTATATTAAAGACTGATAAAGTCAATAACTTAAGAGGTTGATTTGATATAGGAAGCTTTTAAAGTCCTATAAGTGTGAATCATCGTAATATTTGAACAACCTTGTGTTCTTAGATAACAATGACCCAACATGGTTGATGTGCATGTTATTGGCATTTATATTAGTTTATTACATATGTTATATATGTATATTTATAGATTTATGTACAAGTTATATTTAAATATAATAGGTTGGCGCTATATAAAAGGTCCTGCTTACATTAGAGCAATGTTTCCCAAACATTTTAGTACATGTACCACAGATTATTCCCAAAATCTTAAAAACATAAGTCAAGTAAAAGTGTCAGCGCTTAACCCCAGGGTTAAAGGAACACTATAGTCACCTAAATTACTAAATTTCTGTGCATGAGGATGTCCAGCATCTTGTAAAACCCCATAGGAAAGCATTGAGTCAATGCTTTCCGATGAGGGAAGGCTTAATGCGCTCATGGTGCTCGCAGGGCATGTGCATTAGGTTCCTGAATCTTGTTGACATCAGACGTGGAGCAGGAGATATAGATGCAGTGCTCGAGGGACTTGGCGCTGGAATCAGGTATGTTTTTAAAACCTTTCATGGCCAAGGGGCCGTGGAGGAAGAGGGGCTCTGTAGTGTTAGGGATACAGTTTTGTATTACTAACATTACTAGTGTTCCTTTAAGGGGTTAAGGTGATGAACATGATTCTGTTGTGTTCTGTCAAGTTATGAAAACCAGATGACACACATAGGTTTTTATTATTTGGGTTCATTGTGTCCTTGCTTATTGTGCAATGTTTAAAATGATTGTTTCTTTGCAGGCAATGTTTTTAAATGTGCGTTTGATTTGGTCTGAAGTAGTCCTGTTTTGGCATTGTTGCGCAAACAAGAATTCAGAGCACAAGAAAGAAGATTAATGTCCGATGTCTAGGTTGAGGCATTTATATAATGTATTTTTGTCATGCTGAGCTTAAAGGTGGTGTTGAAGGCTTTTTTTTTTAGATCAGATTGCATTCATATTTCTTTATCTGGTATTGATAGTCTCAGTGTTTATTTGCAAGAAATGAAATCCCACCATTCCATTTGGCTTCAGTTCATCCAAAATTCACTCTAAACATTGCATGGAAGAATTTTTTTTTTTTTTTTTAAAAGGGGTGTTTTATACATTTTTAGTAGGTGCTTTCGTTTTTTTCTCTGTTGAGCAGAAATTAGGGTGGCTTTTATTAGGGTAATGTAGTGATCTATACACTGATCAGCCACAACAATAAAACCATTGACAGCTGTAGTGAATAACATTGATTACATTGTTACGATGGCAAGAGTAGGGATACATTCAGGGACATATTAAGAGCCCAGTGGGCTTGGTGCTGACAATTATGAGGGGCCTAAGTATAGAATCTTATCGACCAAAACCACTAAAACAGTCATACCTCTCAAGCGTTATGTATCTGGTGGATGCAGCTAAAAGAAAACTCAGATTTTTAAAATATGCTAATCTCTCTCTAATTCATGCTTTCATCTTTCAAGAAAATTCATACCCCCTAACAGCAGTGTCCAGTGAAGCAGGAAGTCAATGGGCGGTGTAAAGGGTGGGCCACTGATGCGGATTATGTAACCAGATCTCCCCAAAGGGACGAAGATGCCTAAAAAGGAGGCGTGTCTGCCCAAAAAATTGGAAGGCTAGCCTGGCATTAATGCATGTCAGGCTGCCTGCCAATCATGCATGCTGGCCAACAGCATCCTGAGCGTGACATAAACGCGTCTAATAATGCGCTCGTTCCATGCTTTCTCCTTGTCTCCTTACCTTCTTGCTAGCAGGCAGAAGCTCCTGGTATACAGTCTGAGACAGAGAAAAGGTGGATGTAGTGAGTGTAGAAGAAAGGGAACATGCCACAGTGTTAGAGAGACCAAAGTCAGCATTACCGTAACTAATTTCATTTCAGTTAGTCCAAGTTTTGTTTCCATATATCTCTCTTAAGTTTCCATACTTACGCTAGAGTATGTAAAGAGTAGTTAGGGTTGCCACCTTTCTTGGAAAAAAATACAGGCCTTACTAATTTGCATAACTAATTATGTATATGTGACATCACATGATGTAAATCACAAGGAGTGACATAAGAGAAAATTCTGTAAAATTACCAAAAAAACTACAGTTTGATTCTGCTGTATAGATGGATTGCTCCCAGTGTCTCCCTGTCTCCCAGTGTCCAATAGTGTCTGTGTCCCCATGTCACTAGGGGACACTGTGAGACATGGGGACATAGACACTTGGGGACACTGTGAGACTTGGGGACACTGGGACTACGTATCCAAGTGTCACTATGCATCTGTGTCTCAGTGCCCCTAGTGTCTGTGTCCACATGTTTCCCAGTGTCCCCATGTCACTAAGGGACACTGAGAGACATGGGGACACTGAGACACTAGGGACACTGGGAGACATGGTCACTCGCAGTGTCCCCAAGTGTCTCAGTGTCCCATGTCTCAGTGACCCCATGTGTGTCTTTTTCCCCATGTTTCAGTGTCCCCAAGTGTGTCTGTGTTCCCATGTGTGTCTGTGTCCCCAAGTGTCTCAGCGTCCCCAGACGTCTCCTTGTGTCACCATGTCTCACAATGTCCCCATGTTTCCCTGCAGCCTTTACCCCATCCCTCACTTCCCTTAGCTGTAGGCTGTCTCTGCAGGCTGGGAGCTTCTGTCTGGGCTCTCTGTGCTGTGTAGCTGGTGCCCGCCTTGGATCAGTAAGTAGAGAGTTGCAGGTATATGCTGTAACTTCCTATCCCTGCATCTCTCCACACAAACAGTGACCCCTTCTAGCCAGTGCTGGTATTACAGAGTAATCTCTGTTTATACTGGGAAAAATACCAGCATGTGTATTGCCGGACTTACTTCAATATCGGCACAGGCCAGGCAGCTTCAAATAAATACCGGCCAGATGTCAGCCCTAAGAGTAGTGTGTAAAATAATAAGAAAAAAAAGTTTTTAAATCCGGCCATGGATATATTAGGCAGCACATGCTCAGTCAGTTCTGGAACTCATGTGTCAGAAGCAGGAAATATGGGCAAGGGAAAAGATCTGAGTGACTTTGACAAAGGCTAAATAGTGATGGATAGATGACTGGGTCACAGTATCTCCAAAATGAAAAGCCTTGTGGGGTGTTCTAGGTATGCAGTGATTAACACCTACCAAAAGTGTTGCAAGGAGTGACAACTGGTAAACCGGCATATGGGTCATGGGCGCCGAAAGCTCACTGATGCACGTGGGAAGCGAAAGCTAGCCCGTCTAGTCCGATCACACAGAAGAACTATTGTAGCTGAAAGACTTAATGCTGGCACTGATAGAATGGTGTCAGAACACTGCAGCTTGCCGTATATGTGGCTGTGTTGCCGCAGACCAGTCAGAGTGCCCATGATTGAGCATCTTAGGATGTCCTGAAACAACAAATCCAATCCATGGAGGCCCCACCTCGCAACTTGCAGGACTTAAAGGATCTGATGCTAATGTCTTGGGGCCAGATACCATAGGACAGGGGTCAGACATCTTGTAGAGTCCATGCCTCGCCATATCAGAGCTGTTTAGCAGCATGAGGGGCATCTACACGATATTAGGCAGTTGGTTTTAATGTTATGGCTGATCAGTGTATAGTAATACACGTAAATTACTTTGTAAATAGTAACTAAACAGTTTAGCAAATGCTATAATTTTCGCGTTCATGCATATTTCAAGGTATTTCCTTTACTAAGTATGAAGGTACCTCTTAAGAAAAAAGCAAGTAAATGCCATTCTTGAATTACACAATATACAAAACAAACATTGCAATGCAATGTGTCAACTAACCTAACTTGTTTTTCAGGATAATATAAACTTTATCACAGGGGGTATAGCTCAGTGGTAGAGCATTCGACTGCAGATCGAGAGGTCCCTGGTTCAAATCCGGGTGCCCCCTCAGAATCTTTTATTGTTTTATATATTTGTATATTTAACATCAGTTGGCATTCTATCAATAAAGTATGATAATCTTGTTAAAAACATGTTTGGCATACATTTAATAACAACCCTTTTAGGTTAATATCACGTTCTTTCTGTTTAAAAAAATTGCACAACAATTATTTTAAACTTTGAATGAAAAATATAGGATAACTTTAGACATTTTTGTAGGGAGACCTAAAATTGTGAAATGTATCTTTATTTCTTTACATATTTATTAGTTTATTCATTTACAGGGATACAATAGGCACCCAGACCATTTCACTCATTGAAGTGATCTGGATGCCATGTCCCTTAACCCTACAGTGGTAATTATTGCACTTTCTGAGAAACTGCAATAATTACCTGCTAGGGTTAACTCCTCCTCAAGTGTCTGTCTACCAGACAGCCACTAGAGGGACTTCTGGGTGCTTAGACGACTTTTGGTCGTCTAAATCAGTGTTTCCCAACCCAGTCCTCAAGGCACACCTACCAGTCCAGGATTTAGGGATTACCCAGTTGTGTCTAAGGTGTTTTTACAAAGAAGAAAAAAAACACCTTAGACACAATTGGGTAATCCCTAAATCCTGGACTGGTAGGTGTGCCTTGAGGACTGGGTTGGGAAACACTGGTCTAAATGAAGCTAGACGTCCTCACGCTATTCATGAGGACTTCCAGCGTCACTGGAATTCTATGGTGAAATCCTAATGCAAACGCGGCCATTGCGGCACATGCGCATTAGGTCTCACCCACCGGCTGACGTCAGCAGGGGAGTAGCGTGGGTAGAGTTTACCCAGATTCAGGTAAGTGACTGAAGGGGTTTTTGGCTTTGTTTTCCTGGTACTATAGAATCCCTTTAAAGATTAACAAAACATGGGGGATATATGCCTTGCTGTATTTTATACATGGTCTGAAATAATATCACCAATGTATTTTTTTTCTTCTGTACAAAAGGTGTAACAAAAATAAAATTCTTCCACAACCTAAAATTCTTTATGAAGGAACACTTTACACATATAAAGCACTTCAGCTTGATGTGTCTGGAGCCTATCACATTTGTGACTGTTTATAAAAGTGCAGATATGAATAGAAATTGGCACTTTCATAGTTCATAGTTTTCATGAATAGAAATTGGCACTTTCATAAATACATTCCTGGCTGTCGATCAGCAATCCAAAGAGGTTTTTTCCTCTCGTGCTAGTCTGCACCCACCTCATGTTTTCAAATTTGGGCAATGGGGTGTTTCTTTAAACTTCCTTAGAAGTTTTAGCTGAAAAAAAACAACAACTTTTGTCCATGAAATGTAGTAAACAGTAAATAGGGTTCTACAGCAGGGGTCTGGTATATCTTAAACTGCTTAAGAGGACACTGTAGTTGCCATAACTGCATCATCTCATTAAAGTGGTTATAGTGTTGGCAGTCCCATGGCAGATGGCACTATACTTCCATTTAGCATTAAACCATTTTATTGTTACTAAGAATCCACAGCAACCCATGCTCTCCTGTGCTGTTTGGGCTGAGGAAGCATAAGCTAGAGCAGGAGTGAGTGGCTGTGATTGGCTGAGATTGTCAGTTGACTGCATCCAGCCTATCACATTGCCATTGCAGGTATGGATTTCTAAGGCTACAAGGAAGTGTGTGTTATCTCAGCCTTAGCAATACCTCCAGTGGGGGTGGGGTTATGGCAGCCAAGAACCCTCATTCACTGTTGAATTGCTCAAAAATGGTGGCGATGTAGTGTTAAACCATTTTTGAGCAATTTAACAATGAGATGAAATTATTATATTGCCTACAGTGTTCCCTTTATTAAAGGAACACAATAAATAGCGTTAGAGGAATACAAATCTGTATTCCTAACGCTATAGTGTTTTAGTTCCTAGTCTTTTTCAAATTCACCCATCCCAGTTGCAAAAACATAAATAAATATAAAAGATTTACTTACCTTTTTCCAGTTCTGCTCACCTCTCCTTCCGCGATGTCACCTCCTCCACCGATGGTCCAATCCTTTGCTCATGTGCAGCGAGAACCACACACATTCAAGCTTCCCAATAGGAAAACATTGAATAACTGCTTTCCTATGGGGTATCTGCAGTAGTAGGTTTCAATGAAGACACACTCACATCAGAGCTACCTGCATTGAACATAGATCACTCAAAGCGTGAGGACGTTGAATGTCAAATAGCCACGTTTTACTTGGTTACTAACCAGGAAGCCACATCTAGTGGCAGTCTGAGAAACTGCAGTCTTTTTCTTCACAGGGCTAAAATGACAGGGCAGGGACACAGCAACTAGACAGGTTCATTGAGATTAAATGGTCTGAGTGCTTGTAGAGTCTCTTTAAGGATACCAAGGTGGTGTTACTTGGACCCATCAAGTTATAGTTCCCAAAAATGAATATGCTAACTTATCTGAGTTCAGTTTCTCACAAATTTACAGCCCCACCCACCCCAAAATCACCCACTAATGGTCTTGGCTTTCCAAGTACGGAAGTAGAGAGGAGAGTGGGAGGGAGGTTGTGGCAAGTCAATTACAGTTTCACTGATTAGCTATTGATCACTTGATGTGTGCCCTAAGACAATTACCAGATTTTACTATTTACATGACATGATTTAATTAAGAATACCGAGGCAAATATTATGCTTATCTCTTTCTTTTATTCCTCAGCAGAAAAGAAAGGATATTAAGATAAAAAATATCCTCAGAGGGTTAACCAAAACATCTTAGTTTTGGTTAACCCTGGTTAAACCCTGGTTTTGGTTACCATTGGTTAAATATTCTCCCATGTGACCCTAAGCCCCTCCTCTTTCTTGGTGATGCTAAAACCAATAATCAACGAAAAGAACCAAACAAGAACTGAAGCAACACAACAAGACAATCAAACAGTTGTTGTCCATGAGGCGACACGTAAAGTGTTAAGCTGGAATGAACAGAGAGAACAAATGGTAAAAATATGTTCCTATAGAATATCACTTATGTTACCACAGTAGTGACTAAACTGAATAATCTAATAGTTATGTTTCAGTTAAGCATATGGAAGGTAACTAAATCCTGGAACAATTAATTAACCTACTCAGACAGCAATCCCGACATTTAAGATCAATACATATGGGAGGGAAAACAAACCGTAAAACGTACCTGTATCGGGTGGGCTAGTATTTGCCTCCGTGTCCTTAATAAAATCATGACTTTACATCATGTAAATAGTAAAATCTGGTAAATTTATTAAAGGACATGGAGGCTCATATTATGCTAGTTCAAAGCTTTGAAATAACCATCGATGAGACATGTTCTGGAGGGCGAAAGTAATATTACTTAAACGTTGATGACGTCCGAAGAAGATCTTCCAAGTTGAAAGTTTTTGAAGTCATGGCCCCTCTAGTAGAATGTGCGCCATAGCGTCACTGTAGATACGGGGTGATGAGGTAGTTTGATAGCCAAGAACAACTAGTGATACGCTGGATCCCTGAATGACTGATCCGTGTTTCATATTCCTGGGAACATTCCTGGAGACAAGCCACTGGGCAGAGGTTAACATTGTGAGCAAACGATGGGTAGAAAACTGAAGTAACCGATGATTTGGTACATCTGGAAATTTTGAAAGAAACTCCCGTAGGGGTAAAGGAGCGTGCGTCAGTGTCCAGCGCACGGACATCTGACACCCGTTTGCATGATATCAAACAGAGGAGCATGGTCAATTTTGCCAACAGCTGTTTAAGCATGAGTTCTGTATTCCATGTCCAGGTTTCCAACAGGCGAAGAACCAGATTCACATCCCATAGTGACATGTATCGAGGTTGAGGTGGTCGTGCAAATCTAATGCCCAGTAAGAGTCGACAAACCAATAGATGTTTACCAGCAGGAGAACCATCCAGCCCATGATGACCAGCTATGATTGCCGATCAATAGACATTAATAATGCGATAGGCCAAACCTTTGTCATACAGGATAGTAAGGAAACGTAACAGGTAATTTACAGAAGCACATATGGGATGCACCTGTTGTTCCACGCGCCAACAACTCCATTTGTTCCAGGCATGACCATAGGATTGTCTTGTTCCATGGGCTCAGGCTCCCGTGAGTAAGTCAAGAGTTTATTGTGGAACGTCTGGCATGACACAGGGTCCCCGGAGAGGAGCCACGCTAATAGTATGAGGTGTCCTTGAAGCAGAAGGGGATGTGGGTTCCAATCGGGGTCCAGTAAGAGGTGCGTTGATTCAGGAAGTAGTCTGGGAAGATCCATGGGCATCTCCATGAGTGAAGGGAACCAAGGTTGTGCAGTCCAAAATGGGGGTATGAGAACTAAAGACGTCAGAGAACGTCTGAGGTGTAATAGTGTCTGAGCCATCAGGGAGAAAAAATGCATAAAGTCATCTGTTCGGCCATGGTTGGAGGAAGGCCTGATTTTCCCAGGAACTGGGCGACCTAATGGTCTACGTCCAGTGTGGCACACGCCACACATACCTAAGCTTATTTCTCGTGGCCTTATTTAGGGGTTTCCTAATCCTAGCTGCAATATACTGGGCCACATCCAGCCAACCTAGGATTTTGCAGGGCCTCGGGGTCAAACAGGGTTTTTCCCTGCGGGTCGAGAATGGCGGAAGTGTCCGCAAACTCCTTAGCACAGATTACCGGTTTTGCAGCCAAGTGTCATGGAGTAACACTTCCAGTTCGGCACTCAGCTGTGAGGAGCCGGACCCCGCCCCCCTCTGACACAGCTCTGACGGTATTTAGGGAGACTGGGCCAGAGAGAGGGTGCTTGGTGATTTTGTGTGAGCTAATGTGTGAGCTGCCTCCACGAGACCGCGGGCTCCACAGGCTCAGCTACTGGGAGGTACTTCCACCAGACTTACCTCTCCACAAGCTCAGACAAGCCGTTCCAGCCTTTGAGCCAATGCAAGGATTGCTGCATGCCATAAAGGATTACTGGATAACGGATACTTTGCTACTTTACAAGTGGACCATATCTCTGAACTATTGGAGGACTACACATATTAACCTTAAGTATATCTTTCAGCTATTTGTCTACAATATCATTTAATAATGAACTAATGCTTGCTTACTCAAATCTTCACTGCTTCAAGCTACTAATTATATGGAGGACAACTCCCATCAGGCTTATTCACTATGAACTGTTTCTTGCTTTGCAAATACACTCATTGCTTCAAGCTACTAATTATATGGAGGACAACTCCCATCATGTTTATTCACTATGAACTGTTTCTTGCTTTGCAAATATTCTTAGCTATTGCTTATTGTTTCTATTGAAGATTATTCTCATGATCTTAAAGAATGTTACTTAATGCATCTCTGAAGAAATACTTAATAATGCACTTTGTGTTGTTGATTACTTGCACTTCTTCTTATTGGATTATTGCCTAAATGCAATTCATTTAAGTTTAAACACTTATTAAAACCCGTCAGGGCTTTAGTCCTTTTCCAAGTCCACAATGCTTTTGCCCGGCGGGTGACTCTTTTATGTGGGGGCCCCACGTCTGCAATGGTAACAGGAGGCAACCTGTCCATCAATCCAGTTTTGGAGGTATGTTTGCCCACATAGTGGGTCTTTTTTGTAGCCTTATGGCGCTAGGGACCACCAGCTTATCGTCAGAGGCCTTAGGGAGAGTCAAGCCAGGGGCGTGATTAGACGCCATAATAGCATATGTAATGAAGTGGGCCAAATTGTCCGACATAGCTCCCATGGCAGTATAGATGGCCTGGGTGACCGATTTGGTCACTGTAGCGTCCAGGGGCGAGTGGAACTCTTCCGAGTTCATCTGCTCCAGTGAGGCTACGTCCTCCCACAGGGCCAGTCGCTGCCTAGTGGCAATCTCAGAGGTGTTAGGAGCATTAACCTCCAACTCAATAGGGGTCTTCATGATGACAAAATATGGGGCAACCACACTCTGCACTGGGGTGAACTAAGTGAAAAAAGGTATCTTGACACAGAAGGGAGCACTGGGCTGAACAGGCTGTGAGTCACAATAAGCCCCAAGAAACTAGCAAGGGACAAAAGCACAACAAAATATACTGGCAGCTTACCGAGTGTTCCCTCAGGAATAGCCTCAGGGAAGCACTAGTAAGTTGCCCAGCAACTCAGGCAGCCAATCAGCAAAAAGCGCGGCAATACTTTGCCACACACAAGATGGCCTTCGTGATGCTCAGCTGCGAACTGTGCATGCGCGAGTGGCACCGGTCATAATATAGACCGCAAACCGGAGGGCAGTCACCAAGACTGAGGCCAGAGGGAGACATCAGGACGTCGGGGTCGCCGAGGCCGGGACAACCACTTGTAATAAACTACCTGAAAAAGTAAGAGGGATGAGGGTTAGCCGTCGGGCGTGGTGGGTTGAAAACCCTGCAGGAAAACGGAAAGCAGACGGCCAGATACAGAGGGCCCTGCTTTAAATACAGGGAAAATTAGTATTCATAAATACAAGCAATATCAAACCAGTAATAGCAAAAACATTCTGTGGTACTTAGCTGAGGCAGCAGCAAAGAAAGAGGAGTGGCTTAGGGTCACATGGGAGTATATGCGATGTGGACTGCTCTCATTGGCTAAGATGTTATGGTTAACCCTCTGAGGGTACTTGTTTAGTTTTTTTCTATGAATATCTAAATATCCTTTCTTTGCTGCTGAGGAATAAAAGAAAAATATAAGCATAATATGAGCCTCCTTGTCCTTTAATGAATGACTATTAACCCAGTTGCCTTTGTGTCGCTTGTCCTTATAATACTTAACATTTTAAACACAAGTTCAGTTTTAAAATTGACTTTAAAAAGTCTAGAGTCTAATTGTTGTACATACAGTTGTATGCATATTTTGACCATCTTGACCAAATAACAAATTTGCTTATTTTCAAAGTCAAAAGAGGTTATTACAAAAAATTACATATTTCTGCAAATGGAATTATTAATTTGCTGAATTTAACTCATAGAATAAATAAAACTGTAAATCGGGCATGTGCAAAGGTATGGACACTAGCAATTTCTTTGTAAGGTCTCAGAAACCTAAAGCGGCTCTGTCTCCCTTGGGGGTCCTTGCATATTACGCATTTACCCCCAAAGGTGACTAATGAAATTTCAACACAGTAAATACGAGTATTTCATAAAGATATTTTCTTTCCGAAATATGCAAAAAAATTTCATGAGGTGACAGAACATCTTTAATTGTCTAATTTGACTTGTTAGGCCTTGATTATCAGTCTAGTAGTGACAGTTTCAGAACTTCACAAATTCTCTCACTCTTTAAACCTCTTCTGCTGTTGTCTTCAAATTCGGCTTGCATATTCCATTCAAGTGCTTAAGGTACATTTGAAGGTAAAAATTAACATTTAACGGGACACTTTCACTGAAGTGGTCTGGGTGCAGTGTCCCTGTCTGTTTAACCCTGCAATGTAAAACATTGTATTTTCTGAGAAACTATAGTTATTACGGTGTTAACTCAGGAATTAACTCCACTTCTACTGGCTGTCTTCCAGAAGCCACTTGCGGTGCTTCCAGGTCCTAACGGAGTCTTAGTTGTTAACCGGTGTTAGACGTTCTCATTCATGAGGATGGCTAATTTCTTCAAATTTCCCATAGGAAGTTTTAAGGTGAGCCTAACTTGCCACGCATGCGTATTAGGTCCCACCATTGCAGTGATGTCACAGAAAGTGGATACCTAGCCAGTGCCGAGGGAGTTAGAAACAGGGACATTATAGTGTAAGGAACACAGGTTTAAAGAGAAAGAAGAGAACTCTCTAGTGCTTGCCAAAATTAACCAGAATCAAACTGAGGGCCCCATAGTTCAGATGCGTATTTCAAACCCCTACTTACAAACCCATTTTTTAAAGAAAGCCTGGTAACTTTACATCATTTGATCAGTGTCACTACACTGCCCTTCCCTTGGTATGCACTCTTTCATTTACACTAGGGGTGCCCAAAAGGTAGATCCCCAGATGTTGTAGAACTTTGACAAAGCATCATAGAAGCTGTAGTTTTATAAACATCTGGGGATCTACCTTTTGGGCACCCCTGATTTACACAATTACCTTTAATCTACAATTGCAGGCACTCAATGCCACACTCCCTGATGCAGTACTTCATACATCTTTATCTGGTTGGCTAAATCCATGTTGAAATCAATTCCTTATCCCAATGCAAAGGAAGTTAAGTAACATTGTGAATCCATTCACACTACATTATAGATTCCATATTATCTTATATTTTTCACTTACCAGTTCTCTGTTTTCTGACAGATCCAAAGCATTCGATTGTTCATTTTGTATGGCTCGACTCTGGGCACATGCTAACAGGCAGAAGATTCCCAAGATAACTGGATTCATCTTTGGAAAACATCCACTTTTTACCTGTGAATTGCAGTAACTGAGTCGCTTAACTTTATATTAGTCTGTTAATGAAAACAAATTCAGGTAATTATATTTTACGTTACATCACAAGTGGCGAAACATAGATCCCTAGTAGAAGTACAACTACAGCCAGGGCCGGCCTTAGGGGTGTGCGAGCTGTGCGGCCGCACAGGACGCCATGGACCAGGGGGCGCCATGCGGCCGACACAACTCGCACATGGTCAGGTGACAGGGGAGCTAAAACAGGTACTTGGGTGGAGGATTAATTATTCTCCACCCGGGTCTATAAAAAAAAAACAAAAAAAAAAAACAAGGCGGCGGGGCTTATCGCGAGGCCGTGAAGACATTTCGCACAGGGCGCCTAATGGCCATGGCCGGCCCTGACTACAGCCTCCATGATGCTTTGCCAGCCATATTGCAAAGCATAATGGGATTTGCAGTTCTTCAGAAGCTGGATGTCTCTTTTTTGGCCACCCGTGACTACATTGAAGACTACAACCTTTATATTAGATCTGTCACTACCTGGGGTCTTTGAATACATCACCACTGGGGGTCCGGAGGCCAGGTGGGCAGGCCAAGGTGAGTGTTACTTACCTAAACCTGTTCCTCGCGGGTGCCGTCATCCGTGCGTGAGTACAGCACTGAGTTCTGTAGAGGATCCCACAAGACCTTGTTTCCCGCTCAGTGTCAAGTTTGGTTAGGCAGAGGGTATTCCAACACAGTCAATCTGAGTATTCGTAAAGATTTTAACTTTAACAAATGTACTTTATTTGGGAAGGTGTGTGTGTGTGTGTGTGTTTTGAGATTGTCTGGTCTAAACCAGGCTAGTCATTTCTTGGGTATACAGTCATTGTTCTTGTATGACAGTATGCTTAAAGGAGTACTATAGGGTCAGGAACACAAACATGTATTCCTGACCCTATAGTGTTAAAACCACTATCTAGTCCCTTTAGCCCCCTTTGCCACTCTCAAGATAGTAAAATCTTACTTGTATTCAAGTCTGAAGATGCTGCCTTTGCCTGTGAACTTCCTCTGACATCAGCAGAAGTGGTGGCCTGATCCAATCACAATGCTTTGCCTAAGGATTGGCTAAGACTGACAAAGAGGCAGATAACGGGCAGAGCCAGCATGATTCAAACACAGCCCTGGCCAATCAGCATCTCCTCACAGAGAAGAATTGAATCAATGAATCTCTATGAGGAAAGTTCAGTGTCTGCATGCAGAGGGTGGAGACACTGAATGTTTGGATGCATTTTAGGCAGCCATGACCCAGGAAGGATCTCTAACAGCCATCTGAGGAGTGGCCAGTGAAGGTATCACTTTTCAGGTATTTCTCTGAAAAGACAGTGTTTACAGCAAAAAGCCTAAAGGTAATGATTCTACTCACCAGAACAAATTCAATAAGCTGTCGTTGTTCTGGTGACTATAGTATCCCTTTAATTCTTTAGCAGTTTTACCTACTTCTGAATTTGGTGGTATCTGTGTAACACAGGCTGAAAAATAGGTCACTACATTTCTCTAAATTGTTGGTGGAAGAATATAATCATGACATTAAAATAAAACATTTGCTTTTGTAATACATTTAAAATGGTGAACACAGCTTATTTGACTCATCAAAGAGGAGCTGGCCACCTCAGGTCCCCCCGAGGCTGGCAGTGATGTCACTTTTCGGGCTGGCGCACGAGGGAGACGTTATTCCGGCTCCGGCATCGGTACACGGATCAGTATAGGCACCGGGGCTCCATGGGTTGTGTGTACACCACTGCCCCTGCCTATAGACACCTGTCCTATAGGGGCACTTACTCTGCCTGTTAAAATCCCCCAACCTATTGCCTGGTGTCTGCTGCCTCCACCACTCTGGAATCACTGTATTTAGTCTGAGAAGCCTAACAACCACCTCAGAATGAACACAGCTAGCTGCAGGAGGGAGAGGACTGGTCAGGGAAAGGAAAAGGACTGGACTCTGACAGTCTGAAATGACAGGTACACACACACAGCACAGCTACCCACACTGCACACACGGGTACTGCACATACTGCTTCCCACAGTGTACACACACTGCTATACAAACTACTGGACATGTTCTACACAAACACACATACACAGAAATACATGCACATTTACACACACATAGAAACATAGAATGTAACGGCAGATAAGAACCATTCGGCCCACCTAGTCTGCCCAGTTTTCTAAAAACTGTCATTCCCTGGCCTTATCTTATAGTTAGGATAGCCTTATGCCTATCCCACGCATGCTTAAACTCCTTTACTGTGTTAACCTCTACCACTTCAGCTGGAAGGCTATTACATGCATCCACAACCCTTTCAGTAAAGTAATACTTTACCTGATATTATTTTTAAACCTTTGCCCCTCTAATTTAAGAATATGTCTTGTTGTGGTAGTTTTTCTTCTTTTAAATTCCCTTTATGCATTTAAATGTTTCTATAATATCCTCCCTGTCTCGTCTTTCCTCCAAGCTATACATTTCAAGATCCTTTAACCTTTCCTTGTAAGTTTTATCCTGCAATCCATTAACACTGCTACAGACGTGCAAACGCTACACACATATATATACACAAACACACATTCACTCTTTATGTGAGTGTATATACAACATTTTTATCGTATTTAAAATAGTCATTTTTTTTAAAATAAGTTTGTGCTTGAGGATTGGGGGTGGGGGGATGGTGGGTGGCACTTGAGAATTGTGATGTAAATTCAGTCCTGAATATCCCATGAGCGAGTCAGACTCATTTATGAGTGCGTAAGTGCCTCTAGTGGATTCAAAACATTGCAGTATCTGCAATTGAAAGAGTAAAACACCAAGGGCACTGCACGTAGACCAGTTCATTGAGAAATTCAGTTTTTAATTAAAGGAACATACTAGATCAAGCCTTTCAATTTTTCAAGTAAAATCTTATTTCAGCCTTAAATTTGAAACTAATTTTGGTTTCCCAGCATTTTCCTGTTTGCTTGACTTTGCTAAAATATAGGAGAATTTTACTCATGTATAACCGATAAGTCATAAAACATTCATACATTTTTGATTTTTGCAAAAAAACAAAATAGCTAGAAAAAACAAAAAAAACAAAACAATTTTTCTGAAAATTTTAATTTTGTCCAACATAGTGAACTTAACATGCCACGACTTGCTATTTAGTAATCTGACCATTTCAATATAAAAAGCTGTTATAGCAATGCATTACTGGCACTGTAACAATTATGTGTGGATCATGTTTCATATGAAAGACTGTGTGCATACACAATAAGCCTTACTGCGAAAAGTACTGACTGAAAACTGAATTGCAAAATGTAATATAAAACAGCCAGCTGAGTTGCAGACGTTTTTCAAATCAAAACAGCTTGACTACATTTTGAAATTTGGCTTTCAATTTACTATATAACTTGTTTTGTGATTGTCTGATTTGCACATACAAACAAAGGCAAATCATCAAAAAGTATTAAATCTAAAATAACACACATAGCAAATAAATATTATAAACAGAAATGCAAATAGCAACAAAAAAAAAGTACATTTACAAATTTATTACAAATAAATCAAACAATGCAGAATTCATTAAACTATTTTTGCATCAGGTTATTAATTTCATTTCTCAGTATTTTTAAAACAGATGCATTTAAGTGTAAACTATGTAAACTATATTCTTAAAGTCTCCCATGGAAAAACATTTTGCATGTACATATATTTAGTAAATTAAAACACAGCTGGTGAATGAGTAAATAATTTCAATATTCCTACCTGTTGACTTCCTTTACAGTGTGTGAAGTTTTTGTATCTCGGATGAGCTATCTCTTTATATATTCCTGAGTCTGAATCCTTGAAGATGAAGATATTGGCAAGGAAAGTGGGAGGGAATATGCAGGGGGTGGGAGAAAAATAAAGATTCTTCCCTTACTCATAATTTAACATAGATAAAAAACATTTATAAAGTTTATTCTGGGTTAATTAATTTTATCAGTTTAATAAAAGAAAATTAATTGCAGAAAGGAAATAATAGAATTGGAAAAAATACCAACTTGACTTGACTAGTGGAGCTTGTTTAAAGTTCGGAACACTTCAGCACCATAACCTTTACATCCTGCTGTAGTGGTTATGAAGTGCCACGGTGGTCACCCAAAGTATATAATCAAACCTGTTAAAAATGGTTTGACATCTTACCTGGGTCTTTCCTGGTGACCGCTGCCATTTCCCCTTTTGCTGGAGGCTCCTGGAGGCAGGGGCGGACTGACCACTCACAGGGTGATCAAGGGCCCCCCTCCTGGTCCTGGTACAAGGTTTTCTGGCCCCTTACTACTCTTCTCCCCCTTCTTTCTGCTGCTTTCACACATATATTATGTGTAGGCTGCCCAGCACACAGAATGGCTTTGTGAGAGCCACACAGCCCTGACTCACACACCCGCAGAGCCCCCCAAAATGGCCAGATTTACTTTTAAGGGGTTAATCAAACCAAAAACAGTGTTTTAATAAACCCTGTTTTTAGATGGAGTAACCCTTGCTGGCGTGCCTCCCCAGCAATTAAAATAAAGAAATAAAGCAAATTTAATTACACACTTCCTCTGATTTTGCTGAAGACATCACAAGTAGCGTCCCCCACATGTGCAACCATACAAGTAGCCACATGTGTTTGGAGTCTGCTTGTGGGGATGCTGCTCGTGATGTTGTGTTCCTGTATGTCAAAGTGTTTTACCTATTGTACAGCGCTGCAGAATATGTTGACGCTATATAAGTGATTGTAAAAATTGTGTGTGTGGAGGCTGTGTGCAGTATTTCAATGGTGGGTATGCTGTTTGTGATGTGTATGTATAGGGAGGCTGCATGTGGTTTTGTATGTGTGGGGATGCTGCTTGTGGGATTGTGTCTATACAGTGAGGCTCCTTGTGGGTTTTTGCGTGTGTGAATGGGGCTATTTGCAGTGCAGTTTGTGAGTGGAGAGGGCTGGTTGTGTTGCAGTGTGTGTGGGATAGAATCTGTAGTAGGCATCTAGTTTATTTATTTATTTTTTTGTTTGTTTGTTCGTTCTCTGGTCTTGTTAGTCTTTTGTCTCGTCTGTTGTCCTCAGTCAGGTCAACAAGTCCTGGAAGTCTGCGCTAGCCGTGGTCAGAATCCAGTGCGTCCAGATCGTCATATACGTCTGAGTCCTCCCCTCTGCCAACAGGGAGAGCTCTTCCAGTGCTCTCAGCTCCTCCATACATTGGTACCACGTCCCTAAAGGGGGAGCTCATTGTTTTTTCCAGTAGAGAGGGATTAGGCTTTTGGCCACGTTAAGTATTTGGATCGTTAAGGATTTTTTGTAGGTTGATGTTTTTGTCGTGGTGTGGTGGATGAGAAATGTTGCAGGGTTCATGGGTGGCGGGGTGTCTGTGAATTTTTTTATGATCGTGTGGATGGCCGACCAGTATGGTTGGATAATTGGGCATTCCCACCATATGTGGAGGTATGTACCCGTGTGTGTAGTACATCTCCAGCATGCGTCGTCCGTCGTGGGGTCATATAGGTGCGTATGGAGCGGGGTGCGGTACCAGAGGGCTAGGATTTTGTATGCTGTTTCTTGCGTTCCACTGGACGGTGCGCAGTGAAGTGAGAGGGTGCATATATTGTCCCATTGGTTGGGTGTGAATGTGGTGCCTAGAACTGTTTCCCATTTCCCCATGAAGCGTGGGGGTGGTAGTCTCCTCATCCGCATGATCATGCCATAGAGCGCTGATAGGCCCCTCACCATCGGGTCTGGGTCCATGCAGATCTCTTCAAACGCTGTTAGGGGTCTGAGGGTGTGATTGTTTTGAGTGGTCTCTTGTATGAACCCTTTCAGTTGTCGGTATCTGAATTGTAGCATGAATGAGTGATTGGAGTTCCCCGTCATGGCCTCTGGTGTTTTGATACGGCCGTTGTCCGTGGCATGGCAGAGCCTCGGTATTTCGTGTCCCAGTAGTTGAACTAACGTCTTCGGTTCCCTTCCTGGTGGGAAGGCCTCATTATGGGCCAGGGGCAGCATTGGGGACAGTGTGGTGGTGAGTGAGAGTGGTGCGGCCATTGCTTGCCACACCTGCATGGTTGCTTTAATTAGGGGGTGTGGGGCTGCCAGTTGTCTGCCTTGTTGGAGGTCCAGCCAGGGGAGGACCGCTATCGGTCTCCCCACTTGTGCTGACTCCACATCTTTCCAGAGTTTCGTTACCCCCTGTTTGGTCCACTCCACTATCCTTTGGATGTGTGTGGCCCTATGATATTTCTTAAAATCTGGCAGGGCAAGGCCTCCCTTGTTCTTCGGCAGTGTGAGCACGTCATGTTTTATCCTAGCCTTCTGCCTCTGCCAGGTAAACCTAAGGGCCATCGATCTGAGGGAGGTGAAAAAGGCCTCCGGGATGGCCGCGGGGATGGCCTGCAACAAGTAAAGAACCCTCGGTAGGATGTTCATCTTGAGCACTCCCACTCTTCCAAACCACGAAAGGCGTACCTGTTCCCATTCCTGTAGGTCTTTCTGTATGGTATTCAGCAGCGGTTGGAAGTTAGCCGCGTATAATTGGGAAAGGTCTTTCGTTAGCACAGCGCCGTATTTCAGGGAGGCGTTGGACCATTGAAACGGCAGTTCCCGCTTGAGGGCCGCCGTTCTGGGTCCTGGGACGGAGATGTTGAGGATCGTGGATTTGGAGAAGTTGATTTTAAAGTTCGACAGCTCCCCATTATCGCGGGCATGGATGTTTCCGGCTTAGTTACAAAGAACATTAGATCGTCCGCGTATGCTGCCACTGAGTGTTTCCCCCTTCCTGCCTTTAACCCCGGTATACTCGGATCGAATTCAGGAATGGTTCCAGTGCCAGCACAAAGAGAAGGGGGTAGAGGGGGCAGCCCTGCCTGGTCCCATTCCTTATCGAAAAGGGGTCGGTGAAGGCCCCATTTATGCAGATCCGTGCTGTTGGCTGCAAATACAGTGCTCTGATCCAGGACATTATGAATGGCCCCGTCCCCAGCGTTTCGAGGACCTGGAACATAAAGTCCCATGCGATCCTGTCGAAGGCCTTCTCCGCGTCCGTAGAGAGCAGGAGAAGGCCCTCCTGTCTGGTTGTTGCGGTGTGGATCAGGGAAAGCGCTCTGATCGTGTTGTCTCGCGCTTCCCGAGTGGAGTGAATCCCACTTGGTCCCCATGCACCAAGTTCGGGAGGTGGGCCTGTAGTCTCTGTGCAAGGATCTTGGTGAACAGCTTCAGGTCGCAATTTAGTAGTGATATTGGGCGGTAGTTCGCACAATGCTCAGGATCTTTCCCTTCTTTGGGTATCAGGGTGATGTTGGCCGCCAGAGTCTGCGTCGGGAACTGCTTCCCTTCATGGATCGCATTAAGCGCCGTCGTGAGGCGTGGGAGGAGGAGATCCGCAAAGGTTTTGTAGTAGCGTGTTGGTAGGCCATCTGGCCCGGGGCTCTTGCCCGTCTTGGCTGTTTTAAGAGCCCACGCCACTTCGTGTGTTGCGATTGGTTCGTCCAACTCTGCGCTTGCCTCCTGTGTGAGGCGGCTGCCAATGCGCAGTTCTAGGTATTCTGTTATCCTTGTCTTTCTATCTGCCATGTCTCCCTCTCCCCTGTGTGGGTTGAGCGAGTATAGGTCCGCGTAGTATGTCCGAATAGCGTGAGCCATCTCGGTCGCCATGCTGTGTAAAATCCCGTCTCTGTCCCTAATCTTGGGGATGTAGGCCGCCGCTGTCTTTTTGGCGATCATGCGGGCAAGGAGGGCACCACATTTGTTAGCGTTGGTATGGAAGAATGCTTTGGAATGTAGGTAGGCTCTATGGTGATTAGCATTTAGTATGGAGGAATGTTCCCTCCGGAGTTCCGTCAGTTGTGTCCAGTCTGCTGGCAGGTGGGTTTGTTTGTGTCTGTGTTCCAACGTCTGTATATCTGCTATTAGGGTTTTAAGTCTGGCGATTTTAGCTTTTTTAAGTGCGGTACCTTTCGCTATGAGCCTCCCAGAGGCAGAGAGGTGTGACATCAGACGTATCGTTTTCTGTAAAGTATAGCATCAGTCTTTCCGTTGCTTCTGCTGTCAATGCTAGGTCGTTTAGCAGAGATTTGTTAAGTCTCCAATTGCTGCATGTGGGCCTGTAGAGTAGGGAGGTCAATGTCATCATGATTGGGGCGTGGTCGGACCGTGTCGCTGCTCCAATGTGAGTTAGTCGAATATCGGTCAGGTAGTAGTGTGGGATGAGGAAGTAGTCTATTCTGGAGTACGTTTTGTTGGGGATAGAATAAAAAGTATAGTCACGGTCTTCGGGATGTAGTGCCCTCCAGCAATCTACCAGTCGCCTCTCTTTCAGCGCTTTCGCTATGTTAGTTAAAATTTGTTGGGGAGTCGTGGAGAACCTCATGGACGTGTCTATGGTCGGTGTCAGGGCCACATTTAGGTCCCCTCCAATGACCAGGCAGCCCTCCGCGAACCCCTCAACCGCTCTGAGTACTGTGCGCAGGAATTGGTGTTGGCGTTTATTGGGGGCATATAAGTACGGGAACGTGTATGTGCGGTTTGCAATTGTTCCTTTAACACAGATATATCGTCCGTGGTTGTCCCGTAGTGTGTCAGTGGGGGCAAAATGTAGCGACCTGTGGATCAGTATTGCCGTACCTTTGGACTTCCCCTCTGGGTTATTGCTAAGAAAACACCGTGTGTAGTGTCTGTCCGTCAGTCTGGGCACATGGCCCTTCTTAAAGTGTGTTTCTTGGATAAAAACTACGTGTGACTTCTGGCTATGAAAGTGGCGTAGAGCATGCGAGCATTTTTCGGGTATGTTCATGCCTTTAGCGTTAATAGAGAGAAATTTAATCTCTGCCTGTTTTGTGTGTATTATGAGGCGGCATGGTTGTCACGTTTCTAAATCATTAGGATGTAGTGAGTAGGGTTGGGAAGTACGGGTGGGGGCAGAAGGCTTTTGCGTACGTCTCGTGGGCGGGTCTACAGTCACGGGATCGTCTCCTGTCCACGTGGGCCCTCCGGGCAAGAGCGACCTTCAGCAGTAAATAACAAATGCAACAGTAACAATCAACAATAAACCTTGATAATTATCCAAAAACGACTAGGGTGTGGGCTAGGTAGGAGTCGACCTCGCCGCACCGGTTAGCACAGTCGAGCCCCCCCGCCGTTATCCGTATGCCTCTGTCTACTAGGAGCGTGACCCCTTTTCCCTTTCACCCCGAAGGGCCAAGTGTGGTAGGTCCTTCTCCTGTCTGGGTCTCCTGTGTCCCCCGGCCCTCCCCGCCCTGAAGCTATCCAACCAGCACAGGTGGTGTTGGCAGTCCATGGGCCCAACCTCTAGTCACCTCCACGTCTCCTAAGTGTGTGTCAGGGCATGTGATCTTTGATTCGGCCCTTCTCTGCCTGCTTCTCCCCCCTCCCCTCTACCTCTCCATTGGGTTATGATGTGTTGACGTGAGTGGCCTCGTAAGCTGGTGATTTTGAGTTATGTGCCTATATGACCTCACACTTCCCACTCTGTGTCCCCCCCTCCTATCCTGAAACTCGGGGATTCCAGTTGGTGTTGTCCTGCTGGGTGAGGGTCCGTGGTTGGGGGACCTTCCTCTAGTTCTAACCTGGGCCACCCAGGCTGTCGCTCCATGGTGACCTATCCGGGTTCTCGCTGCCCTCTTTCCCTGATATTCTGGGGTGTGCCTTTGACCATTCTCAACGTCTCCTCCCCCCTCCCCCTGCTCCCCCCACCCAAGCAGGTATCCCGATAAACATTTAGTCCCCAGTGTGTCTTTCGTGGATTCACAGAGTGTACGAACAGGTTGTCCCGTATACCCGTTCCTGGTTGTCCCCCCTCCCTCCCCTGACGCGTAGATCTCTATGCAGTGTAGTGATTAAGTGTGTGGCCCGTGTGTGTTTGGGGCCTGCGTTAAAGGTGTCCCAGTGCATAGTTACGAGTTCCACGCGTGGTGCCCATACTGTTGGACTGCTTTGTGTGTCCGTTAGCGTGTTGCCCCAGCTGGCCTCACGGTCTCCAACCTTGTTCGGTTTCTCCGTTGTGCTTGGAAAGGTTCCCCTTGTTGAGTAGGTGGGCTGTTATAAAAGTCCAGTGGATCCGGCCAGTTCAGATTAAGAGGTGGCAGGTGGAGTTCTTCTGACAGCTCCTGTAAGTTCCGTGGGGTGCGGATCGGTCTAGGGCCGCTTTGGGTGGTGGCTATCAAGCCCGTAGGGAAGGTCCAGCGGTATCGTATTTTCTGGGCCACTAGCATTCTGGTGAGTGGTTTTAGTGCTCTGCAATATCCCAATGTGGCCGGGCATAGGTCAGGATAAAGTTGGAGGTGTTGGCCTTCATGGATGATTTCTCCTCTGTTGCGGGCTTCATGTAGGATTTCTTCCTTTAGGGCGTATAGTGCTAGGCAGCAGATCACATCCCTAGGCGGTGCCTTTGGTGGACCCCTGGGTCTCAGTGCTCTGTGGGCTCTGACGAACTCTATGGGGGTCTCCCTGGGGCGGCTCAGGAGATCGTTGAAGATGGCCGTGAGTATGCCTTTAAGCTGGACGGGTCTGTCTTCACCTTCTTGTAGGCCTCTTATTCGTAGGTTTTGTCTGCGGCCCCTATTATCTAAATCTTATATATGTCTGGCCATGGCTTGCATTTGAGCAGTTTGCCTTGAGTGGCTTGCAGCTTGGGCCGCTTTCGCTGCGGTAAGGGAATCATGATCTGCCTCTATTTGGGCCATGCGGTCCGCCATACCTTGGATGGAGGTCTGGAGGGCTGTGGTAGCCTGGGTGAGGTCAGCCCGTGTGGGTAGTGCCCTTAGCAGGGTCAGCCAGTCTGCCGGTGGAGTCCCTTGATCATCACGGCCTGGTGAGAGGGAGTGTGGCGTGGAGGCTTCTGATGGCGGGTAGGCCTCATATGATGACTGGGAGGTCGGGTCCGGTGTCGCGGCCAGGAACTGCCGCATGGAGGTGTTATTACTCGCCTGGCAGGACCACGATGGTCTGGGGGTGCTCCCCGCCTTGGCGTGCTTCCCCATCTCTGTGTCTGTGGCCGGTAATGTGTGCTTAGCAGAGTGGGGCCGGAGGAGATCAGCTACTATGCGGCCATTCCGTTCTGCCGCTAGGCCACCGTTTTACTTCTTTGCACTTGATCTTTGAACCAGTGTACTGAAAAATATCAAAATCATATTTATATTATCTATATACTTTGCAGTTCACTAATAGGCATATTTTCACACTATTTTGGGAATTGTTTTTCCTAAAACACATGGACGAAAGTCATCCGAAACAAAATGCCTCACATGAATAAAAACCTTTTTCATATGACAGAAAATTTCGTTTTAGACGAATCCATAAATTCCTCCAACAAATTTAGGTTATTTCGTTGAAAGCATATTGGTGGGAACTTTGTCCTTTAACTAATTGGGTTGTGGTCCTTTAAGGCAAAACACATTTTGCCATATATCTTTACTATTTATGCTGTTATTCACTATTTTGCAATAGATTATGAAAAAAGTGCCAACAAGATTTTCAATGAACACCAATATGCAAAGTGGCCAAATATCATATTTACGGTCTATAATGTAAAACCTTCTACCTTACTGATCATTTGTCAGGATGGCCGCAGTCTTACCTTGTATTCTTTTTTACCTCGCCTGCTGGCATGCTTTTGTGTGCGACCAAATTCGGATCCGAATTCGACGAACCAAATTCTGAATTCACCGGACTGAATTCGGCGCACAAAAATTATGTCATGAGTTCAAATAAGGTATTTCCTACGGATCATAAGCAATTCAGATGTCTCCTTGGATCAAGCAGTTATTACCCCACTAATTAGAAATTATATCCCTGTATGTTATGAGTGCTCTAAGAAATAAGAAATATAAAATATATATATCATTTTTAATATTAGATGTGTTCCATGGTAAATTATATTTATATATATATATAATTTTTTTTGTAATCCTTTTAAACGTATTTAGAAATCCAATTCTGGGACAGTCTCCTCTATGCAGCCGCTTTACTTCCCGTGAGATCATTAACACGGTATGTGTGTATACTCATTTCTAATTGTTATTTACCAATAGGCTGCTTCAGTTTATAGTAGAGTGGTACTGCACTGACATGTATCTGGATATAAGTCTAGTCTCATGTTCAGCAGAGATATGCTGGTCTAGCATACGATAACCTAAGATAAGAATACTGAACAAGATTTATCAAAGTGTCTTGTTCTGAAAAAAAAGTTAATTATTTCACTGTGAAAACCAGCAGTACCCACATGGAAGTCTGATTATGCCACTTTTTCAACATTGTACTGCTTTTTAGAGCAAGACACGAAAAATCCCCCACGAAATCAGATATAGGCCTTTGTTTGAGGCCTTCCACTTCACATACAGCAAATTGTAGCTTCTTCAAAGCACGTGTACCCATTTTTCTGTTTTATGATGTATCCTTTACTGCTTGATAAAACTCAGAGTCTCCTGCATCTGTTTTAGAAGAATGGACACTCAATAGAGCATTTCATTGATTGAAGCATTAGCCAGATGGCTGATGAAGTTGTTATACAACCGTAGAATTGGCCAGATTACGTCTCCAGGTCTACATCAATAAGTCCAATATCTCCAAGACAATGGCAATGCTTGAGAGTTAAATAATCAAAGCACACCCAGTTTCTAAAGGTAAATTTAATGAGACCAACATCGCAAAGGTGACTAGCTCAATGGCAGCTGCAATTTCCACCTACCATAAATTACCTTTATGGTCAAAACATATAAGCGAGCTTGCTAATGACCTTTTCTTAAGGATAAAAGACTTGCAGAGTCTTATTTATCCTTGCAATGGATTTAGTGAAAAGGGTAACAATATTAACTAATTTAATTAAAGACTGCCGTCTCATATTGATCAGCATTAGTCATTTTCATCATTCAGAGAAAATATTCCATGAGTGCAGTTAACCCGTCATTGTTTGCTATTCTGCTTGGCATGCGGATGTTTAGAAGGATTCTGTATGTATCAATTGTAATATTACATGAAAAACATACTAATACTAAATTATTTTATTGACTAAATAACTAGCTATAGTAAGCAAATTGATTAATTGATCAAAATAGCAGAGTTGTCTTTCTAACTCATTTGCCAAGGCAACCAAAATTGGCCTACCCCCTCATGTGTGTCATTCTCCCCAGCCCCTCCATGTGTCTGATTCTCATTCCCCTCCTCAGCTTCATTGTATGTAACATCAATGAAATTGGTTCATTAATACAAAAGTTATTGACTCTCCAAGCCCTACTCTGCACACCCTGTAGATACAATTCTAGTCATTGGCAATACATCTTCATACAAGTCATGGCGGCATATTTGAAGTTCAACTTTTTTCAAAAATGATGGGCATTTTCATTTGAATATTTTTAATGTAGCAAATAAATCAAACATCTGCTTAAGACCCCCACTTGGGATGCTTTCCATACTGATAGAACATATTCATTATGTTTATGTTGATAACCTATTGATCATCGAAAGTTTCAAACTTTTATTTCGGCAATGGCTGTACATCAAACGTGCCATATATCTGCTGTTTGAGAACACTTTAATGTGCTGAGGTTATGCCTACACAGGGATACCTTAGAATGAAAATCTACAAATACTTAGCAGTCTTGATGAAGATATTTATAAATAAACTATACTTTATTCTCCCACGCACAGCTACATTTATAATGCTTTTCACACTAATGGAATTGTATTGTCCAGTCTGAATAGGACAAGTGGGGAGGGATGATGCAAAACAATACCCTCTTCCTCCAGTCCACTAGAGATAATTTATAAATTGCTTTGTATTTTAAAGAGTCTGTATAAAAGCAAAGACACCCACATGTTATTTTCTGACAGTGAAATAGAAAATATGAAAAACCTATTTACTAATTACATTTACTAGTATTGAAATAGGATAAATAAGTACACTAATGTGTGTTATGATCACTCTACAAGTCTCACATGTTTTTCCTCTCATATTTTTTAATCACACTTATAAAGAAGGGGTCAGATCCTGTGTGTGCGCTAATAAAACTGGCCCCATTGGTAGGCAATGATCTCACTAATTAGAGCTAGAATTTTGCTAATAAACATGTAGTAGACAAGATCAAAACACTTAGCAGCAGCTGAAAGTTTTTTTGGGTAAATAACAAACAAACAAACTAAGCACATTCCACATAAAAATAATTAAATAAATGTTTTGGGGTCAATAGGACCCCTTTTTTACTGGAGTGTAACTTAGATAGGTTGCCATTTTGAAAAAATCCAGAGGATTTACTAGTTAAAGGGCTACTCCATCCACCATAACTACCGCAGCCTATTGGCACCATTCCCGGTAATGGGCAAACCGTTTTGCAATGGTTTGCTGCTTTCCTGGATCCTGGCGGGTGGCTTAACTACATCTGGCTTATGGATGCTGATTCTGCCATCTATTTATTTTGGCTGAGAGTATCAGCTGAGCGCTCTCACGCAGAGCTCATACAGGCTGCTGGAGTTGTAATTACACCTCCAGCGGTTAGCCCAAATATTACTATATGTGTCATACAGACTCCTTGCACCAGGGATTTTGCAAGGATTTCTGCCGCCCTAGGTTTCCTTCTCGCCCTTCTGGTGGTTCTCCAGTAGGCAAAGATCCATTTTGCCGCCCCCTCATGAAAGCAAATACAATTTTTATTCACTAAACTCTGAATAGCAGTGAGTTAAAAACCAAATTGCAAAGTTTAAGCAAAAACAGCTGAACTGTGACTGTAGCCAAACTGGAGAATTCTTCTAGATCAGCTATTTTGGCCTAAATTTTGCCATATGGTTTCCAGTTAGGTCTGTCTAATACACACATACTGCTTAATGCGTACATCCATAAACACACACTGCTCAGTACAGCATCCATACACACATGCTGCTTAATACCTACATCCTGTCAAGGTTAAAGAAACACTATAGTCACCTAAATTACTTTAGCTAAATAAAGCAGTTTTAGTGTATAGATCATTCCCCTGCAATTTCACTGCTCAATTCACTGTCATTTAGGAGTTAAATCACTTTGTTTCTGTTTATGCAGCCCTAGCCACACCTCCCCTGGCTATGATTGACAGAGCCTGCATGAAAAAAAAAATGGTTTCACTTTCAAACAGATGTAATTTACCTTAAATAATTGTATATCAATCTCTAAATTGAACTTTAATCACATACAGGAGGCCATTGCAGGGTCTACCAAGCTATTAACATAGCAGGGGATAAGAAAATCTTAATTAAACAGAACTTGAAATAAAGAAAGCCTAAATAGGGCTCTCCTTACAGGAAGTGTTTATGGAAGGCTGTGCAAGTCACATGCAGGGAGGTGTGACTAGGGTTCATAAACAAAAGGACTTAACTCCTAAATGGCAGAGGATTGAGCAGTGAGGCTGCAGGGGCATGTTCTATACACCAAAACTGCTTCATTAAGCTAAAGTTGTTCAGGTGACTATAGTGTCCCTTTAATACTCCCCAACACGCAAACCAGAGAATAATAAAGGCAAGCACAGGCAGACGTATTACCGGACCTTAAAGTGGCCGGACTTAACGTAGGAATAAGAGATAAGAATAGTCAAACACGCCAAGGTCAGGGATATAGAGGTACGGGTAAGCGAATAGACAGAGCCAAGTTCAGGGAGACAGAAATGAGAATAACCGAATAACAAGCCGAAGTCAGAAACCAAAGAAAAGACAACTACTCAGAACGCACTCTCGGGCTATAATAAACCACGACAGGGCAAGGAAGTGATGTCAGAAGGAGGTTAATATAGGGCAAGGTGTATTCTGATAGGCAGGGACAGAAATGAGGGAGGATATAAATAGATAGTAGCAATAGGCTACTATCACTTTAAAAGCTAATGTCACGTCCCCCTGTCGGCTACCGTGTGCGAGCGCGCATGTCCTCGGACGCCCTCCCAGAAGCGTGCGCGCGTGCGACGCCAGCTGGAGATCCGCACCACCAGGCAGGAGAGGACGTATGGTGGGACCGGGACGGCGCGGGACACAAGGTATGACACATCCATACACACATAGAAACATAGAATGTGACGGCAGATAAGAACCATTTGGCCCAATCTAGTCTGCCCAATTATCTAAATACTTTCATTAGTCCCTAGCCTTATCTTATAGTTAGAATAGCCTTATGCCTATCCCACACATGCTTCAATTCTGTCACTGTGTTAACCTCTACCACCTTAGCTGGAAGGCTAATCCATGCATTCACTATCTTCTCAGTAATACTTCCTGGTATTATTTTTAAACCTTTTAAGACTATGTCCTCTTGTTGTGGTAGTTTTCTTCTTTTAGATATAGTCTCCTCCTTTACTGTGTTGTTTCCACATACTACCTAATATATCCATACACACATATTGCCTAATACATGCATCCATACACAAATACTGCTTAATGCGTACATCCATACACACATACAGCTTAATACGTACATCTACACACACATACTGCTTAATATCTACATCCATACACACATACTGCCTTATACATGCATCCATACACACACACTGCCTAATGCATGCATCCATACACACACACTGCCTAATACATACATCCATACACACATACTGCCTAAGACGTGCGTTGTATATTGAATACATAATGTATCACTGTGATAAATGATGTATTCAATGCATTTGGTGAATTTAATTTATACTATGACTTGCACAGATGAGCACAGACACAGATAGACAGACACTCACTGACAGACACATACACTCACTGACAGACACACACACTCACTGACAGTGCTTGCACCATGACCACTCCAAAACGCTTACGTGACCATGGTGCTTGAAGTAACCCTTTAGAAAAGACAAAAAAAGTCCCTTCCTTTACTATCAATATGTCCATAAACATATCCAGTTGTGGCTAGCACGATGTCCTGTCCATCACAACATCCCTAAACGGTTTGTGAAATAATAATGGGTCATGCGGTCGCCAATCCAATGCCCCAAAATCAATCTCTAAATATCTCTAAATATTACAGGACCAATGTAGGTTCAGTAAAAAATGCATGAAATGTATGCAAAGAAATTCGATTTGATTTTTTCCTTGATTCTCATTATTGGCCAGAAATAAACTCAATCAAATGTCAAGGGCTGTGGGGGCAACAGAAATATGGAGAGATGTACAAATTCATCTGCACCTTCAAGCAATGCTCTACTCTCTCTCCTGGTACCAGACTGATGGAAAGCTGATTTGTTTTGTGTGAGGACATTTTTGCTTAAAAGGGACACTCCAAGCACCATAAGTATTAAAACATACTGTAAGGATTATAATGTCAAAAGTGTTCTGGTGCTCCTCTATTACGGGTATGTAAACTGTTTTAGAACAGTTTAAATTCTTGCTTAAGGTCCGTCGGGCAACACACCCCACCTCCAATACAGTGGACAGACAGAGCTAAGCCCAGGTACCTGGAGACTTTTGGAAATTCCTGACTAGGAGCTTCTGGTTCTCTGTCAGATGTAATCAAGGCAGAGAGTGGCACTCAGCTGACCCCAGGTAAAAAGTCAAACCATTTTAAAACAGTATGATTACACTGGTAAGTGGTTATGGAGTTTAGAGTGTTCTCCTCAGGAGTGCATTCAATCTAGTACGGTGTTAAAAGTGTTTGACTTTGAAGTGGTTTGAAACACATCAATGTGCTAAGACACACTGGTTTAAAAACACTGATTTATTTCACACCAGTATTTAAATATATTTTGTTATACATGCCTGTCTGCAAGGGCAGGCTTCCACTTTAAAAAATAGCATTACATTTATGGAAAAAACTTTATTTCTGCCATGGACTGACACACACTATCTAACAAATTATAAGCCTAACTGAGACAAATCTTCAGGCACACACTTGAGGTCAAAGCAGCTCTCTGGAGACTCTTTTGGAGAGGTTGCTGGCCAGTTCTGTTCCTTTTTCCTCCCATCCTGCTCATGTGTTGCTTCCTGTCTTGTCACCTCTTCAAGGGGGCACCAGGCCAATTTCCCTGACTTTTCACCTTCCCCATACGTGCCGTCACTCCTAGTTTATACGCCCGTTGCATGCGTCCAATTGCTCTGCATGGTCTGAAGACTCCTCTTTGGCCATCACTACCACTAGCTAACCTAGGAATCCCATAATGCCAATATTTGAGATGCAAGGAGGAAGAGGACCCTATTTGGTGCAAGGAGCTCTGCAACAGCTTGCGCTGTTGAGGATGGGAGCCTTCCTGCTGTGCCTAGTATATATTGGTCTCATGAGATTAGGGAGTGGATTTAGAGGAGTGATTATGTGGACCACCTGATTGCAGTCCAGCTGCGCTTATGGTTTGATGTTCATGAAACCGACTTGTGCTTACTCCTAATGATGCCAAATGACTGACTAGACTGTCCTTTCATAGCAGTGTTGGTGTCTCCTCCTCTGAGGCATTTGCTAGGCATAGACATTGGTTCTACTGGCCAATGCAGACAGCTCAGTTTGTGTATGTTCCTACATGAGTGTCTGCACATTGGTGGAGGGCATCTGCCTTCTGCTGCATGCGAAAGGGTAAGTTTGTGCGGTCCACGAATGACGTAGAAAAAGTGAATGTTACATATGAACGTTGCAAGGATGCGGTTGTGGCTCACCCTGTGAGCAGAGGTTATTCTTCAGGAAGGGTTCACTTAATTCCTTTTGTTCCATCCAAGACTCCTAATATTCTCTGACAATTTGTTCTGTTTCCTAGCACAAGGACATTGTTGCTGAAGAATTGAAGTATTAAGTGGTATTGGTTGGGATGGCAGACCCCTTAGGCTTTTTCCCAGCCTTTAGTTTTGCCCCCTGGGTGTCATTCCCAAAAAGGAGAAAAGCAAATTTTGCCTTATTCTCTACCTATTGGGGTTGTCAGTCAATGACGACATCCATCAGATTGACAGTAGGGTGTATTGGAATTCCTTTGACCAGACTTTCACCCTGCTGCTTATTCATTGGCTGAAAGTGTCAGGTGACCAATTTCAAACCAATGAATGAATGTCCTTGCATTGAAATTTGCACAGAACTGACACTAGTCAGCTCAGAACTCGTGTTCAGGACTGATTGATTATTCCTCGTGATGTTGCTGGAGCCTGGATGTCAAGTTACACCTCCAGCAAAAAATAAATAAATAAATATATATATATATATATATATATATATACACACACGTTACAAATATAACTTTATTGGTGACTTGATTGTTCTGCTGCAAAATGTCCCTGGATATTTCTATGACTGGCTGTGAAAGGCCACTAGAGGGCAAGTATGCTTGTTTGTTTTTTTGTTTTGTTTTATGTTGTTGGTCCTAAACTGTTTCTTTTTTTTAAATAATCTTCTTTAGTTTGTTTGTTCTTTTGTGTATGAGTGAAAGTACAATAGTGAGGTCTATGGACATTTCCCACAAAATGACTCCTAACAATATATATCTGCCTACCATAGACTGTAAGCTTTTTTGAATGGGGTCTTTCTCACATTTTTCAATAATTGATAAGCACTGCGGAATATGTTGGCTAAATAGAAAATACCAAACTCTAAGAGCCTTCATAGACCAACTTGCTTAATAAGCGAGAAATTGTCACTTTCCCTCAACCATTGCTAAAAGCTCAATTTGATCAATTTCTCTAACACTCAGCCTTCACCGTGAGACAAAGTAGTCCTACTTTGTCATGACAGTTTGATTTCCACACAGTCCTCCTGATCACCCAACAGAACAGATGAAAAAATGGGGGAAACACCAAGAACGTGCATTTATCAGCAGTGGTGCTGCTATACAGACCAAATTATATCCAAAACACAGACTAAAGAAGGATGATACACATGCCAACTGCAATACTTACTGCTTAAATTGCTTCCAAAGACTGTTCTCAAGTTTATGCAGTCCTGTGATCATCTCCAAAGAGGCACCAAGAGAGGAGAAGCAGGATGCTTAACCCAAAAGGAATCTTGTCAGGAAAACATATATTTAAGGAGATTCTCTGAAAGCAGTTTAAACAGTAACGATTGTAGTTTGCTAATTTTAACAAGGAAGATAAAAATGCTAAGGATCCACATGACCACCTTCCAGTGCCACCCATCCCTTCGCACTCTCAATATCAGACCTGCCAAACTTGGCACTTCTGTCACTGTATTGACGATCAGACTGGGCATATATAACAAAAGCACGACTTTCAAATTCTGTTTAATGACACATTTTAATTTTCTGCATTCTTTTAAATTTGCGGTGTTTGAAGTCACTATTATCTTCAGGTTACCTTATTACTGGTCAATAATAATGAAAAAATGCTTGATATAAAGAGTAGCAGTTGGGGTATTACTCTTTTGGCTTTGTTTCAGAGAACACAAACTTATGCATGGCTTGAACATACTCCGAGCCACTTGCACAGGATAACTTCAGCTTTATTAGGGGCATGAAGAACTGTGTGGTGAAGTATCTCAGTGATGGGACTGGTGCTTCAATGGCTTCTAAGTACACCTGTAATAAATAGACAAAATAAATGGAGGCAAAGAAAGTCATAATCTTACCTCGTAATTAACTGTTATCATCAACCAATGGAGATCTGCATATAATTATCCTGTTTATAAAAGACCATGTGTATAAGCATGTATGGATGTTTTAGATCTTAATCCCTTTAATATACACCCCAGAATGCCAAAACGACAAATCCTTTATGTCTCCTAAATCTTTCTTTTAAGGTTGCAAAACAGGAGAGCTTCTACTTTTACATGATTTTCTTTATTCTTCAAATCACGATACATATTAAAAGTGAAACTGTTGTCTAGAAGTAAAATAACACTAATTGATGTATTAAAGGAAAACTATATTGTTGGGAATACAAAGCTATAGTGTATCACCAGTGGCTTACCTGTTTCCAACACCCATGGACTTTGGTGCTGGCTCCATCTCCTCCGACTTCTGTGTGAGGGTGAACCTAATGCGAATGTGTGGCAAATGTGTCGCACGCATTAGGTCTTCACCATAGGAGAGCACTGAATCAATGCATTCCTCTGGGGATTGGCAAACTTTGTGAAACAGCAGGATGCTCCTCAAGTAACTGTCTGGTAGACGGCCACTAGAGGGAGTCTTAACCCTGCAATGTCAATATTGCAGTTTCTCTAAAACTGCAATGTTTTCAGCTGCAGGGTTCACTGCACTGCACTGCACCCAGACCACTTCAACGAGATGACTTGATCTGGGTGCTTACAGCATACCACCCTACGCCCAATTTTGTTCCCTTAGTTCCCTGCGGTCGTGCTTTGACCTACTGTCTCCAGCATTCATAGCACGAGCGAATCATTAGGGCACTAGAACCCTGCACTGAAACAGTGCCTTCTGCAGGATCAGAGCTCAGTGGGCCGCCCTGAGTGATGGACTGGCAGCCTGGTTTGTTATCACACCAGTCTGACCTGCCATTAACTCGGGTGGATCCACTGTGCAAGGAGTGAAGCAGGGTAGACCGCAGAGACTATAGAGAGGTTTTCATCCACTGTCTGACAAAGGTCCATGTATATGACTGCAGGATACTGTCACATACTAAAGGTCGGGTTGAGTTTTTCTTTTTTACATTTACTTCATTTAACCCATAATCTATTTGCTTTCAAAGCTTGATGACATGGTCATATATTAAAAAAAAGTGTGTTGAGGTCACAGTTGTTCTTTAAGCAAAATTAAAGTAAGGGAATTTTGGAAGTCTCACCATAAACTTCACAAGGTCTTGCGATGTATTACAATGTGTTTAGATCCCCCATTGGATTATTTTCCCACAACATGTATTATGTATCGGTTTGACTGTGTTTTGTGTGTCAATGCATGGTTATAACATGTTCCAATAGACACAGACCTGTAAAATCTCATCCATGTCCTGTGCCACATCTTGGAATATGGTCTTGCAATGCTGGAGATACTGAGCATATAATGAGATGGTATCACTGTCCACACTTTGTAGGCTGCTGTCACTGGGGTCCAATCTCTGCAGGTTGTCCATGAAGTTGGTGCTTACTGGACCACATTCAATAAGGCTCACGCTTAATTAGAGGAAAGACATAATGTAAGGACAATTTGTATGAATACATTCTAATTATTCTGTAGCACATTAAAGGGACATTCTACGGAACATTATAATTTTAATTTGCTGTAGCAGTTATGCTGCTTAGAGTCCCCTGATGCTTAGTTTAATACTATAACCATTTTGGTTTGATATAAATCAGGGTCCTTCATCATGTCCAGGCTGAATTGATCATGTAAAATGAACACTTGCATATTATCAATGTCAGCTTTGTCTAACTTAACCCACCCATGGCACTATTAGCCAACCATGGGGAAGATCCCTCATTGCTTGGAAGACATTTGGTTTATAGAAGAACAATTTTAAACAGTTTGATTTTAATAGAGTGTAGCAGGACTATAGGCAGTTCTAGATAACCTCACCCATTCAGCATGCTGTAAAAATCAAAGTTATAATGGTCATTTTGTATTTGGCATGTGTTAAAAATGAACACTCCACCATAACCACTACAGCACGCTAAGTCAATGCATTATAAATGCACAGTTGGGTATAGCTCAATGCAAGAGCTTCTGGCTATCAACGTATGAGGAGACTGGTACCTAGTGGACACCAGGTATGTTGTCAACTACTTACATTAAAGGGGCACCAGGGCACTCCTGACACCATAACCACTACATGACTCTGTAGTGTATATGGTGCTTGAGCCCTTTAACAAGGGTGGAACTAATTAATTCCAGGCTGCATAGCTTATCTATCTAAATATTTACACCTGCGTACTTCACTGAACGTAGTACTGAGTAGTTACTTACTGTACATTAAAATGCTGAAGGACTATAGCCAGGCTCTCACAGAATCCTTCCACTGCAAACTTACTGGCACAGTACACATCATTGAATGGAACACCTAGCATGACACAAGAGATCACTTTAAAAAGGTACAAAATGGCTTTAAATTGTTCCTACACTTGCTATCAGAATAGCATTACTTTTTTATTTATTTTTTGTGCATTTCAAATTTTCGTGATAAAGGTTTAACAGCATAAGCCTCATCCCTCCATAACAGGACTGTTTCAGCAAAAAAAAATAATGCATTTTTTACGGGAAATATTCTTATGTTTACAGGAGTGTGTAAGGAGAGAGGAGCGTATTTCTATTTTTTTGTTTCTTTTTAAACATTCATTTTTTTTTTGTCCCCACAAATGCATTCAAATTTACCTATAAATAAAACATTTATTTTAATTGTAAAAATAGTTAAGTTATTATGCTTTCAGAAATGTGGGACAGTATTTCAAAAAATAAAACAATTTCCATGTTTCTCTAGAATTGTAGATTATAATAGCTTTAGTGTAACTATAATCTTAATTTTATTAATGACAGGAGGTGAATATTTGCTTTAGTCTCTCTTTACTAGAACTCCACAGCAGCACATTAACATAGACAGAAAAACACCAAAGACAAAAACATAAGGAATCCATAAAAGGCTCTTCCCAACCAACCATTTTCTCTTTCACGCTGCGACAAAATAAGGTACATAACAATGCCAATAAACTAATTAAAGGAAGAAAACATAAGATAACGATGAATGCCATCTGGAAGAAAACTTTGAAGAATGGATGGGATCTTGATCTTCATCCTGCAAGACCGTCGATTCTATGAACTGTAGTCGAACCATTAAACCGAAACGAAATAAACAGAGTCGAAAAACACTGATTAGTGAACGAAATGTACTGAGAAAAACATAAATCCCACGATCCAGTACTGATAGTACAAAAAACATGAAACCCATCATCAACTACCGGCAATACAATATACCAGACACCTCCCCCAGCTTCCCCAGACATCACCCCAGACTACCAAATCTAGCCTAGGCGACCAGACAAATCAACAGGAATTTAGTTAAAGCAATCAATCCAAACAAGGGGGGGGGGAAAGACTGGGCGGGAAATATTCGCCTCCTGTCATTAATAAAATTAAGATTATAGTTACACTAAAGCTAGTAAAATCTACAATTTTATAACATGACACGAGGCTTCATATTTGCTGTTTTAACGCTCCGACAGCAAAGCAAAAGCATGGTCCGACGGTCTGAAGTAGAATTGGCAAAAAGTATCTTCATGGGACCAGTCCACCGAATGTAAAATGTCCTGAAGGGAAGCGCCTGCCATGAAAGATCCAGAAGCTGCTGCGCCTCTAACCGAATGCGCTCCTAAGGTCGCATTCACCCCCGCCAGTGTCAATAACCATCTTATCCATCGAGCCAGGGTAGGAGACGAGACCGGCTTGTGGGGTCTGACATACGAGATCAACAACTGGCCAGAATGAGAAGAGCGAAGTGGAGCGGTAACCGCTACATAGCGAGCCAGTTCCTTCGCCACACAGAGTTTAGGCGAATCCCTGAAGTAAGGATACACAGCCGTCGAATCCGACTTGGTATGTCTAATCACCTTGAAGGTGACCCCCGCTGGAGAGAACGTGAAAGCGTCGACATCAAAGGCCCGGACATCAGAAACACGTCTGAACGAGACCAGACACAACAAGAGGGCAAATTTGGCCGAAAGCTGGCGAAGGGAAAAGGTTCTGGTAATCCGCCAATTCCCGAAGGAACGCTAAAACCATACGTACGTCCCAGAGGGAGGAGTACTTAGGCACCGGTGGACACGCCAGCCTCATCCCACTCAGAAGTCTGCAGACTAGCGGATCCTGGCCAATGGGAAAACCTCTAAGCGGGACATGCTCTGCCGAAATAGCTGACCTAGTCACGTTAACCGAGCGGTACGATCTTCCCAAGTCAAAGAGGTGAGACCAAAAATTCAGCACGCTGGTTACAGTGCCTGTAAAGGGATCGGTATCCCGTTCCAAGCACCAACGACACCAGGAATCCCATCTCCTCATCCCGGGAGCCCAGGAATCCCAGAGAAGGTCTCTAGCCAATTGCAATAATGCCTCGACATTCCATGTATCCCTGAAAGAGTCCAGGCCACCAAGTGCAGGTGACCGTCCCTCACTAGGGGGTGAGTCCGAGGAGTCCGAGAGTAGCATTCGAGAGGACGGTAAGAGAAGAGGATCCCGATAGGAGAGATCCAGGAGCTCTGGAAACCAGGCTTGACTCTGCCATAGCGGAGTCAGCAACACCAAGGACATGCGTTGACATTGAACTTGTAGCAATACCCTGGGAATCATAGCGAACGGAGGAAACGCATACGCTCCCTGCAAAGGCCACACCTGGAGAAAAGCGTCTACCACTGTGCACGCTGGATCTGGGAGCCAGCTGAAGTACGTCTGGATCTGGTGATTCGTCCTGGAGGTGAATAGATCCACCGTGAACGGACCCCTCTGATACGTGAGTTCGAGGAAGATAAGTCGAAGGAGTTTCCAATCGCTGGCATCCCTCCAATGTCTGGAGAACCAGTCCGCCATTAGGTTCAAATCCCCCGGAAGATATTCCGCTTGTAAGGTGATGTTGCGTTGGAAACAGAAGCTGTAAATCTCCTTCGTCACCTCCAATAGTGTTCGAGACCGAGCGCCCCCCAAGCGGTTGATGTACTGCACCGCTGAGACATTGTCCATCCGAAGGAGGACGCAGCAGTCCGACAGGTGGTTTGCCAAGCTCCGAATCATAAATGAACCCGCAATCAACTCCAGGCAGTTGATGTGGAATTCTGATTCCCCCCCGGACCCTGTCGTGCATGTGGCACCCCAGCCGTAAAGTCCTTCTTATCTCCTTCCGAATGGTCACTACCTTGGCCAAAGGCAGGCGAAGAACGCATTCTTTCGCATCAACTTCGAAACCCAAGAATTCCACCATCTGGGAAGGTTCTAAGGCCGATTTCTTCAGATTGACTACAAACCCCAGGTGTTCCAATAAGGAGATCACAGAGCATGTCTGGTACCTGAGCCTTGAGGGGTCCTCGCAGAAGATCAGAAAGTCATCTAGATATATTATGCAACGGACGTCCTCTGATCTGAATCGGGCAACCATCAGCTTCAGGAGCTTGGTGAAGCACCAAGGGGCCGAGCTGAGGCCGAAGGGAAGGCACGTGAATTGGCATGGATCGCCTTTCCATACGAAGCGGAGGAATCTGCGACAGTCCTCGTCCACCGGGACGGAGAGGTAAGCGTCCTTCAAGTCCAGCCTTGTGAACCAGTCTCCCGGCCGGAGAAGGTCCCGAAGAAGATGGATGCCCTCCATCTTGAAGTGGTGGTAGACCACGAAGGCGTTCAATTCCCGCAAATTGATTACTGGGCGGAACTCTCCTGACTTTTTCTTCACTAGAAAAATTGAGCTGAAGAAGCCCCCCAAATCCGGGGCCTGTTGGACTGCGCCTTTGGCGAACAGTGCCCGAACTTCCGCATCTATCAAGGACTGTTCTCTTGAGATGATGGGGACCCTTAGTGGTCCAACCTGTGTCAGAGGGGAGTGGAAATCTATGACGTAACCTCATATCGTCTGAAGGACCCATACATCTGAAGACACCTCCCGCCACCTGTCTCTGTAGTGAAACAGTCTGCCCACATGCAATAGTGGGGGATTGAAAGTGGCAGGAGTTGTACTCACCTGTAGGAAATCTTGCCCATCCTCTTGCACTCTACCCCCGCCCTCTAAGTGTAGGGGGGTCTGGATTGATACAATGGAAAGAAGGATGGACCACGGGATCTTTGGTGGCCCGAAGACCGGCCGCGGCTGGAGACACGACCCCGCTGTCGTCCAGCCCTTCCAAAAACCCGGGATGACTGTGGACGGAATACCTTCTTTATGGAGGACTGTGCTTTATCCAGGGAGGTAAACAGATTAACGTGCTTATGCAGCTCCCTAATGAAAGGTTCCCCGAACAGCAGGCCTTTAGCCAGGGGGCCCAATTCTTTGGACCCCAGCTCAGACAGTTTGTTGTCCATACAGAACAGTGCTGTCTTCCTGTGCTCTGTGCAGAAGGCCACATTGGCATTGCCCAGCAGGCATGGTGGCTGGGTCCAGGTTCGTACCCTCTGTGTAGGCCTCATCCGCCAGGGCCAACATCCTGCACAGGGGACCCAGCATATCCAGCTGTTTATCTTGCTCTGAACGGAGGCTACGCTCCACCCCTTTCTTGGGGTCCCAACCTGTACGAGTCAAATACGTGGCCACCAGGGGGTCAAAATCCGGGGTTCCTGCCACCTTGTCCGTCAGAACGGGTCTGGGGCATTCCGCCCGCAGCTTCTTGCGGACCTCCCCTTCAAGAGGTCTGCGGACCCAGTAGTGCACGAATTGTGCCAAGTGGTCGGGCAGTGACCATTCTGAGGATCTGGGGTGCCGGATAGACCGAGGGTCAAACAGAGGCTCTCCTGTAGCATCCAGGAAGGTGTCGACCTCTAGCACCGCCGTGGGGGCCTCTGTCGCCGGCGCGTCTTCATCCTCCCAGCGCCAATTGGGGCCATCCCCACGGTCCTCCTCCCAATCATCTTCTTCCTCTGAGAGAGACTGGTCTGCCCGCCACTCATCCAGCACGGCCATAGTAGGGGGGAGTAAGGAGGCCTCCTCCCCTGCACCCGATAGACGGCGGCGTTTGGCCGACGAGGTTGATATCCTCGAACCTTGTCGCTTCACCGGAGCCTTGCCTTTCCGGGAGCGTGGTTCAGGCCTTCACCCTTCCAATAGCGCATTTGCGCACTTGCCTGCTCTTGTTCTTGAGAGTCTGACTCAGCCGAGTCGTCTGCCAAGAGGGGGGTTCCTCTCGCACCCCTGTCCGGTTGTGATTGAGGGAGGGCCCTAGGCAGGGCTTTCTCCACAGAGGTGGTCACAGCCGCATTAATCAATGCCTGCAAATTCTGCTTCTGTGCAGAGGCTTCCATAATGTCTGAGACGATGGTACATGATACCTAAGGAGATAGAGAACAGGTATCACTAGCAGGCAGTAGGGGCCGCACCCCTAGTATTGGCAGAGGCAAGCAGTAAACGCATGCAGGCTCAACAAACAGAGGTCCAGGGTATGGAGCCACCAGGCCAGTAGCATGCGTAATATGGCACAGACAGAGCAGGCCAAATCATGGGGCACTGACAAAGCAGGCCAATCAAGGGGCACAGACAAAGCAGGCCAATCATAAGGGCACAGAAAAAGCAGGCCAGTACATGGGCACGGGTAGCACCGGCCCAGTGTTATATGTAGGCAGGAACGTAGATCCTTATTGTAGACATGCAGGTATATCTTGGCATAGAGGGCGTGCAGGGTAGAGATGTAACAGGGTCCCCAGACCAGTCCTAGGTCAATGAGAGGGCAGTGATGCCAAGCAGGGTCCCATGCAGGTGTCATGCACGTGTAATGCATAGAGCAACCTATATACCTACATAAAACATGCACTGAGAAAAATTGCAGGCAGTAGCAATGAACCCCAAAACATGCCCAGATAAATACTGTTAGAATGCAGTGATGTCCCCCCCACAGTGGGGACTGAGCAGTACGCCGAGCAGTTCAAAAGAAGAAATGGACACTGTGCCTTTATGGAATCAGTGTCACACGCGCGGCAGACTCGGGTTAGAGCCGCGCACCCCTGTGTCCGACCACGCGGTCGCAGGGGGAAAGGCGTTCGGGAGCGGAGGCTCCCGCGGTAATAGTGCAGCTCCCTGCTCCTTCCCCACGCCGCTCGGGCAGAAGCAAACAAGCGAGCAGGAACGTGGGCAGGACAGGGAGGCAAGGAGAGGATTCCCGCTCGGCGGATGAAGCCGGCGGGCGGGAATCAATACAAGGAACACGTGGGACCACCGGAATCTTACTCCGCGGCCCCGACGGTCGGCACGGGAGGCGGTCGGATGACCGCTTCTCGGCCAATGTCCACAGAAAACGAAAAACAAATGATGCAGACAAAACAAACAACAAGCCTAAGGAAAGAAAAAAATTAAGTAAAAAGGAAAATTAAGTAAAAAGACAGAAATCACTGTAAACTCCAATACACAAGTATAAAATAACAAGTTACATATAATAAAACACACAGCCACCCATATAAAACAGGAGGCAGTGGTACTCTGACCTGTACTGACTGCGGAGCAGCAAGTAAAGAGGAAATGGTTGGTTGGGAAGAGCCTTTTGTGGATTCCTTATGTTTTTGTCTTTGGTGTTTTCTCTCTATGTTAATGTGCTGCTGTGGAGTTCTAGTAAAGAGAGACTTAAGCAAATATGAAGCCTCCTGTCATGTTCTAAAACTGATTACTTTACACAGTTACTGCTCCAAGTTTCAAACGTTACTCCACTAATTCATTAGTGAACTCATGTATAACTTAAGTTTGAAGTGGAATTGTAAAATGTGTCTCTTGAAGGAGCACTTTAAACATCATCATATTGTTTGGTGCAATGTGTTAGTTTACGGTTACTTATTCTATAGGTGTTTTTGTTTTGTTTCATTTTTGCAGTCTTCGTTTGTTTTTTAGTTAACCCCTTAACCCCTTAAGGACCAAACTTCTGGAATAAAAGGGAATCATGACATGTCACACATGTCATGTGTCCTTAAGGGGTTAAGGACACATGACATGTGTGACATGTTATGATTCCCTTTTATTCCAGAAGTTTGGTCCTTAAGGGGTTAAATGCGTGTTAGAAAAGAGGGGTCAGAAAGTCAAATTTTTACTATTAGGCAGTTTTTCCTTTTTTCTCTAAATGTGCCGCTTTCTATGATTATACAAGGTCGGTGTGAGTTGTAGTTCAGTTACAACATTAAAACAAGCTGCCCAATATTTGCAGTGTGGTAGGGTGCATTATACTGCTGAACTTTGCTCTGGAATCAGGGAGCACCAATGCTATGAAGAGGTGTATGTAGTCGAGGTTCCCCAGCAGAACATGGCCCAAAGAAAAACACTGCCTCTGCTGGCTTGCTTTCTTCCCATAGTGCATCCTGCTGCCATTTCATAACCAGGTAATCTTTGCACACACATCTGACCTTCCACCTGATCTATAAAACAATGCAGTTCGTCAGATCAGGCAATCTTCTTCCTTTGCTTCATGATCCAGTTCTGAAGCTGACATCCCCATTGAAGGCGCCTTCGGCGGTGGACAGGGATCATCATCACTTTGCACTTTGACCGTAGCTCCCATATGCAGCAAACTGCGATGCTTTCAATCATGGCCAGCAAAATGTTTTTCAGCAATATGAGCTACAGTAGCTCTTCTGTGTGATCAGACCAATCTAGCTAGCCTGTGCTCCCCACGTGCATCAGTGAGCCTTTAATGCCCAAGTCCCTGTTGCCGGTTCAACGGTTATACTTCCTTGCACCATTTCTGGTAGGTACTAACCACTGCATACCGAGAATTCGCCACAAGACTTACCTTTTTGGAGATGCTCTGACACAGTCGTCTAATCATTACTATTTGGCTTTTGTCAATGCCACTCAGATATTTTTGCTTTCCTATTTTTCCTGCTTCCAACACATCAAACTTAAGAACTGACTGTTCACTTGCTGTCTAATTTACCGCACCCCTTGACAAATGCCATTGTAACAATATAACAATGGTCACTTCACCTGTCATTGGTTTTAACGCTCAGCGGTTCCCAAACTGTGTGCTTCGGCCCCTGGGGCTCCGCAATTTGCACACTGGGGTGCCGCAGAATATTTCCCCGGTGCTATGATTATAGCATTGGAGAAACATTACTGCTCAACAGGGACCCGGCCCAGTGACGCGGTCCTTTAAGACTGCTACCGGGCCCCTGTAATGTCGGCCGGGTGGGAGAAAGTGACAGCCTGTCACTTTATCCCAGCATCCTGCAGGGAGACAGCACGGGAGTGAGAGGAGGCAGTTGCAGCGTGAGGGGAGAGGAGCATAAAGAGCTCCAACCCCTCACTCCCACAGCAGCAGCAGAACTGGCACATAAGGTAAGCTGACAGGAGTAAGCCTGGAGATATAAAAAAAATCACTTGTGTGGGTATGTGTGTGAGTGTATGAGTATGTATGTGTATGTGTATGTGTGTGTGAGTATGAGTGTTTGTATGTGTATTAGTGTGAGTGTTTGTATGTGTATGAGTGTGTGTGTCAGGGTGCATGTGTGTCTATGTTGGTGTGTATCTATGTATGTGTCATTGTATATCTATATGTGTGTGTCGGTGTATTTATTTGCATCTGTGTTTTAATGTGCATGAATATCTTTGTAAATATGTATGTATGTGCATACATCCAAGCAAACACCAGCACAACATACAAGCACACTCCTGCAATCTAACACAAATATTACATACAAACACAAACCTGCATTCAAACACAAATACTTCACACAAATGTACATGCACTTTTAAAAGTGAACATTACATTCAGACACACCCCTGCAATGAAACGCAAACATCACATACAAACACACCCCTGTAATACAATAAATGTATATAAGCACACCTTCAAACATCAACACTGTACATTACACTATAGTGCCAGTAAATGCAGTAGCGCTGTACAGATAGACAACCTAGAAATTTTGACTTGGGGTGCCTTAGAAAAATACTGAAATATTAAGGGCGCCTTGAACCTAAAAAGTTTGGGAACCACTGCTGTGACTGATGAATGTATGTAATAATAGTAATATATGTTCAGAACATATTTTTTATAAAAAAAATAAAAATTAAAATAAATTGGCTAAATCAAGTAGTTTGTTGTGTTTTAAAGCTAGATTATGTGTCTATATTATTATCTATAAGGCTGAATATCAGTAGATATTACATTGTTATGTATTATATTATATTATAAACTGTTACTGTTTAGTGACTCTTACCTTGTAGACCTCCTACACTACTAGAAATGATGATTCTACCCTTCTTCCTTTTTTTCATCCCAGGCAGAAAGGCTTGGATAGTGCTAATGGTTCCAAAAAGGTTGACATCAAATATGTTCTTCATGGCATCATAGGTGTGACATTCCAAAGGCCCCATCAAACCAACACCAGCATTACATACTGTATATAAAAAAGTTAGGTTAGTAGCGGAGAGACCGGCCCGAGAGACCAAAACAGAGCTAACAGTAGGGGGTGCTGACAGAAAGGTTAAGACACAGACAAATGATTAATAGTAACCATTAAAAAAAATCTTGTTACCAAAGCTATTAAAACCAGAATCCAATGACACAATTTAAGTCACCACATTTGAACCCCCATCAGTACCAACCATCAACTTTCAATTACCCACATTGAACCTACTTAGCCAATAGAGGAAGCAAACTAGGGGGTACAATGAAACTCCAACTCGTTCATGCTAAAATTGTTCATGCTCAGTTACTAAAGAACTGAAGGAAAACTACTTATTATATATACGATTATATGCCAATGTTTTGCAATTATATGTTACACAACGTTTCTACATTGTAATTCTAGTTCTTGCACATTTTTTTCTTTGTCATATTGCATGTATATCTAAAGCCTTTTGTTGTAATACTCTTAAAAATAAAGTACAAGACTGTATTCCTAACACTATAGTACCCCTGTCCCTAGTTCTATACACCCATGTGCCATAAAACTTAAAAATAATATATATAATTTGTATTTATATTTATGTTTCTGTCTCCTTTGTTCCTCTCCCAACGTACATTTCCCTAATGGAAAAAGGCTAAAATATAATTAGTGTAACTCCCACTAATCTTGGGCTGGGATATTGGTAGCCCATTCTGCCCTGCGATTTGGGAATCACTGCACTTTGTCAGTAACCAATGATTATGACAAATATATATGATCGATCTATCTATCTATCTATCTACATTGTTTTTTTTCAACAGGCATATCATATTAAAACCCGGTTTTAAATCTGTAATGTATTGTACTAGGGCAAGATTACAAATACACAGACAACTTTAAGGCAAAAAATCCAACTCACTTAGAATATCTACTCGCTGTTCCTTTATCTTCTCAACAGTGGCCATCACAGATTGCTGGTCTGTTACATCCATCTGTAGGATCTCAAATGTGTCAATGTGGCAGTCCCGTACACACTCCAGAAGACGTTCTTTCTTAGACAGATCACGCATGGTAGCATAGACTGGAGGCCAAAGATCAAAAAATGAAGAGGCACTATTTAAAAAATCAAAAAGCACTGACGGTATATGTGAATAGAAGTTTGTGAATACACTGCTTTCTTGACATATTGAACTTACAATAAAACATTAGTTTCCCTGGAACAATGAAAACTGTTTTAGCAAGAATAATTATTTCAAATATTATCATAATTTTTCTTTGTCATCATTACAATTAATTATGTGAGAGCCTTACTGATTTGATTTAATTTCTGTATATGTCCTTATATTTAATTTTATTTGGAAGAAATATGATTATTTATTAAAGGCTGAGTATGCAGTAGCAAATGTAACAAAAATTATTTGAAGCAATTGAGTTAATACAGATAATTTGGGTAATTTACTAAATATGCTAATATTCATTTTGAGCAATCTGAACTCTGAAATTGAAGTGTATTGACTCTAGATGGGTCTCTCTAAATTGATCAGAATTCAGAAATTGATACATGGGAGCCATTAATTGAAAATCATCTAAATGTGTTAAAGGAACACTACAGTGAAATACAAAGTTGTATTTCTAAACTATAGTGTCCCTCTGCTCCCCCCCCCCTCCCTCTCACACCTCATGGCAATTAAAGGGTTAAAAATACCCTTTTCCACCAGGAGGAAACTAATGTGCATTCATGCAGCGTGGGCATTAGGCCTTCCCCATAAGAAAACATTAAATCAATTCTTTGAAGACGCTGGAAGCCCTCATGCACTTCCCTTTTACATTAGTACCACTTTCCAGAGCACAACACATTGATAAATCTCCCATATTATTTCTGTTTCCTCTCCTGTCTCTATGCGCTCTCTGTTCTGACTGACAAAGGCAAAGTTATTATTATAATTTTTATAATGACAGAAAATGGCAGAGTTTATAATTATAACAGAGAGGCAAAATGGAGGAGTTCAGTTCCAGTGCAGAGGTAAGCGCAACGTGCATTTCTACATTTAACTTTATTTCTCAGACCTCAACAACATATACAGAGCTATTGACTAAAGTGAGAATTCAAAGTAAATTCTGACTCTAAGGTAAAAATAGCCGATCTGGAAAGATTCTCAAAAGTCAGCAATGCTTTCAGTTCCGCTACTCTAGCCTTAAATTTGAAATTCCCTTTGAATTGTCACTTTCATGAAAAAACCCTGGTATTTGTAAAATAGAGGGGAAATTAGTTGGATAGATAACTGCATCTGTATCTGTTCTAAATGTATACAGCTATCTATTGCTCATAGATTAAGCAAGTCAGTAATATTCACTGGACACCCCATCATTTTCTACAGCTAGACCATAAATAAAGCTACAGCTGTCGACAAACTGCAACACCTATGATGCTTTTCCAGATTTAAGGCTAGCATAGCATGAAGGGAGCTGTAGTAAAACAAACTTAGATAAAAAAAATTTGGGGTCACCCCTGAACTAGAACAAAGTTTTTCAACCAGGAACCATAAGTAACAGAGTATTTCAGCCAAGTAGCTCACCAATGCCAACTTGTTAACTAACAAATACCCATAATATCTCTTACAGCAATTGCTTGATAGAAGATACCATTTACATTTAAAAGTGAACAGGTAGTGATGTACTCACAAGGCCCATTATATGCTATACCTACAATATTAACAAACTACAAATCAGGAAGAGGGGGCCAGGTCACTTTTTTAAATATTATGTTATGTCCAATTACATCACACCAAAGATCAAATGAGCTACTACAAATATTTAGAAAAAAATTCCTGGATGGTTTTAATTTTGTAAACTATGTACATAGTGGAATAGACGCACTTTGGGATTCAGGCTGCTGTAGACTACCCTTTACATTGAAGGAGTTGGCAACTTTCGGCACTTCAGATGTTGTGGACTACATCTACCAGGATGCTTTGCCACCATTACAGTTGTAATGGTATTATGGGCGATGTGTTCACAACATCTGGAGTGCCAAATATTGCCTACCGTGCCTTAGATGAAGCTCAGCAAAGCTGTAATATGTAGAGTCATAGTATTAAATTTTTTTTATAAACTCCCCATAATTGACTGGGTCCTAATGCAATCTATTTAAATAGTTATAAATTCTGTCCTTGCCGGGTATTTTAATGCACCTTCACAATGAAGAAATGTGATGGAGTTAATACAGGACAGGTGACGAACAAACAGTAGAGGTTCGACACAATGGACCATTGGTGTCTGATCTGGGTCCATTCACTAAACAAAACCGCAAGTAGTGATAAGATGATGACTGGCTTGCCAAATTTATGCTGAACAACATTTAATAGGAAACTATATTAAATATTATAAGCATATCTAAAAATACTGAAATTTGTCAGGCTTACTCAATGTGACTTTTTTGTATTAATTTTCTGCTCAACACATTGAAGCTATAATACTGGCATACTCTACTAGTGAAAGAATAAGAAAGACTGTTAAACTCATAAACATCTTAGAATATAATGCATAAAAATAGGATTACCTTTAAATCTTGAGCAGGTGTCAGAGGCAAGAAGTACTGCCAAGCCTAGCCCAATTCCGGAGGAACATCCTGTTATGAGAACCACTCTCTTCTCCATCTGAAACGCATGTGAATACACACAAGCTCAAAATTAAATCTTGGAACTGTGAGAACCCTTACTGTTTGTTGCAGCCAACCCATTCTAGTATCTCATATTTTGTCTTGGAGTAATTTCTCAAGGGTACCAGATGGTTTTCTCAAGGGTACACTTTCTGATTCTCCAACTAGATGAACATTTTCTAGTCTGACGTAAAGCACTTAAAAAACATGGTTTAAAAATTGCCAAATTTGCTAAAAAAATCTTTCATATACAACAAAAGCTGTCTCCAGAACCAAAACAATACAACAGAACAAAAACAAATACTAAATCTATTAGCCTTTAGGCAACAAATTACCTATTTTTCATGGGACACTCCTATGTCCCCCCATTTTTTTTTATCACTATTTAGTTGATACACTCCCAATTGCTATTTTTTTCATTATGGGTATGATTTGCCAATTTTCACATATTTCTATTATAAACAAAAATGTCTGTTCCTGAACATATTCTTTTGCTAGCAAAAGTCACTTCAATTAGGGCAGTTGTCTCAAAATATCAATATTTATTGTAACAGAAAATATGTTCATACAACAATGTGCTGTGATCTTCACAACTGGAAGACTCGCTTACACAAAATCTCATCATTAACTTGTTGGGACGAGGTATTTGTCATTTACAGTTTGTGTTTATGACAAGACAGTTTCATGGCTATTTTTGTTACCTGTAACAACTTGGTCGAGTTGTGTTCTGTCCTGGAACTCAGGTGCAGTAACAGCTCTCCCTTACAAGCACGATCCACAGAGATCCTGAGGCAGGGCCGTCTTTAATAACGAATGGACCCTGGGCAAGTGTTTGCTTGGGCCCCCTGGGCCCTGCCGCTCTCGCCCCTCACTCCCTGGTATGCAATCACGGCATCCATCCCAACGCAGTGGCGGTACTAAAGTAGAATGAATTTTATTGGGACCCCCAATTGCAAGGTTGGACTAAAGGTAGAACCCCATCTGTCGTGCAACTCCAACAATGCTTTGACAGCTGGGACTCTACCAATTTCCCATGCTTGCAGGGTTGTATTTAGCACTGAGCCATGTTTGTATGTTTGAATGTAAGCATGTGTTTGTATGGAGTATGTTTGTGTGAATGTGTTTGTATGTGGTACTGGAGTTTGAATGCAAGTGTGCATTTATGTGTAGTGTTTGTTTTTGAATGTAGGAGTGTGCTTGTATGTAGTGTTGACATTTCAATGCAGGAGTGTGTTTTATATGTAGTGATGAAGTTTGAATGGAGGGGTGTATTTGTATTTAAAGTTGCGGCTCAGATGCACAGGTACACACTCTGACGCACAAGCAGATACACAGATACATACACTGACTACATACAGATAAACAGGCACATACACTGACAGACACACTGACACAGGTACATATATTGACACACACACAGACACATACACTGGTAGACGTACTGACAGACATACTGACACAGGCACATATACAGACATACTGACACACAGACACATATACCGACATACTGACACACACACACAGACACATACACTGATCAACATACTGACACACATACACTGACAGAAATACTGACACCCACACACTGACAGATATACTGACACCCACATACACTGAGAAATACTGACACACACACACAGGCACATACACTGACACACACAGACTGATATACTGACACACACACACAGACATACTGGCACACAGACAGATATACTGACACATGCATACACATGCACTAACAGACATACTGACGCACTGACAGACATACTGACACACACAGATATACACACACACATATATACTGACACACAGACAGACAGACATACTGACACACACACACAGACATACTGACACACACACAGACAGGCATACTGACATGCACAGACAGACTGACACACACACAAAGACATACTGAAACACACACACACAGATATACTGACACACAGACAGACATACATACTGACAAAAACACACACAGACATACTGACACACAGACAGACATACATACTGACAAAAACACACACAGACATACTGACACACAGACACTAACACACAAACACACACACTAACACACATACACTAACACACACTAACACACATACACTAACACACTAACACACATACACTAACACACACACACTAACACAAACTAACACACATACACTAACACACACTAACACACATACACTAACACACTAACACACATACACTAACACAAACTAACACACATACACTAACACACACTAACACACAAACACACACTAACACACATTTTTTTTAAAATGTAATCCCCCCAGCCTCCTTACCTTTTGGAGTGCTGGGGGGATTCCCTGGGGTCCAGTGGCCCTGCTGACCCCGGCGGGCGGGCGGGTGGCCGGTCGGGCAGGAAGGCGGGCGCGCGAGGGAGCACTCACTGCTTCCTCTTCAGCTCCCTCGCGCGCCGCGTAGGGATGCCGGCGCCGGAAGATGGCGTCATCTTCCGGCTCCGGCATCAGTGCGGTGCGCGAGGGAGCTGAAGAGGAAGCAGTGAGTGCTCCCTCGCGCGCCCGCCTTCCTGCCCGACCGGCCACCCGCCCGCCCGCCGGGGTCAGCAGGGCCAGCCTCGGGGGGCCCTGGGGTGGCCGCCTCCTGGGCCCCCCCAGGGGAAGAGGCTGGCCCTGTGGCTACATACCAGGGTCGCAGCCGCGACCCTGGTATGTACGTCACTGCCCCAAGTGCATGGGCCACCCGGTGGGACGGGAAAAAAATTAATTGATGAGGGCAGCGGGGCCCACGGGGCAGGTGCCTCGGGCCCCCCAAGAGAAACTGGGCCCGGGGCAGCTGCCCCGTTTGCCCCGCGTTAAAGACGGCCCTGTCCTGAGGGTGAGAACAGGATTCTCTCGGTTCAGTGATGGCAAGGGGGCTTTAATATTCCCAGGCAAGGTATCCAAAGAAGGGTCAGGCAGAAATTGGAGTCAGATGGTCCAGAGGTCAGGGCAGGGGGCAATGAGCAAAGTTGGAGGGCAAGCAAAGTATTGAAACCGTCAAGAACAGGAAACACCTGGAAACAGTTGCTAGAAGTTCTGAGCAGGCAACAATAAAGCACTAAATGACAGGTGTGCTCTGCTTATAAAGGGCTTGCTAAATCACATAACCTGGTCTTACCTGCAAGCGGGATTACCAGAGGTCAAATATAAATGACTCTGGGACTCAAACAAGCCTCCCCACATTGACATACCTTTTCCTTGGTGGTCCAGTGGGATCTCTACCCTGTCTGGAGCTCTGCCAGGTGTGAGCTGCAGACCATGTGATTGATATCTTGCGAGCTCCGGTCAGAGCGTTGCCGTGGTAGCCTGCGGCAACACTCTGTGAGCTTGTGAGACCTCCATCACATGGTCTAAAGCTGCAGACCATAGGATCTCCCCGGACCAACTGAGCGGAGGACTCTGCACCCGGCAGCATACTGGTGTCGGGCCCTAGGTCATAGACCGAGGACCCGATTGATTAGTCTGCCCTAATGATTGGAGAGCAACCTCTGCTGAATAGATATATGCAGCAGGCGAGGCCTGGGCCCCTAACGATAGGAGCGGCAGAATCCCACTCCTGTTAAAGTGCCACCTGGGGCAGTGCGATCCCAGTCCTTCCTATGGACGGGGCTGGCCTTGGTACCAGCAGTTTTGTGACATTACCACAGGTTTACTCACACCCACCAGGGAGGACAGGGTTTCCACAACCGACAGAATCATGTTATCTCTCTCACATAGCAGCACAATTTACAGGTATATAAAAAACCAACTTGCAAAACCTGCAGATCTATTGCCTGAAGCCTTTGCATATCCTCCCCTTCTTCCCCAGCGTAAACCTTTTGTGGCTGTCCAATCACAGACTTTTCCAATGCAGCTTAATGAGAAGTCTTTGCAAGGCAGGTACTCTGAGCAATTGCTGTCTTTTGATTTAAGCTCAACTGAATTCATCAAACCAGGAAGTAACAGGACCATTTGGAAGAGGAGGGCTGCCTCTTTGGCAATATGTTTTAGATATACCACTTGTGAAAAAAATGCATAATTAAAAGCATATATGTTTTCATTGTGAGTACTCTATCAAATAATGCTTTTTTAATGTCATTTAATTTTTTGGAGATGGGCAGTGGAGGGACCCTAGAAAGAAACAAATGCCCAGTTTCCACTGAGTGGTATGGTTCAGGTCGGTATGGTCTGGTGCTCTATTTTGAGTGTTTCCATTATGAAAATGGCCCATACAACCAAACCAAACCACACCATTCCTGGGCCCCCTTCAGATATAGATCCATAGGAAATGGTACGGTACGGTTAGGGCAGAGCTACTGGCTTCACACTATACAATCTGTTGATTGGCGGACAGTAAAACGTCAATACTCACGACAAATGACACGCTAGGTATTTGGTCTAAACCCCGCATGCCCCCTGGCAGTCCGACTTGCAGTCTAAACGCTCACCTCAATAGGCTGGACTATTCTAACCATTCCGAATCGTACCAACCCGCACCACTCAGTGGAAACGAGGCGTTAGTATGCAATCAGCCGAAACAAAGAGAGATCTTATATATAAATCTGTTAACAACCTCATCTTAATATTAACTGCCTGTCTAGCAACTTGAAAGTCCCTAATTCACCCTGAAATCAGCAAACTATCTGAAACAACCTTTAAAGGGTTTATACAATTTACTTTCCCCTTATTTATTCAAAATACTCGATTAACAACAAAAAACAAAAAAAAAAATGACTAGTGCCGGATTTCCCCTGTGCGTGCTTTGCTAACTATATGTTAGTTTATTGGACAGATAGTGTGTGTGATTACAGCTGGCATTCAAACAGGAACAGCAAAAATCCAAATCTACTTTTTTATCAGCTTTATGCTTGGGAAAGGCAAATTTGCATATCTGAGCATTAGCTGGGCTAGCCTTTTTTCCAATTCCTGGGTCTTTTTAATAAATAAGCATAACGTCAAATATACCCTTTATAGGTTTCTTCAGATAGTTTGTTGATTTTAGAGGGAAGGGGGGACTCTGTCTGAGTTGTAGGACAGGCACCCCTGTGGGGGATAGGGGCTGTAAAGGGTATTGATAGGGTAGGAGCTGTGATGGGGCAGTAGTGAGGGAGAATATATACTTAAAAGCATAAGTAATAAAAAAACGATATATATTCCCCCTGGGCTTTATCTGTGGCCATGGAGGGAGGCAAGCTTATCCCTGGTTGTCTGGTAGGAGAATAAGCTTCAGCTTCTTCCAGCTGGTGCAGGGAAGTGTGACAGAGTGTTGCAGTGATAATGTGCGGCAACACTCTGATATGTTAGGAGGAGAGAGGCCAAGTTCTCCCTCCTTCCCCTTAGAAACCATGTGGCTGAAAATTCTCTTACCGGTCATGGGATTGGGGCGGTGTGGGGACATGCAGCCTGTAACACTGATCAGGAGAGCTCTGCGCTGCACAACCTGCAGAAAAAGCCGAACGGAGCTGCCCTGATCAGTGTTACAGGCAACGTGCACACTCCATATGGCTGGTACATCTCCTGGCAGAGACTATGCCAATTTCTTTCAGCCACATTCTAGAGACAGACACACTAAGAGGCAGCCTAATGGGTCTATAAAAAGGTCCTTCAGCTGTCCCTCAGGATGTTCTCTTTAGTGTGGCCAAGCAAGGGGGGGAGACGGTCTTTGCCTGAGGAGCCCACAGAAGGTTGTGAGGGCCCTTTACTGTGGGCAGGTTGGCTGGGGAGCCTGTTGAACTTAGCTGAACCATCACTTTACAGTCCATGACCGATTTGCCCAAGTTCTCAGTCCGCCCCTGGTGCCTAAACTGTCCCTTTAAAGTCTAGGTTGCTAAAAAGATTTATATATCAGGTCTCTCTTTCTTACTTATTCCTCTTTTGGCTTTTTGCATACTGAAGTAGCAGGGTATTTCAATAGAAATTGATACATATGTAAATGGGTGGAATGTCCCTTTTTATAATTGTAAACTTTCGCATATCATGCAGATTTTCAGGTTCTACTGGCATGACATGGCGGCCCCGTGGAGTAAGAGGTCTCAGGTTGCTGGTCATGCTTATTTCCTTGCTGTGAAGGTATAGTGTAGGTCCTTCTTTTCAAACACTCCAATTCTCACTCTGATTGGACGACAAAGCTATGGGAGCAGCTGAGGACACCTATGGGTCAACCCAATGGGTAGGGGCTTAGTCGGACAGAGGTAAAATTAAGTGTACCTTGCTAAACCCTTAAGGGAATGGTTTACCAGAACATGGCACCGCTTTAGGTTGTATAAGAGCACTTAATTGGTACAATATGCTATGTAATTGGTATGCGGACCTTGGCGTCCTTGTTTACCTTCACGTCTTATGCTTACTCAGCCCATCACAGTCTGATCTCAAATGTAATTTATGAAAAAGGGTTTTAATGTTGATGCTTGCATATCCTGCAATTGTGTTCGCTTTATGAACAGAGACCAATAAAAATCTTATTTAAATGTTTTTACTTTGTTTACACACCCTTGGTGTCAATCAGACAACTGGTCCTTTTAATTCTTTGTTTGTTAGCTCAGTGGAACTAAACTCAAAAAGCAGCAATTACCCAAAGCACCTGCCTTGCAGAGACATCTCATTGAGCTGAATTGGGAAGTCTATAACTGGACATCCACAAGAGGTCTGGGTGGGTTTAGAAGGGGAGGGGGTGCAGATATAGCCCTTAAATGTATGCATGTTTTTATTGGCAAAAAACAGCGATTTTAATTTTTATGTTGGTGGTGGAATGTCCCTTCATCGATTTTATAATTGTAAAAGTGATGCTAAAATGTATTGGAATGGTTGCAATGTAATTGCCTAAACATTGTTAAACATATCAGTATCAGGTTAGAGATTGTATTTTCCCTACTTATCTGGACGAATGATGGCCTGTGACATGTTGTGTGTCATAGTTTGTGTTTTATCACTGTTAGCTTTCTCTTTTCATTCTTTTATTCTTTTTGTTCACTCATCTGTCTGTCCTATGTAGATTAATGAATATGTGTTTTATTTTGTACCAACAACTCTAAGCATGTTAACATTTTCATATTTCGTATGCGAAACAGGAATAGTATTCGGTAACCGGGTCCACTCTTCACCACCAGGTTTGTCACTTTTCTTGTCGGGCAGTAAAATGAATGTAAACAAATCCAAACATATTTGATTGATGAGACTAAAACATTTGGAACTTTTAACATTTTCCCTTACATGTTACTGGAATTCTTATCATTTGTAAGCAAAGGGCATCCACTGAATGTTTTCATGTTTTGTCTGGAAACAGTCCAGGGTATCTTTTTTTTTTTACTAAAGACTGGAACATCCCAAGGCAACAAACAGATCCGACCTTGAGTCAAATCCTGTATATCCGATGTTAGACTACTAGTCCATCAATTGTGGATATTTTTCTTGCTTAACCCCTTACGGACCAAACTTCTGGAATAAAAGGGAATCATGACATGTCACACATGTCATGTGTCCTTAAGGGGTTAAATCTACACTACAAACCTACTGATTTACAGCTGTAGCCTAATTATTTTGGGGTCAGGCACATGGTTGAAAATAAAAGCACTTCAACCTGGATAATATTATTTCAAAGCCTCTTAAGGCTTTGAACAAAGTTGACATTTGAGCTTCAAAACAAGACTGTATCATTATCGAACTCAAGTGCTTTATTGTATTGGTTTTATGTTTGCAGCAAAATGAAAGTGGACATGTGGAGAGAGCTTTTATCAACATATTTAGCAAAATATAGATTGTGACAAACAAAAATAAAAATGCTGCAGGTTACCAGCATGTAGCATTTATGACCATCACATCACGAATGCACCCTCATTGCCCACATTTAGACCTCAAATCCAATTTTTAATACGATCTTTTAAGATCCATTATCTTTGTTGTCCAGAGCCCTCCTCCACAACCTACCTTCCCATTGTCACAAATCTCATTTATTTTTCCTGTATCAACTTACCTCTTCTCCATGTTTAACTACTTACTCTCATCTAACATCTATTCACAGTTTTATAATTGCAGTTTCTACACTTTTTCTATATAATATTTTATCCTTCCATCCTTAGTGTCAAACATTTTCTTTCTTCTGAGCATATTGATTAAATTTATCCGTGTATGCTTGCTTTTGTGGTGTGAATCCAATCACTATTTGTTGCAGGTACAGTAAAATTGTACACTAGACCAAGTATTACAAACAAAGGTTAACCCTTTATGAGTTTATCTATTTATTAAAGGGACATTATAGTCATCAAGACCACTTCAGCTCAATGAAGTGGTCTGGGTGCCAGGTCCCTCAGGTTTTAAACCTTCAGATGTAAACATAACAGTTTCAGAGAAACTGCTATGTTTACATTTGGGGTTAATCCAGCCTCTAGTGGCTGTCTTCCGGACAGCCACCAGAGGCGCATCTGAGACGCAGGAGGCGAATTTCGCCTCCATTGGAAAGCATTGAGAAATGCTCTCCTATGGACACTTTGAATGGGCGCGCGGCCATTGCTGTGCATGCGCATTCAGCTCCACTGACGTCGGACGGGGAGCTGACTTCGGATGGTGAGGAGAGGTCACCAGCGCTGAGGGAGCCCGGCGCTGGAATAAGGTAAGCTGCTGGAGGGGTTTTAACCCCTTCAGCGTCACAGGAGGGGGACCCTGAGTGTAGGGGCTCCCTCAGGGCACTATAGTGTCAGGAAAACCGCTTTGTTTTCCTGACACTATAGTGATCCTTTAATGTTGCAACTTATTCAAACTAAAAGCAAAAATGAGTATGAAGGAGTGATCTCCGAGCATTGTACAAAGACATAAACCTATTAAATATGCAGAAATATTGATACTATTGGTAACTGACCTGTGTTAAACAATTGGAGAAAGAATTGTGAGGAGGGGGGAGTAAGAAAGAGTGATATTGCAGGATATTTGTGAAACAATGAGAAACGTATCCGTCTGTGTGAGCAAGCAGTCAAAACGGTGATGAGGTAGTACACTACTCCTGTAAAGCTGTGTAGAATGGGGAAAATTACTACAGATGTGTGGTGGTAACAGTGCAAGTCTAAAGGTACTTATACACATATGTGGATATGAACCCTTTTGGGATAGTGTACGGGCTCTTTTGTCAAGGGTTTTTAGAAGGCCGTTCGACTTAGACCCATGGGTATTTCTCATGTCCAAACCACTGGAGGGGTTGCGGACATGCTCCCAGAAACTGTAATAGATTAACCCTAGTGGCATATAGAACCTTGGCAGCAGGGTGGTTGAAGGACGAAAACCCCTATATGATGGAAGATAAGGCAAAAATAAAAACAAATTATCTCATGCTGCATAATACTACACAGACATTTGAGAATGTGTGAGTCCCATGGGAGGAGCTGGATGGATAAAAGGAGAGCGAAGTTTAAATGGAGTGGGCACTGGTCTCGAGATGGGATACTTATTTTTTCCCCCCTTTTTTTTTTTCTCATTTAATTATTATTTTCAAAGTTTAAGCTTATTTGCTACATATACAGAAAACATTTACAGAGAACCTTGCAGATTTTGCAGTGTGTGTCTTTCTCCCTCCCCCAAAAGTCGCCCAGTTTATCTCTTTCTCCCCCTCTCAGCCCCCTAGTGTGTGTCTCTTTCTCTCCCAACAACCACTCTGTGTTTATTTTTCTTTCCACACCCTCTGTGTCTCACTTTCCCCTCACACACTATGTGTATATCTTCCTCCCCTCCTCTCATTTTGTGTTTGTCTTTTCTACTTATTCCCTCTGGGGTTTGTTCCACTCTCCCCCCTACCTTTGTGGTCTCTTCTCCCTTCCCACATTCTTCTTTTCTTGTTAAGTGACTTTGCGGTCCAAGGTAGAGGATCTTCTGTCTCCTGTCGGACTCTATGTCACAGTCTGCATGGACACCCTACATGTAGTGACTAGCAGGGTGGAGAGCACTTGATGTGTGCTCCCCTCCTCCTGGCCACCAGGAGAGGGTGTACCACAGACTGGTGCGGCATAGGTAGCCTCTTGTGCCACCTTATGGTTGCGCCAGGCCTTGCAGGGTACAGACCATGTCTCTCACGAACGCCGGTGGTCAGAATGTTGCCGCGGTTTACTATAGCAACTCTACGATAATATTGTAGCTCAAGAGAAGACGGAGATTGCCCTGCATGTTTCCTGGAGGTTTCCTGGCTCACTTACACCATACAAAAAAGTCCTGCGCTCAAACTCCCATCACTCCTGGGCAGCAGCAACGACCACAGTACACATACATACGTACACAGCCCCAATACATACAGTAAAAACCAAAGAAAAAGGTTACCGGCGCTCTTCCAAAATCCATATGCATATTTAAACAAATGAAGGTTATTTGGTTTCTCCAATGGCCATGAGAGAGTTTAACCCAGCTGCCACGTCAAGGCAAACCTCTCAGGTGTGACTAAAACTAACCTTTCACCTTGCTTCCTTGAGCTTCGGGCAAAGATTTCTATAATGAGACAGAAAGGGGTAAAAAAAAATAAAAATTTTTTTTTATATATACACCCCCTTACCAAGCTAAACTCCGCTCCGGCCCTTGAATGGTCAGAGCTCCCTATTAGGGCTTTTGCTCCTCTTTATGGGTTAGCAGGGGAGATACTTTGATTTCCCCTGTCAGCCTCAGCCATGGGCAGGACTGGCCCACCGGGATACCGGGAAATTTCCTGGTGGGCCGTCGGCAACTTGGGCCGGGGAGGGAGCTGTTCTGACGGCCGCAGGGGGAGCTGGCTGTTCTGTCTCTGCTCCCCCACCCCAGCGCGCCGCTTAATGAGACGGGGCCGGAATATGACGTCATATTCCGGCCCCGGTCTCAGTAAGCAGTGCGCTGGGGTGGGGGAGCAGAGACAGAACAGCCAGCTCCCCATGCGGCCGCCAGCACACAGGTAAAAATTATGTGTGTCAGTGTGAGTGTATGTGTGTGTCTGTCTGTCATGGTGTGTCTGTCTGTGTCATGGTGTGTCATTGTATGTGTGTGTGTCTGTCTGTCATGGTGTGTGTGTGTGTCTGTGTCATGCAATGTGTGTCTGTGTCATTGTGTGTGTCTGTCATGTAATGTGTGTCTGTCTGTGTCACGGTCTCTCTGTGTCATGGTGTGTGTGTCTGTCTGTGTCATGTAATGTGTGTTTGTGTCACGGTCTGTCTGTATTATGGTGTGTGTGTGTTTCATGGTGTGTGTGGCTGTCTGTGTCATGCAATGTGTGTGTGTCATTGTGTGTGTCTGCCTGTCATGCAATGTGTGTCTGTGTCATTGTGTGTGTCTGTCATGTAATATGTGTCTGTCTGTGTCATGGTGTGTCTGTGTCACGGTGTGTGTGTGTCTGTGTCACGGTCTCTCTGTGTCATGGTGTGTCTCTGTCATGGTATGTGTGTGTGTGTGTATTTGTTTTTACTCAGCTTCCTCCCACCCCCACCCACCACACGTCGCGCTGGTCTCCCCTCGACTGGCCCTGCCTCTACGGCTGAGATCATCAAACTTGATGATCTCAGCCAATCCGCACTGACACAGAAAGCACCTCTAGTGACCGTCTGAGTGTCTGGCACTAGGAAGCAATGTAAACACTGCCTTTTCTCTAAAAAGTCAGTGTTTACATTGAAAAGCGTGCAGGGGCAGACTATAGCCACCAGAGCCACTACATTAAGCTGTGTGTGTGTGTGTGCGCGCCTGCTAGTGAGTGGGCTTGCTTGTGTGTGTGTGTGTGTGTGCCTGCTACTGAGTGAGCTTGTGTTTTTATGTCAATGATCTTATGTATATCAGTGAGATTGTTTGTCTATGAGGCTGTGTATCAATCAACTTGTGTCAGTGAGATTGTCTGTGTTTGCATGTGAGTATGCTTACTGTATAATTAAAGATTTTACTCTAAAAAGGACCAATATTTTATATTGGAAAAAGCAATATATATATCTATCTATCTCAATCATCTCGGGGGCAAAACATAGCCTTACATATTACATGCGACAATATATGGCGCAATGACTTATGGGGCTGGCATAGATTTTTTTTCCAGGGCTGCTTTGGAATCCCCAGTCCGGCCCTGGCCATCGCCCACCGGGCATTTGCCTGGTTTGCCCAATGACCAGTCTGGGCTTGACTGCCATTTACCAAGAATCTACTACTGCCATAATATTTCTCATCTCAGTTACTATATACATATCATCAGTGAAAGAGAATTAAAAAAAATAAAACACAGAAAGGAATTTTATCTCGGCAGGCTTAACATACACTATCGTTTATATATTCTCCTAACATGAAAGTCAACTCTTCTAATTGGGAGGAAGGTAACTTCTCTTATTGGGTGTAGGACAACGCCTCACACACCTGCCGGCTCAACCTAAGCTACAATTAGTTTTGTTACAAAATAATTATACTGCTGATCATACACTTTTATAATATAATTTTTACTCCAAAAAGGGAGCAAACCGAAAAAGGTAGAGATCTTGAACTTAATCCAAGCAAGGGACTAAATGGTAAGGGAACCTCATCTGGAGGATAACCCACAAGAGTAAGTATAACTAAAAAATAAACACAATAATGTCTAGTGAGCTCTAAGGCCTATAAGACACAAAAAAAAATATTGAAGAGCACAATTTTATTGCAAAACAGAAAAAGAAAACGTCATATATAAAGAGACAAAGACGGGGGCGGGGCCTGACAGCCAAGATGGCCGGTCGTGCTTTCTGAGCGTGCAGAATTGGCGTTTTTGTGCCCTCTATTACAGAACTACTGGTGCTAGCAGCAAACAGAGTCCAGAGAGCAAAACAGAATCACATGGGGCACACAATGATACCCGACCCGCATTGAAACCACATAAACATAAATGGACTGGCCATGAGGCCTACTGCGGAGTGGGACCTGCAGTTTGGGGGAGGCGGCCGATCCCCCGACACAGGACACGCTCGCAAGCAAACAATCGACAGGGCCCTGCAACCCCCCCCCCCACTGGACCGGTGGGGGTTATCCCGGTCCTCGCCAGGGGCGACTAACCCCACACTACAGCCAAACACGCAACGGCTCCGGAATGCCCCGGAGACTGAGGCGAAGATGGCGCCCAAGCAACACGGAGGGAGCACAAAGGAGCCAAAAACAAGCCTCACTAACCCAGCTGACTACACAGCATGGCTAAACAAAATTTTCGCAGCATTCTGGCGCAGGCTGGCACAGCACCTACGCACTCAAGCCGAGATCAATCGGGAAACTCACCCCTCACTGCGACCACGAGAAGGGCACAAAATGGCCGACGCACAGCGGGCACAGCATGCAAACACTCCCGTCCGCCCCAAAAAGCCCGACAGCGATCCCACTTAACAGCTCGGAGCAACAAATCTCCTTCTGGGCAAGGGAGCATACCGGACCAAAATCCGAACCACCGTCCACACACCCAAAGGAGCATCAGGAGAGTGAGGCTCCGGAGGGCCCACGGTCCCCCCATGTGTGGGAGAGGGACCCGAGGACACAGGGAAGTGCTCTCCACTACAACCCGGGCTGGAGGATCCGAGCATGCCCAGCCCCACCATAACAGCCGGTCGGGACGGGACCGACCAAGGAGCACCCACATTACACCCACAGCACCCCGGAGATCACTTACTCAAGGGACTGTAACACCCTGCATGAAGCAGACCATAGCGGCTACCAGCCAGACACCTTCATCAACTGCAACACCCATGCACAAATGGGGTATCGGCTGAACAGGCCACACTGGGGATGCACCAGCCCTTCACTGCCGGGCGTGGGCAGGCCGGAAGACTGACACGCGAGCTATACATACTTGCATGCTGGGACTTTCTCCTGCAGACACCGTCGACCAGGTCTTACCTAGTGGGCACCCCTCGGATATATTTGATATACCTGAACTAATGTTACCTTGTGCTATTTCATTTTTTAAGTTTGCATATATTACTGACGCAGGGTGACCCTACCGCAACCCAACTCTGCAGATGGACGTTGCCGGCCAGCACCCAGAATGTTCCTGTACCTATAGTATGTTGTGAGCCTATGTTTTCCATGTCTACTAGCCTAACCACAGCATAAAGTGTCTACGCATAGTTGTGTAAACTTATGGTTATCACTGTTCAAGCCTGTTTCTAGCTTAACTTAATTGACGACAATGCTTAAAAGACAAATCTACTAATGTTGATACTTGCATGACATATACCACTAGATTGCCTCACTACGTTTTAAAAATGTGCTCTCACTTCAATGCCACATATGTATAAATCTATGTTATTGATGTGATTATGTTTGCTGTTGTGGCAATATCATACTGTCAAACCATGCTCAACAAAAATAAAAAATAAAAAAAATAAAAATAAAGAGACAAAGAAAAAAAGAAAAAGAAAAGGAAACCATTAAAAAGTCAAATTGGCTAAAAGGCAAGCAGGGATGGGGGAGGGAGGGGAAGAAAATCTAATTTGAATTTCAATACTGCTACCCATATACAAACAATATATTCCCAGGGAGAAAAAAACTATAATGGGAAATAATTCAAATAAACAAATCCCAGCAGCATGCTTATTCTTGAATTAAGTAGCAGAATGTAACAATAGTATGAGAGGAATTATCAAGGGATATATAGCAACGTTGTTGCAATGATTGAGTTATATTCCAAGGCATTCTTTTTGACCAGAGTCAAAGTTTGAGAATAGAAATATCGTTAAAGGATCACTATAGGGTCAGGAACAAAAACATGTATTCCTGACTCTCTAGTGCAGGGGTAGGCAACCTACGGCACTCGAGGTGCCTTTGCACAGCACTCAAGGCTGCTAGAGCCAAACAGACTCTGGCCTATCAGGAGTCCCAGTAAAACTTCAGATATCCTCTAATACGAAGAGGTGGTGAAGGACAATCCTCAATGTATGCATTGCAGCACGTAGAGGAAGTGCTCTCAGAGCACTTAATTCCAGCACTTGTGAATGAGAATCCACACAGTAGTAGAGCAGCTCGCAGTTGTTGTTGCAGCTCCGGTCCTTGACCTGTACCTGGCCAACATGGTCCCCACTGGAACCCAGGGAAGCCACCCACATTGCTAGATATACACAGAAATGCAGAAAGACCCTCCCCTCATACAAATAATACAGACAGCCCACACACAAACATACACACAATCCGCACAAACATACACACTGTTGAGGACAAAAATATTAACCCAATTCATGTTAGTAAAATGCCTATTTACTCAGCATAACTACAATCAGCATTATTCAACTTTCTATGTGATTTACCTAAAATGACCGCTAGGGAGTTTCCTTCTTAACATCAACTAACACCCTCACTAACAAGATGGTGTTGGAATCTGGGGGAGACCTCCAAGATACCAATGACATCACACCCGGTAGGAAGAGCACTAAACAAACCACTTAACACCTAACCAATTATTGATGTATTATTTCATGTTATCTCCGATAATGCATATGATGTAATTTTGCTTTATAAGGGACTTGCCGTCCCCTCAGAATAAACATTCCTCAAGTTTTTCATTAACCCGAAACTTGTGTCTGGTGCACGCATTACTTCTTTAATTTGGCCGGGGGCAGATACGTAAGAATCAATTTATTGATTGATTTCCACATCACACACAATCCGCACAAACGCAACACCACTAACAATCCACATACATGCACACAACCCCACATGCAGCATCTTACATGCAATACCCCAAACAGCCCCCACACACACACACTACTAAACACACAATGTGACATATCCATCCACACACACAATTCCACAAGCTGCCCCCATACACAGCCCACATTCATATGTATCATACATGATACCACAATCTGCTCATAAACATATACAATATAATAGCTCATTTACGCACAAATACAACGATACAAAGCAATTACAGTATAAATAACACAAGCAGAATACGGCAGCATACAAACATCAATTAAAATTTTTTTTTTTTTAAAATAGGACCGGCACAGTACAATCCTATATCGGCACAGTGCTGATAAAAGGTTGCCTACCCATGCTCTAGTGTATAACCCACCATTTAGGTGGCTTGCCCCCCTATAAGAGTTTAAAACTTACCTTATTTACAGCACCTCGCTGTCTGCCGGCACAGGCTCTGCTCCCTTTGTTACATCACCAAAATGGCCGATTTTTTGCCAATCCCATAGGGAAAGAATTGGATTGGCTAAAATCAGCCCAGGGACGGGGCCAAATGCCATTTTGGCCATTCAGGACCTCATCATAGAGCTGCACTGAATCAATGCATCTCTATGAGGAAAATTCAGCGTCTCCATGTAAAGCGTGGGTACGCTGAACGTCTGGGTTGCTTACTGTGCAGCCCGGAGCCAGGAAGCCCCTCCAGTGACCATCTGAGGAATGGCCACTTGGAGGTGTCCCAGGAGCAATGTAAACACAGCCTTTTCTCTGAAAAGGCAGTGTTTACATGAAAATGCCTGAAGGGAGCTATTATACTCACCAGAACAACTACATTAAACTGTAGTTGTTCTGGTAACTATAGTGTCCCTTTAAAAACAAAAAGTTCTGTCCCAAAAGCAACCTTACAAAAGGATAAAACATACAAGAACCCATCATTACAAACAGGGTATATGCTAGATGGAACCAGGTGACAATTTGCTTCTATTGCTCTGTGTTAAACTTGTTTAGGGCATTGTATAAATACACTCGTAACAAATTAGGACTCTTGGAACTCTATTAGTTGAGCCTCCCACTTCCCTAAAGTAAAAGTATAATAATTATGTTTCAGATTCAAGGAGGAGGTGTTTTAGATTAAGATATATGGAGGAAAATGGAGAGCAGGAAAATCTATATTTAGACTACATGCCCATTTTATTCATTAACTCATAACCTGCAAGAGCTTGCAAACTAAATGTGAGGTGCTTTGTAGATTATTATTGATATGCAATTATTGGTTTAGCCTACTGATTCCTTAAAGTAACAACACCATTAGCTTGGTCTCTTTAGACAGGAAAATATCTGCAATAAATTGAACATATTAACTTATTTCATTAGGCATGAAAGTGTTACAAAAACATAACGAGCCCCTACAGCAGTACAATGGAACCTCAGAACTTGTCGAACAAAAATTTTGAGTAAAAAATGTCTCTGTACACGAACGATCCTCTGTACCTGAACAAATCATGCTACAAACATGTTCAATTAGATAAACTTGAGACACATTTTAAATGCTAGAAGAATAGTTACCTACCCCCAACCAAACAATAATATCTCTTCTCCTTTCCACTTATGCCATCAACTCCATTGTGTTTATTTATTTTTTCCTAAATGATTTTATGCATGTAAGGCATTATTAAAAATTTGTGTTATAATGCTGTAATTTTGGATGTCTGGAACAGATTAATCAAATGTACTTTAATTCTTATGGGAAATGTTGATCCGGTTCTCGATCAAGTCGGAACTCGAACAGCCTTCTGGAATGGATTAAGTTCAAGTTCCAAGGTTTTACTGTATAAGCAATACAATTTATTAATGTTTTTAAGGGTTACATTGTAGCATGATGCAACTATAACACTCTAGATTCAATTAGAGGGTAGAGTGTTTACATTACAGCCTAGGGACACCTCCAGGGGCCAACCCTTAGATGGCTGCTAGAGGTGCTTCCTGGGGCAGTGTTGTCATTCAGTATCTCCACCCTCTGCATGGGGACACTGAACTTTCCTCATAGAGATGCATTGATTCAAATCTCTGTGAGGAGATGCTGATTTTCCCAGGTTGGATGTTTGGCCCTCCTCCGTGACAATCTCAGCCAATCCAATGCTTTCCTATGGGAAAGCATTGTGATTGGCTGAGATAATCACTTCTGATCATGTCAGATATGTTTTTAACACTAGAAGATCAGAGATGTTTTTAACATTATAGGGTCAGGAATACATATTTCTGTTCCAGACCCTATAGTGTTCTTTTAAATCTCAGTAGAATAAATGGAAAGAAGAATCCATCTCAAATAAATAGTACATTAACCTTAAAGGAACACAATAGGCACCCAGAAAACCTTAGCTCATTGAAGTGGTCTGGGTGCCATGTCCCTGTCCCGCTTGGTCCAGCAATGTAAATCATTGCAGTTTTATAGAAACTACAACGATTGCATTGCAGGACTAACACTGTCTCTACTGGCTGACAGTCAGACACCCGGGCTAACTCAAGATCCAATCTAACCTTCCATATTCAGTCTGCCTGCTAGCTATGGTCACTATTGGGGACCTCCAGCTCATGTCAAACGGCCATAATTTCCATAACATCATTCAGTGCCCAAACGTGAAGTAAAATTAAATAAAGAAAGCAAAATGCCTGATGTGCAATTCAGAGATTAACTGTGTGCCTTCATCAGGGCCTACAATCAAAGCTGGAAGTGCACTCAGCTCCTCACTAGGGAATCCAGGGTGCTCTTGAAAAAGTCCCAGTACCCAAAAGGACCAACATGGATAAATTTGTAGAAAATGATCAAGGCACTCCAATAGTTTCCAATTCTTAAGGCAATTTATTTGGACCAGGAACTACAAAGCAACGTTTCAGCCCCAACAGGGCTTTTTTCAAGCTGAAAAAAGCCCTGTTGGGGCTGAAACGTTGCTTTGTAGTTCCTGGTCCAAATAAATTGCCTTAAGAATTGGAAACTATCGGAGTGCCTTGATCATTTTCTACAAATTCATCAGGGCCTACAACATAATGAGTCGCCATTCATCATTTATAAAGGAGAGAGGAATACTGGGCAACCTCCCATATAATGATATGGAACACCTATCTAACATGGGTCTAATCATGTGTCAGTGGTAATCTAATACAGAGGGAGGATGAACAGTAACTATGAGTGCTGTATTTCACTATGAGTATATACGATGCAAATGTTACATAAAAACATAGAATTTGACTAGTCTGTCCAATTTTCTAAATACTTTCATTAGTCCCTGGCCGTATCTTACATCTAGGAGAGCTTTATGCCTAAATTATAATTATGTCAAAGTCATGTAGGAAGAACAGTATATACTTTATTATTAGAAGCTCTAATGAGATAAAGCATTACATTGTTGCAATATTTTTGACTATTTCATTAGCCTGCTATTGGATTACTTATTGGAGTGTAGTGCGCCATCTAGTGGTAATTTGTAATAGGGTGGCATTGAAGAATTTTGGGATTTCTATGTGGAAAGTGGTATCAAGTATAGGGTGTAGGAATACTATGTTTATGGATTTTAATATAAGTTTTTAATAAAAGTTTAAGATTTTATTTTATTAATATATAAGATTTTAATAAAAGTTTTGTCAGTGTTAGCTACTTTTTTTAAAAAAAATTCTTTATTTTCTGTTGTGCATGGTATAACAGTAGGCTTACTCAGCCACAATAGCAGTCATAAGCTTATAACAGGCATCATAAACATAACGTGGCATATAATAGCACAGTTTTTGTTGTAGGGAATAGACTGCACATTTTTTTGTGATAACAACAGACATAGTACATTGTGGTAGCTTAGTAGTAATGTGATAGGGTAGGGTACAAGCAAGTGGTTGTGCCTCAAATTTCGGGAAGTTTTAGCCTACAGGCAGGTGAGGTGTATATGTAAGAACCATAGCACCTACATTTAGGTCCATATTGTACAGGCTGGAGATATGTAGGGAACTGTAACAGGCTGTAACAGGCTGACATATCTTCGGTGATATCAGGTGTTAGACTAGTGAGCGGGGAGGCTGACATGTAGGTGGATCAGCTGCGGTTCTAAGCTCTGTCGCTATGGTTAACCTATGCTTTAAAGGTGACTTGTGTGCATTTGCAAGTTAGGTGAGTTAAGACACATAGCACATCTCCGGTTTGGTTTGTATTCCATGGGTGCGTGTGTGTTGTGGTGGCTAGAGGCATTGTGGGGGTATGTCATGGTATTAAGGCTCCTTAACCACGGAACCTGGGGGCAGGAGAGTTTTGCTGCGGTAAGCTGACCAGGTGTCTGATCTACAGCACGGCATCAAGCAGAAAACGTAAGTGGCATAGAGATGTATAACTGGCATACAATTTAGGCATAAACTTAAATACAAAAAAAAAAACACACACACACACACAAAAGGAAAACAAGGGGGGAGGGGACATTGCATCAGTCAGTGTATTAGCACTTTGACCGGTGCCTTCCCAGGTTCCTGGTGATGAACGGTTGAATCATCACCTTAAGAATCGGGTAGGTGCATGATGCTGCTTCCAGCTGGGGCAGTCTGTCCCGATGGGGTGAATGGTGCTATGTTGGCTATATCCCACCGGTGTGGTGTTTTCGTCTTGGCACCTTCCGTGGGGCGAATACCCAGTGCTTGTAAGAGTTGTGGTGCTTCCGCTGGTGTTGTCAGTCGGTGGTTTTGACCTTCATGTGTGGCGATCAGCATTCGGGGTTACCCCATCTATATTGTATGTCCGCTGCTCTCAGTTGTGTTGTGATTACTTTCATGGAAGCCCGCCACTGCAATGTTTGGCGACTCAGGTTGTGGAAGAAGTGTAAGGTTAGATTCTCGAAAGCTTACGGGGTCTGGCCCCTGACAGCACGGAGGAATTCGTCTTTGTCTGAGTGGGATTTAAAGCTCATGATGACATCCCTTGCGGTGTCTGGGGCATTGCTTTGGGGCCCTGGTATGCAGAATAGGCTGTCTAAGGTCAGTCCTTTGGCCCGTTTAGGTGGTAGGGCAGTTTGCAGCAACCTCTTTATGAGGTGCGGCAATTCGTCTGCTGTCACTTAGTCAGTGATCCCCCTCACCTTTATATTTCTTTGTCTCACCATGTCTTCGAGCTGCCCCACTCAAGCGTTGAGTTGTAAGCATGTGGTTACTAGCTCTTGTGTTTGCTTCGCTGAGGCGTCGTGCTGGGCACTCAAGTCCTGAATTACCTCTTCCGTGGCTTGCATGTGGCCTGTGAGCGTGTTCAGTTCCGTCTTGAGGCCAGCTAATTCTGCCGTAAAGAAGGCCTTGAGGTCATTCACCATACCTGACGTCGGCCTTAGTGGCCAGTGGTGGTTCTGATTGCCTATTTGGAGCGATTTGTTGCTTCCTGTGGGGTTTCTGGGTCGGCACACCGTTAGCTACTTTTTAAAGTGTTTATTTTCTTTGCTTGTTTTCAAACCTTTAAATATATTTTAAAAGGTGCTTGATCCTGAAGAAAAGTGAAAACACAATTACTAGCATTTACACATTCTTGATGTTCTTCTGCTACTTATATTTACACTGTTAAATTGGCTGAAGATATTGGAAAACTGCTGTCAGCTGAAGAGTGTTCCTTTATCTTTCAGAACTAATAAAATAACCACTTGTCCCACTGTGATGGAACATCTTGCCCTGTACTGCAGGAGGGTTGGGATTGCCACTCCAGAAAGGAAAAGTTGCTGAGCTGGGCAGACATTGGCCCCTCTGCCAGTGCCTTCTTCAAGCAGGTATGGCCCCTCTGCCAGTGTCTTCTTCAAGCAGGTATGGCCCCTCTGCCTACACTGTCCTCAAGGCAGTGGGGCCACACCTGTCTACTCTGTTCCCCAGGTTGGTAAGGAACAAGACTTTTTCAGACACTGCCTTAAAAGAACACTATAGACACCAAGACCACTTAAGTTTATTGGTGCAGTGTCCATGTCCCTCTTAATCCCCAGTGGTCTGGTTGATTACTTTGCAGGACTAAGACTTTCTCTAGTAGCTGTCAATCAGACATTAGGCTCCCATGTTGGATGACATTGGAGGAGGCAGTGCCGACCCAGCACGAAGGGAAATCAGAGCTGGAATCGCTAAGTATTAAAAGTATTTTTTAACCCACAGGGAGGGGGGCTCTATAGTATAAGGAATGCACCAGTGTATTCCTTACACTATAGAATCCCTTTAATAAAGGTGCTAGAGTTTGACAGACCAAGTGATTAAGTTCTAATGACTACAGTACACATCAGCCCCAATATATAGTAAAAACCAAAGAAAAGAAAAAGTTACCTGCGCTCTCTCCTTAATCCCTATGTATATTTACCCCTCTCTGTCTCATTAGAGATATCTTTGCCAGAAGCTCAAGGAAGCAGGCTGAAGGGTCAGTGTAGGATCCGCTTTAGGGGGGTCTGCCTTGACGTTGGCAGGCGGGCATTCCCTCCAATGGCCATTTGAGCAAATAAATGACCTCCATTTGTCTAAATATACATAGGAGAGAGCGCAGGTAACTTTCTTTTCTATAGATTAGGGAACGACTATGGCTTATTTTCGGGGTAGGGCTTGATTAGGAGCATCCACCGAAAATAAGCTAGGGCATGTCTTATTTTCGGGGAAACAAGCTACTTGAAGTTAGCATTGAAGAAACAGCACCCATAATAACACACCAAATAAATAATACAATACCTACTACAAATACAACGTTTTGCATCAGTAAGTCTCTGATGTACATGCAAGGTACATAAACCACTAAAGTTAGTCTGTCTTCCAGTCAGGTGTGAAATTAATCTTGGGAAAGTTGGGGATTCAGACCAATTGGTTTGGTCATATGTGAAACAATTCTTATAGCAAGGCCATGCAGAGAATAATAATTTTGCTCCCCCCCCCCTTTTTTATTTTATTTATTATTCTTAGTTCCTAAATCAAAACTCCAAAGTTTAAAGAACCAGGTCATTTGCATATCAGACTGATTCCACCCAAAGGGATGGAACAGATATAAAATGCAGGCCGTCTCTGTCTGCCCTGGATATACACAGGGCCGGTGCTTGGATTTTTAGGTACATAGGCGAAGATGCATTTTTCCGCCCCCCCCCTCAAAAAAAAACATCTTCACCTATGTGCCTCTTAACCAGCCCCTCTCCCCTCCCTGACCATTAGTAGTCCCTTCCCTTCCCTGTCCCTTAGTGTTCTTCTCCCCCCCCCTTTTCCCTGTCTCTTGGTGTTTCTCTCCCATTCCCTCCCTGTCCCTTGGTGCACCCCACACCCCGTTAGTGGTCACACTCCCCTTCCTGGTGTGCCTCTATTGTTGCATTGCCGAGTGGAGCAGATTCCCTAAAGGAGCTTCAGTTTTCTGTACCCGGCCGGACTGACAGGGAGTGCTCTCTCTGTGAGCACCTCCTGTCAGTCTGGCCAGGTAGAGGAAACAGAAGTTCCTGTACCGCGCTCTGCTCCGCTACACTCTGTACACACTGACAGTCACACACTCAATGACAAACACACAGACTCATTGATCTGACACACACTCATACACTGACACTGACAGACCCACACTGATTGACACACACAGACTCAATGACAAACATACTCTCACTGATTTGACAGACACACACTCATACACTGACAAACACACTCATCATACACTGACAGACACACTCATACACTCACATGCACACACACTCATACAATCACTCACAGACACACACACTGTCACTCACAGACACACACTGTCGCTCACAGACACACAGTCGCTCACAGACACACACTGTCACTCACAGACACACACACTGTCACTCACAGACACACACACTGTCACTCACAGACACACACACACAGTCACTCACAGACACACACAGTCACTCACAGACACACACACACACAGTCACTCACAGACACACACACACAGTCACTCACAGACACACATCCACAGTCACTCACAGACACACATCACATACATTCACTAATTATTTTTATAACTACATATTTTCCACCCAGCCTCCCTACCTGGAGAGCTGGTGTGGATGATGGATCGGTCCCTGGGGCTGCTGGGCGGCGTGCGGCAGTGCTGTGATCAGGCGCGCGAGGGAGCTCTAATCTCCACCCTCTCTGCTCCCTCGCGGGCTGCCTACTGATGCTGCGGGATGACGTCATATTCTGGCTCCCGCGGCATCAGCAGACAGCGTGCGAGGGAGCAGAGAGGGTGGAGATTAGCGCTCCCTCGCGCGCCTGATCACAGCACTGCCGCGCCAGGGGTCGAGATGGTGGCCGGGCAGGAGGGAGAGCTTCCCTCCTGCCGGTCACTGAAATATTGCGCCCCCAGAGCCCGTGCGCCCTAAGGCGGCCGCCTGTGCCGCCTTATGGACGCGCCGGCCCTGGATATACAGCAACCCCAGACAATCGTTTCAACCTGGTTAGGCATCGTCAGTGAGGTTTAGCCAATATCCCTCTAGGCACTATGAGCAAGGGGTCCACGTCTGGATTACCCTTTAATCTTATGGAGAGCTAAAAACAGTGGAGACTACAAGGTGCACTGGGACAGGAGTATGGCCCCATTTCAGCCGAGGAAAAGCTGGCATTGAGAGAGGATATACAGTGAGATCTCTGGCACGAGGCCCTGGGGCAGACTCAAGCTCCAGGGGGAGAGAGCCTTCCCAATTCAGAACGGCGCAGATAAAAGCAAGCAATGCTGAGAATGCCTTTACTGGGAGTATCTGCCCGGGGAAGAATGGGTCATAGAACTCCAGCGTCTGATCAAGAAAGAATTATGGCTGAACGAGGCATACCGGACGCTACGGTGGTACTTTGTCCAAAGGTCTCTTTGGATGTCTGAGAATGAAAGATCAGGAGGGGGTGGGGGGTGAGAGACTACAATGGCCCTGGTCTGCTTTGGGAGGCATTAGAGGAGGACAGTGACTTCGGCAGCACAGAGGAGACTCGGTATTGGGACATCTGGGAATACCGTATGGACCCACTGGAGCTCCCTGATAATACAGGCCTGGGATCAGAAATCACCCATCTGGTTGCTATTGCTTAGAAACTGGAACAAGAATACCAGAACCTACAAGAATTGGTTCAGCAGAGGGACCTCGACGCAGAGCAAAGAATGAGCTGTGTAACTATGGGAGAGCAGATGATCGGTCCCTCTCCCCAGCGGCAGCCAGAGTTGCAGGGAGAGGAGATTATCAGTCACAACCCAGCACCAGGCAGCGTCACAGGGAGTGGAGACAGTCAGTCTCACTCCCCAGCGGCAGTGTACCATGCAGCAGCATGCATCATTGGGAGTGGAGACAACCGGTCTTACTCATTCAGCGGCAGTACGTACAACAGGGAGAGGATAGTTCCTTCCTCCCTTCCCAATGATTCTGTGTATCCCCAAGAGAGGAGATTTGCCCCCACCCCAGCGAAAAAAGTGGTGTCTCAGGAGTGGATTCTAGCAGCCCTTCCCAGAAACATCCTGGATGTAGAAACTGGAGCTTGTGGCAGAAGGCCTTCTAAATCACTGCACATTGTGTAAAAGGTCACCAGACTAACAGACCCAGAACGATTGGAGGTCTGGGGTCTGATTAGACTCCCCAGGAGGGGGACACATCATAGATAGGATCAGGAATCAGTAGCGCCGACCCCCATAGACAAAGTATAGGAAATACACTCTGCTTCCAAATAAGTTAAAAATGATGTACTAACAAATCAACAAGGCACGTAAGAACCAATATAAAAAAATAAAATAAAATCAGATACCCAGCTCTACTGGTTTTGTCTGATTGTTCTAACTTCTTCAGGAGGAATAAATGTCACATGTTTCAATATAACCATCATCATACATTCTCGGTCTTCTTTTAAATCCCATCAAAACCTTCAGCAGATAGCCTTTGGCTAATCCACTTCTATAATTATAACAGAAAAAAAGAAGGATAGTGCGTAGGCGCTTCACTGTAATTGTGACAGTTCTGTACATAATAAAAATATACAATAGATGGTGTAACCGGTACCCTAGTGCTTACCTTATACACCAGATTTACATAATACAATAAAAAGAGACAAATACCAGTATATACACCTCCCCAATGTGATCACAACAAAAATAAGTGATATTACCAATTTAGAACTGGACTTTAATGTAAACAGCGTAGAACTTGATTGGGGTACAAACTAAAATAGAAAAAACATAAAAAACATAGTGCAAACTGTATGATGAAAAATAAGTAATAGATAAATGTGTGACTCTCACTCACATTCTCCAGAGCCGTACCAGGCTCTGTATAACAGGCTCAGGGGTGCCAATAACTGGCTAGCGATCCAGGTGGTCCAAATAGATGAGACTCCAAATGTTAAATATAAAATATATTTATTTATAAAAATATATAAAAAAGTGTATACACTACTGGGCACTATGGGGGTGGAACCCAAAACGGACAAGGATATATATAAAACAACAATGGAATTCCACTTACCCCTATCTGTATAGTAGCCCAGAGTGACAGGAATACACATAAAATAACAAATACAAATGCAGAAGATTGAAGCAGACGCGTTTCGGCCAACAGCCTTCCTCCAGTGCTTGTCTTCATGTCCTATTGAGTCTTCTTTTATAAGTCCTATCTGTCCCATTCACCTGGATCCAATTTCGTACCGGCGTCGCGTCACTTCCGGTTTAGCGGGTGACGTCACTTCCGGTTTTTCGGCCGGCTGGAACGCACGCTGAAACGCGGCGTTCAGGATGTAGATTGTTATGATTAAGTCCCCATAGCAACCTTAGCCTCCATATTTGTAAAATATCATAACAGAATAAGAAAAAACACAAGTTAAAGATATAATCTATATATAGCATACACAATACAAATATTTGATAGCTATCATCAATCTCTTTATATCTAGAAAGAAATTTAAAGATGTATAAGATAATCTATTCTTAGAAAAATTATACAATGCAATATGTGGCCATAGAACTCCCCACATAAATACCAATTAGACAAGAAGCAAGTATAACCTTCTAAACCTAATAGTTCAAATAAAGTAAATACTATAAACAATATATAGATCCTATAAAAAATGTATGAACTCAAAATCTAAATTCAGTCCCTTCGGGGATAGGGTATTAACATCAAAAATCCACTTACCCTCGATCTTCGCTAGCTCTTTAACATTATTGTCTCCCCTCCAATTCTTAAATTTCTTAAAAATAACAATATATGACAGTAGGGAGGAATCCCCACCATGTTTCTCAGTGAAATGTGCCGATACACTATGTTTCATATACCCCCTCTGGATATTACCCACATGCTCCGCAACCCTGAAGGGACTGAATTTAGATTTTGAGTTCATACATTTTTTATAGGATCTATATATTGTTTATAGTATTTACTTTATTTGAACTATTAGGTTTAGAAGGTTATACTTGCTTCTTGTCTAATTGGTATTTATGTGGGGAGTTCTATGGCCATATATTGCATTGTATAATTTTTCTAAGAATAGATTATCTTATACATCTTTAAATTTCTTTCTAGATATAAAGAGATTGATGATAGCTATCAAATATTTGTATTGTGTATGCTATATATAGATTATATCTTTAACTTGTGTTTTTCTTATTCTGTTATGATATTTTACAAATATGGAGGCTAAGGTTGCTATGGGGACTTAATCATAACAATCTACATCCTGAACGCCGCGTTTTAGCGTGCGTTCCAGCCGGCCGAAAAACCGGAAGTGACGTCACCCGCTAAACCGGAAGTGACGCGACGCCGGTACGAAATTGGATCCAGGTGAATGGGACAGATAGGACTTATAAAAGAAGACTCAATAGGACATGAAGACAAGCACTGGAGGAAGGCTGTTGGCCGAAACGCGTCTGCTTCAATCTTCTGCATTTGTATTTGTTATTTTATGTGTATTCCTGTCACTCTGGGCTACTATACAGATAGGGGTAAGTGGAATTCCATGGTTGTTTTATATATATCCTTGTCCGTTTTGGGTTCCACCCCCATAGTGCCCAGTAGTGTATACACTTTTTTATATATTTTTATAAATAAATATATTTTATATTTAACCTTTGGAGTCTCATCTATTTGGACCACCTGGATCGCTAGCCAGTTATTGGCACCCCTGAGCCTGTTATACAGAGCCTGGTACGGCTCTGGAGAATGTGAGTGAGAGTCACACATTTATCTATTACTTATTTTTCATCATACAGTTTGCACTATGTTTTTTATGTTTTTTCTATTTTAGTTTGTACCCCAATCAAGTTCTACGCTGTTTACATTACAGTCCAGTTCTAAATTGGTAATATCACTTATTTTTGTTGTGATCACATTGGGGAGGTGTATATACTGGTATTTGCCACTTCTATAATTGTCCACCTGGGCTAAATAATCCTCACTTGCATTTCAATTCCACTTCTGGATCTGCTTGTGTTTCACACACCTGGATCCATCTGAGCCATATGTGCTCAAGTATAAACAAAATCATTAAATATATAATACCCAAACTAGACATAAGGAGAATTGTAGGCATATCAGACACAACATATAAACTCTAAATACCATGCATATATACATTTTTATTTTTTGTTTCCATTTTTTTGTCTTTTTTATTTTAAATAGCCACTTGGTTGATAAGTCCTCGTTGAAGTTTACATGTGTCCTAAATGGCCACCATTCTCCTTATGTCCAGTTTGGGTGTTATATATGTATTTATTGTGTCTGTTTTAACAAAACCAACAACAAATCAGAAAAGGCTGAATGTAGATTTTGATATGATTTGTTCTTTGTAATCATATATCTTGGGTGGGGGAGGAGAGAGAGACATACACAAAATTTGTCCCAAAATATTTGAATACAAAAACCAAATCATATCAAAATCTACATTCAGCCTTATATCACCTTGTAACACTTTTCTGATTGGTTGTTGGTTTTATGATTGGTATGTGCTGCTTGAGTAAAGAGTTAAATGCAAAATATTCACTTCCTGTCATTGCTAAAATTAAGATTATATGTACACTACGTTAGCATAATCAACAATTGCTTTTTAAAGCCATAGTATGACTTTTGGTGATGATTTTTCAGATCATCTGGAAATGTTTTATTTCCTACACAAAATTCTTGTAGTCCACAATTTGAGAAAACAATTGTCTTGAAAATAACCTATGCTTTACTCTAGTTGAATATACTTAATCCATATGCCATTAGCAATTTTAATTTTTAGTGGTTAATTCTGGAAGGCAAGTATGGTTGGCAATCTCTATCGAGTCTCTTTGGTAAGGTTAGGGTTCTAGGCCTCTTTAAGTCTGTTTCATTGAATTTATTTTAACTATCTGGCACTCGAGTTGCGAATCATGTATATATACACATGTAATTATTATACAATTGTGGACATATTGTAACATTTAGATATTAATTGTAGTTTAATTGTGAGTTTTGGTTTGCTCAAGTTTGCATTTATAACTTTTACATTTTTCTAATTAATTATTAATTCTTTAACATGTTTATCTGCACACTTCAGAGTTAGTGATAAAAATCCTCCTTCTGGCTCCTGCACTAAAATGATATAATATAGCTATAATATAGTGGCAAGAAACATACCCTTAGATTTTGAAGAGAATATACATTGGCAATACCAACCTTTTAAATTTGTTATATAAAATATGAACTTTTTGGAATGATAACAGTTCCCTTCAAATTCTGAACAAATGTTTTAATTATTAGTGGTTAATAACCGAGAGCATGCTTGATGGATCTTTTTGTCCCATTAAATGGTTCAAAAGGACCTTGAAATGGAAATGTTAAACTTTTTACTACAGTTTTATTTTCCTTGTCCATCTATCATGACCGGCTTTCATTAAATCCGGATAATACTTAAGAAAAATTTTCTTGGTAATCTCTATGGTGTCTCCTTTAGGACTGGAACTATAGTCCTTTTTATTGTATATGAAGTCTTGTTCCACACTAAAAACTGCTTCATTAAATTTCTTCTCACTAAATGGTATCCCTGTGTTGAGACTCTCAATGAGGCCCCATAGAAATAGGGTCCAGCGCTCCTTATAATAATCTTGAATTAGTCCACCATACTGCTTGTTGGCATAGTCCAGAATGTCACCATCCGGACCCCATAAAGTGAGTTGATTGCGAGCGTTCATGTTATACAACGCAGCTTCTTCTTTGGTGGATGCCATAGAATTTGCTGCTTCCAGCCAACGTCCAAGCAAGAACTGAGGTTGACTAGAAAGGAGAGCATCAAGTTCAGGCAGAAGATCGTAAACCAGGACACCACCTACACTCATTAGATTCTCCAATATTTCATTCTCATACGCAGACTTGATTTCAATATAGTATGCAGATACTAACTGCTGCATTGCCTCTCTAGTGACATCTACAAGGTCATAAAGAAATGTTCCACTGTTGGCCAGTGACAAGGATGCATCATACATAAGCCTCCAAGCTTCAAAGAGGTCATTCTGGTTATAGCAAATATCAGTCCTCATTTTCAAAGATGGCCTTCGAACCAGAGGGCTGTGGTTGTGGTCAACCCAAATTTGGGTACAGTTATATACACTCTTAAGAAGAATCTGCCATGCTTCCCTTGCATTAGAGTTTTTCTGGCCATAACGTCTGTCGGCATAGCTGGTGATCCATTGTGCCAGGTCAAAGGGTTTGGTTCGCCATCCAATTTCATTCATCAACTCGTATAGCATATCATTCTGCTCTATGCCTTCTGGTGTCAGCCCTGTGCCAACCATAGTAGAGTTTTGAAAGACCAGGGCATCAAATGGTCCACTATTGATACTTTCAACTTTGCCAAATAATCCATGATTTCCTCCAAAGTTATGGAGCATGCACCAGATGAATGGTTGCCCATAGAAAGACTCTGTGTCTTGGTAAACTGGTTTTGTTTCTGCAAACAGATCCAGAACGATCATCCTACCAATCGGTGCTCCTTGAAGCAAAGCTTGAACTTGTGCAGGCTTCCAGAATGATGGACTGTGAACAAACATCCAGCCCTGCATCAGCCAAATGGCATCTGGATCAACTATGGAATAAAACAAACACACAAAAGACACCAGATAAAGAAATTAAACATTTTATAGATATTTTTAGATTAATTCCGTTAATTGAAAGAAACAATGAAAATACATAAATAATAATATTGAATATTATCAGTGCACATAGCCTACATGTTTATCTTTCAGATTATACATTTCCAGGTAAAGATCCAGCTAATAAACCACATATCACATTATTCTCCACCAGTGTACAAAAATAAACCACAGAATTATGGGTATTTTATATAACAATGATCTGGATTACCTTTATTTAACTAATTCAAACCCTCTGCACAATTAGCCTTAATTTACTAGGCATAATGGTATTACTCATGAAAGATATCATGCCAAAGTAAACATGGCGCTACAGAGAATCATATTTTGAGAAAGTAAGTGAGTACAAGATGTATATTTTTGTCCCATTCTTTTTTTAGAAAAATATTCATGGAGTCTATGGGAGTCTTTGCGCCATGGTCTATTTGTACATTGAAGAATGTTTCTAAGTATATGGAAATAAAATGAATTGTTTAAAGCGAAGAAAACCATTTTGATGAGCATTGGCCACTTTATTATTGCTGTTCTTTACAGTTTTCTATGGTTAAGGCCACCCACGGAGTCATGTATGAGGGATGTTAAATTGTATTTTACAAGTTATAAACATAGCAAAAGGAGAGTTGATACACCTGTGAGTGAAGTTGCATAAACCTCACCATTTTTGCATGTGTAGAGAATAGACTCCACTAATTTAAAACTCTAGTTTTTATTTATATGATTACGTTTTACAAAAAGCAGTGGGAAATATCCTCGGCAAATATTGCATAAAAATAGAACATGTCTTGAGGTTACAATCAAGATTATATAGAACTAATTAATACTAACTGATGTTGTGACAAACTCCCCTTTTTAAGGGAGTTTGCCATGAGTTTTTGGAGGGGCCTGCTTGCCTGCCTCCTGCCCTGTGACTATGGCCCCCTGGGGGTATAGCCATTTAGAAACCCTATTTGGGCTTATGAGGTTTTAATACACTCTTTCTGCCCCTTTAAAATCCTGTGGGAAAGGATCTGCCCTTTTGAAATGGCATTTCGGATACAGCCGAAGTGCTGAAGTAGTTGAAGTGGCTGCCATTCGACATACGAACACGTTGCGGCGGACATCTTAATTCAGTCGAACGCGTTCAGCGGTGTTTGGTCGTCGAGTTCATGGAACTCAAATCGGATATGGGACGGCACGAACACCGCTGAACTATACCTTCTCCAGACTTCAACACTTCGACGGAAATCGAATGGCGTTCGAATATACGAATGCCACGTTAACAGTGGATATCTGCACGAACGGCTCCAGTTCGTGCATTCAAACGGAACTTAGCATTTGAAACTATTGGAAATAGACCGGCTGCACAGCCAAATTCTGTGGAACTATTTTGGGCATGAAAGCCATGCTTGCGGTCCGTCAAATGTGAATTCCATGGAGCTTTTGAACCCCTGCTCTGAACTGGGTGATTTTTGGATATGTTGTTCACCCAGATCATGGTTATCTATATAACATTTATGGGGATATGTTGTATTGGGGTACTTTTTGGGGTTTGTATAAATGTATTTTTTTTCTGCCTGTGGATAATTAAGTTATTCCATTAGCTAGCTTAATTATATCACAGGCAGAGAGGAGGGTTTGCCGAATGTATGTGGGAGTGTTTAGGTGTTATTGTTTCTATTGGCTTTTGTAACTTTGTGTCCTGTGCTCCACAAGGTCCACGTGGACGGTAACCTTGTGGGGAAAAACTGTATAAAAAAAAAAAAGCAGCTGTATCATTAAACCTTCAGTTCTACTTAACCCTCAATTTAGAGTCCTGTCTATTATTGGGGGAAACAGCTACCAGGGATTGCTATGCTCTTCATTCTCCCTTGGATAATCACTAAGCTCTTTCAAGAGCTTGTTCCTGCTTTACTCTCTGGGGAAAGAGGTTCACCCACTGGAACCTGGAGCCTTGTCGTAGGTCCAGGGTGGGTAGGAGACGGCGAGACCCCAACCAAGCTGCGGCGGTTCGTGGGGTCTGCGATGCTGATGGTGTCAAGTGGAGTGCTTGGAGCCCTCAGGAAGCGCTAGGAGCACCTTTCAACGGAGGTACCCAGTCGGAGTGCCAAGTGATCTGTTTAGGTTGTTCGTAGGTTAACAATCAAGTTTGCACTGCCAAACCAGCTGGTGCAATCAGAGTATTAGACAGAGGTATACACAAATGTGGCTTCAGATACATGGCACATTTTTGGTATAATAGGAGTAAATATTGAGCTAGAACTAGGTCTAGACTAGCAATGTCATACATTACTACATGAGGTTAACTAGCTAGACGGGAGTTTAGGAAAAATTTAAGATACAACAAGTGCGGATGTATGCTAATTATATATATATATATATATATAACAAGGGGGGGTTGGCTGCACTCACCTGAACATGCATAAATGGGGGTGCTGCTGGGGGCCAAATAATACAAATGGGGGCCCCCCCAGCAGCACCCCCATTTATGCATGTTCAGGTGAGTGCAGCCAACCCCCCCCTTGTTTCATATATATATATATATATATATATTTGAGAGTCTAGCCAACTCCCTGGTTTTGCAACCCTCCCTGTCACATTTGGTCAGAGCCAACACTGGAGGCAGACTCCAAGGCTCCCATTCGGCCTGTCAGACCATGTATGTCAACGAGGAGCAAGGCAACATCTGACTGGATGGTCTTCTGGAAGTCTGTGAGGAGCGACTTCAGGACTGCTGTTGTCACCAGTGAAGCGTCAGCTTTCTGGATTTACCGGTGCCGGTCTCTGCACTGGAGGGAAGTCGGTTGCCTCTTCCCCCAAGGAGAACTCGTCTGATTGCTCGGATTAGGTTTCTTGGTAGGTGACCATCTTGGGCCCAGTGGCTTTGCGTGTCTGCCGCAGGAGCTCTGCAATATTTGGTCAATGTTGCATGCCACTGCAGTGTGGACCAGCTAAGGTCTTAAAAAAAGCACAGCGAGTGCTGTTCAAAAATGAATAGTGATCCATGGATTGTTAAATTGCGCTGTCTTGCCATATCTTCCAGCTGTCCTACTTTTGCTGTCAACTCTGCACATGTAAGGTGAGCTACTGTGATGTCTTGTTTGACTCAGAGGCTGCGGACATTTTCCTCCGTGAAGTTCATCCTGCCTGCCAGAGTGCTGAGGTCTGTTTTCAGGACCGCCATTTCTGATGCAATGATTAGGCATTGATCTCCGTCATGGTGAGGTCTGTTTTTGTGGCCCATTGTGGGTCGGGCTGCTGTTGGGAAACTGCTCTGCCACTTTGAGGTTGTGGCTGAAGCTCTTTCGGTTCTGGGTTGTCTTTCTCTCAGGCCGATGTGGATCCAGGTGGTGTATCTGCCATTAGTTCCGCCATTTTAGGCCTTGATGACTGGGTAAGTATGAAGTTGATATCCCAGGTATGGCTCCCGCTCGTACCAAGAGATTTGTGTGAGTGCTTGGCCATGGTCTCCTGCTCCAGTTAGTGCTTTGTAAGTGCAAACCAGCTCACCCAAATGGGGCAATTTTAGGTTTCAAGACGACTTTGTATTGGTGCTCAGGATGCATGCCACCGCTCCACTAGCTGGTTTGCTCCGCTCCCACACATTTTATCAGTTTTTTTACATTCATGCATATTCAGGATTTTTGGATAGGGAGTACATGCCTTCTTGTTCTGTGTCATTAATAATTTAATTTTTTTTAAATTCTTTCTGTGCACAAGGTAACAAGAGCTTACGATGCCACGACAGCATAAGAAAGCAATAATATCAATGTAGTACATACACATGGCATTGAGAAAGTGGTACAATTTTGTAAGTACAGTAGAATGATAAGCAGGCTAGTCATACTTGTCTAGTTGGTAGTCAAGTGAGTAAAAGTTAAATCAGGCATAAAACAAGTACAACTGTGGAAACTTTGCTTGATAGGCATTTGTGTGGCAATGCTGTAAAAAGCAGGGATATTAATATATCAGTGGGGGCCTGCTCAGAGAGTGTACACTGACATAGTATAAGATGCCCTTATGTGTAAAATAAAAATGCTTTACTGAAAACAAGCTTCTATAGGATGGTTATAAGCTATGATTAAAGGGAACCATGGCAGTAGTTCTCAAGTAGTAAGAGACGTGGGGAGAAGCGGCCATAAGTAGCTAAATCTGTTACATAACCCTCCCACCCAGACATGGCTACGATTCACCCAACGCCAGAGTCACGTAAGTGGATAGTGTCCCGTATATCCAAGGCTGCACACCCCGCTGGCCTGAACTGCCTCAAGGGCCCATGTGCAGGTCCTACTGCTCAGGTCTGTCTTGTCACCACGAGCATGATCTCGGGAGGGTGCATTCACAGCTTGGGATCGCGGTTTCTTCTTCCGAGTGTGTGGGTTGAGCACCAGGGTCTTCCCCCTCAGCCCAGGAGGGCCGTAGCAAGCACTACCTGAGTAGGTATCTTTATGGGTGGGTCGTCTGTCTCTTCAGCAACTTCAAGTTAGGAGCCATGGGTAGTTTCTGACGCTCGTCCGCCGGGAGGGAAGGAGGGTCTGGAGGTACGTTCAGCTGCTTGCCATTCCTCTTTTGCTCTTTCAGCCTGCACCCCTCTGTCTCGCAGCTTCCACCAGAATTTGCAGAACAGATTATCCAGCCACTCCTCAAGTGTCTCTGGAGGGCCTCGTGCTGCTGTATCAGGTACATCAGCCACCATCTTGACATCAGCATAGTTGCTGGATGCAGGCCTCAGGAGCTGGTGATTCGCTCGGTTCCTCTTGTTGCTTGGAGGTAGAGCCTGTATTCTTATGCTGGGAAAACCCCCAACAACGTTCGAGGGGGTCCCAACCACTGAAGCATTTTGGACCGCTAGCAGGGAGATCGGCCACCTCTCCCATGCTCACCACCGGTAGGCCACAAATTGTCGTCCGTAATTAAGGCTCAAAACACTGTAAGCTTATATTCACCACAAGCTTACTTTCATGCAATTTTAGAACACTATTTATTTTATGGTTTTTGCTTCTCTTTCATGTTAATGAAAACTAATTACCCCATATCCATGGAGGGGTAAGTGTAAACTAGATATTTGAAGCGCTGCACTCGAACTTTGATGTTTTTTGTGGTGGTGGTATATCACTTAAGCATTGCGGTATTTGGTTTTAAATGTTTGTAGGTGGGATATTTTGGGGAATTCCCACAGAGTGCCACAACTGCTGATTGTTAAAAAAATTTCTTACACACAATATATACATATATATATATATATATACACACACATACACACACATACACATACACACATACACACATCTGTTTTTTTTCCCAACAAAAAAGGTAGTCCAAATTACCAATTTCATCTGTTATTTTACATTTGCATCACTGGACTAATATGGCAACAATCTCTACTCCAAAACAAGGCAACATTATGCATTATGAGCTAGTAAGGTGCTTTCATGAATAAAAAGGTAATGATTTACATAATCAAAATATAATTTTAACTCTTTATAATACATGGTAAGACTACCTTGAATACGTGGTACAATTTTTGGCACCAGTTTTAAAGAAGGAGTTTACAGAACTAGGAAAAGTGCAGAGGAGAGATACATAGTTAATAAAGGGGATGGGAAACCGTTATGAGGAAAGGCTTTTGATTACTTTTGGGAAAAAAAGGCACCTTAAAGGGCATGTGATATGAAGCACTATACATATATATATATATAGGGTCAGTACAAACCACTATGTACTAACCTGTTCATTAGTAGGAATATACAACAGACAAGAGATAACCGATTGAGCCTGGAAGAAAGTTTTTTTACAGCAATAACAAATGTGGAGTTCTCCTAAAGAGGTTGTCTTATCAGATGCTTCTGTGGATGTTAGACGTCATATTTTTGGCAACCACGCAGATCCGCAAAGTATATATCCTAAATATATTTTCTCAATTTCAATAAGAAGACTATGTATATGTCAAACCATGTCATATTGTATATGATCATCCCAAAACGATTTTTGAAGGATTACATACTTCTGGTTCATTGTACATTAGACTTTAGAGATTTTGTACAACAGAAAACTATTAATTCTGTCAGCAATTCAAATATTTTTTTTTACATTTTGAAAAGGTGTAGTGAGTATATATCATACATATACAGTGTATCAAAGTGAGTACAGACTGAAAAATATTCCAAAGTTAGCATTCAACTGAGTATCTTTCTCAAGAGAATATTTGTACAACTTTGGTATATCTTCCAGTCTGTACTCACTTGCTGTGTGTGTTTTTGCATTTACGGTTTTACATTTATGTCCTTATTCGTAAAGTAAATAAAGTATTGGCTATTTTTATATTGGTTGAGATGTGCAACTTGGTTTTTAGAGTGATAGAATAAAAACACAGAAACTGTTGCTGAAATGTTACTGAATAAATTTTTTTTTAATTTTTTCCCACAGTTAGCAAAATCCAAATCAACATGAGAATACATAATCGAAAATACAGAGACGTTATAAGCAACCCAACATCCAGATTTAAAACCCTGCAATTAGATTCAATCAAAAGGACCATCACTTCTATAAAAAAAAAAAAAATTATACTATTGCATTGTGATACACTGTATCACATAGAACTTATGCTTCTATTTTTCCAAATGCTATTACAGATAAGTAATTGACATCACAACACAAATCAGTCATGACACACTGTGCATTTGAAAAGGAAAAACAAACATTGACTATGCTAATTTCCCGGCACAAAGCAGAGGTTATAAGTAGTCTCTTTAACCCCTTAAGGACACATGACATGTGTGACATGTCATGATTCCCTTTTATTCCAGAAGTTTGGTCCTTAAGGGGTTAAGTAAGAGTTTAAAAAAGCTGGAGTAAAGTGAACAAGATAAATATTGTTTTACTGTCCTGTTTTTGGTGAATGAGGTTAATGAGCGTTAGCAAGATTGCTGGTCTGGCTCAGTGCACATCTTGTTGCATGTAAGCATGCCTGGATGCATCTGTTCAGGATCCATACGTTTGTAAAAGGTGTGTGCGAGTGACTTGTCTGGAAGCTCAGATTGGAGATCGACAATTTTGAGAGGGGTCTGCTGCTCACGGAGCAAAGTTTAGGGAGGGCAGGTATTAGAGTTGGAGGAGATAAGACAGCTGGGAAAGAGACTAGTAGCTGTTGGGTTGGGCAAGGTAGCAGGGGGTAGCAAAGAGGAGTGGGTTAGCTAGTCCTGACTTTGTGCGACCTATCAGGTTTGCCTGTTGAGTGAAGATGTTGGAAGCATCAGCTCAGGACTAGCAGTACTAAAGGCAGCTGTTTCTTAGAACAGCCCCTCTAGTATGGGTGGGGATGAGAACATAAAAGCTAGACAAGTTGTGGTGGTAGGGAACTATAATATTTAAAGAGCAGATCGAGTAATCTGCCGCTCTGATCGGCACAGTTTGCGGTATCCCGGGTGCTTGGGTCTGGCATATTGCTGATAGAGGGGATGGATTATTGTGAGTGGCTGGGTAAGACCCGGCTGTCATGGTCCATATTGGTACCAATGACAAAATTAGAGTAAGATAGAGTACCTTAAAGAAGGAGTTCAGGGAAATAGGCAGCAAACTTAAGAAAAGGACCCCCAAGGTAGTATTTTCTGAGATATTACCAATATATCTTAGTGGGAAAGTAAATCAAGAAATTAAAAATAAGAAAAGGGCTTTTAAATAGGATAAATCAGAGGCATCCTATTAAAGATATAAGGAAGCCAATAAGACCTGCAAAAAGGCAATTAGATTCGCTAAATTACAAAATGAGGGAGAAATAGAAAAATATGAAAATGTAGGTACACTGAAAACCGGGATGGGGTGTTAGTTAATGAAGATCAAGAAAATGCTGAAATTTTAAATAACTATTTCTCCTCCGTACATATTAAGGAAGAACCTATGGCTATAGACATGCAAATGATTTCTGCAAAAAAAATTGCAGACCAATTGTGATGGGATGACTCAAGACAAGGTGCTGCAGCAAATAAAGAACGTTAATATAAACAAAGCACCAGGGCCTGACGGTATTCACCCACAAGTACTTAAGCAACTGTGGAAATAAGTGAACCTCTGTTCTTAATCTTTCAAGATTCTTTTCTTTCAGGAATTTTACCGGAGTACAAGAGGAAGGCAGATGTGGTTCCTATATTCAAAAAGGATTCAAAATCCTTGTCTGAAAATTATAGACCTGTGAGCTTAACTTCTGTTAGGGATAATATTTAGGAATTCATTAAGAGCATGGCTATCAGCAAAAATCAGCATGGTTTTATAAAAACACAGGTCACGTCAAACTAACTTAATTGCATTCTGTGAAGAAGTAAATAGAAGTATAGATCAAGGGTGTTGCAGTGGATGTGATCTACTTGGATTTTGCCAAGGCGTTTGATGTGGTTACACACTGGTTACAGACAGAAATTGGTCTACATGAAAATTCTTGTTCTTGGGTAGAACATTGGCTTAAAAATAGAGTACAGAGTGGTCATTAATGGTAAATTTTCAAGCTTGACAAAAATGGTAAGTGGTGTCCCTCAGGGTTCTGCTTGAAGTAAGCATTGAAAGTCACGTTTCAGCGTTTGCAGATGACGCAAAACTCTGTTAAGTAATACAATGTAAGCAGGATATTACTTTACTTTGCTGCAGAGGGATTTAAATAGACTGGGCACTCAAATGGCAGATGAAATTTAAATGTAGAAAAATACAAAGTTATGCACTTGAGCTAATGAATGCACAAGCAACTTATACCCAAATGGTAGTGAATTAAGGATTGCAACACACGAGAAGGATTTGGGAATTGTTATAGAAAAACAAACTAGGCAACAATGTGCAATGTTGATCAGCAGTGATTTAGGCTAGTAAGTTATTGGCATGTATAAAAAGGGGCATTCATTCTCGGGATGAGAGTGTAATTTTGCCTCTATATAAATCACTGGTAAGACCAAATCTTGAATATGCTGTGTAATTCTGGGCACCTGTTCTAAAGAAAGACATTATGGCACTAGAAAAAGTGCCGAGACGAGCTACAAAATTAATAAAAGGAATGTATAACTCTTTTACACCTCTGAGGGGATATGATAACATTATACAAATATATCCAGGGCCAATGCAGACCATTGTCTGGAAATGTATTCACAAACAGGACTGTACATAGGACACGAGGTCATGCATTTAGACTGGAAAAAAGTAAATGTAGTCTAAGGCAAAGAAAAGTTTTTCTTCTTTTTTATAGTAAAAACAATAAGGATGTGGAATTCCCTGCCTGAAGAAGTGGTTTTATCAGAGTCCATACAGATGTTTAAACAGCAACTAGATGCATACTTGCAAAAACATAATATTCAAGGATATCATTTTTCAACTGTAACGTATTAGTGTCTTGATCCAGGGATAACCGACTGCCATTCTGGGATCAAGAAGAATTTTTTCCTAGTTTGTTTCAAAATTGTAAGTTCTTCAAACAGTTTTTTTTTGTTTTTTACCTTCTTTTGGATCAACAGCAAAATACAGATGTGAGGAAGGCTGTACTTGATGGACATGTCTCTTTTCAGCCCAAGTAACCATGTAACTATAACAATGTTTGACAGGGAACCAAGATCAAGGTGCTCAGTTCTAGAGGTAAATACAGCAGTGTGCATTTCTATTATCAAATGTTTCCAACATCAGAAATATTTATTCATTAAATATACATAATATGAAAAACCCTGAGATTTTATAGTTCCACTTTAACAAGAATTAAAAATAAAATTAACTTATTATAGGTCAGTATTTCTTTAAGGTGCCCAAAAACGCAAATACGGTCAATATATCAAAAAGCAGATTTCCAGTAATTCCCAAATATTTAACATTAACGTATATGTCATGTTGATTACAAATACAATTCAAGCCCCTAGTGCAACTGTATACGCTCAAAGAGCAAAAAGAGCTTAAAAGGGTTTTAGTGCAAACCATCAAATAATATTAAAAATAACATCTACTGCTATTGATTGGTGAGATGTGCTTCATCTGCATCTTTGAAAGAATTAGCATAGCAAAGAACTAAGAAAAAGCCAAGTTTAATGTTTTACAGCAGCTTTATTTTCTTACTCCATCTACCATGACCTGCTTTCATGAAATGCGGGAAATACTTGAGAAAAATGTTGTTGGCAATTTCTATGGTGTCTCCTTTGGGGCTCGAGCTATAGATCTTTTTATTGTATATGAATTCTTTTTCCACCATAAAGACGGCTTCATTGTATTTCAGATCACTAATTGGAATCCCTGTGTTGAGACTCTCTATGAGGAACCACAGAAAGAGGGTCCAGCGCTCCTTATAATAATCTTGAATCAGTCCACCGTACTGCTTGTTGGCGTAATCCAGGATGTCAGCATCCGGACCCCATAAAGTGAGTTGATTGCGAGCGTTCATGTTATACAACGCAGCTTCTTCTTTGGTGGATGCCATAGAATTTGCTGCTTCCAGCCAACGTCCAAGCAAGAACTGAGGTTGACTAGAAAGGAGAGCATCCAGTTCAGGCAGAAGATCGTAAACCAGGACACCACCAGCACTCATTAGATTCTCCAATATTTCATTCTCATACGCAGACTTGATTTCAATATAGTATGCAGATACTAACTGCTGCATTGCCTCTCTAGTGACATCTACAAGATCATACAGAAAGGTTTCACTGTTTGCCAGTGATGATGATGCTTCGTGCATCAGTCGCCAAGCTTCAAACAGATCATTTTCCTTATAGCAAATATCAGTGTTCATATCCAAACATGGCCTTCGAACCAGTGGGCTATGGTTTTGGTCAACAAAATACCTGGTACAATTATAAACACTCTTAAGAAGAATCTGCCATGCTTCTCTTGCATTAGCGTTTTGCTGGCCGTAACGTCTGTCGGCATAACTGGTGATCCACTGTGCCAAGTCAAGGGGTTTGGAACTCCACCCAATGTCATTCATTAGCTCATAAAGCATATCATTCTGCTCTATGCCTTCTGGGGCCAGTCCTGTTCCAACCATGGTAGAGTTTTTGAAGGACATGGCATCAAATGGTCCTTTATTGATACTTTCAACTTTGCCAAATAAACCATGATTTCCTCCAAAATTATGGAGCATGCACCAGATAAATGGTTGCCCATAGAAAGACTCTGTGTTTTGGTAAACTGGTAAGGTTTCCGCATATAAATCCAATACGATGAGCCTACCAATAGGTGCGCCATGGAGCAAAGCTCGAATCTGTGTCGGCTTCCAAAATGATGGACAGTTAGCAAACAGCCAGCCCTGCATCAGCCAAATGGCATCAGGATCCACTAGGGTGTAAAAGATAAAAAAAAGTTAGACATGTTAATGAATGGTAATCAAGTTTTAGATTTTTTTTTCCTTTAACCTTTTATAGTTGACTACATGCAGATATGTTAGAGGGCATTATGATTACAGCTGCATTGAAGAACATGGTATAAGGTAGGGTAGTACAACTAGTTTTGTCCCTAATCCAAATTTGCATGAATTTGGCCAAATTCAGTAATTTTGGACAACACAAATATCTAAACGGAAAAACAAAATCAAACCAAAACTTTTTTTTGATCTATTAGTTTTGATAATGATACCAAATTAGTGAGTTATCTACTAAACAACTAAAAAAAAAAAAAAAAGATACAAATAAATGGGCTTTTATTAATTTAAAAAAAGGATTCAAAATATTTGCCTAGAAATTAAAGACCTGTGAGCCTAAACGGACACTATGGGCAGCCAGACCACTTCACATTATTACTTTACCTCTGTAAAGTAATAATGTGAGCAGGATATTATGTTGCTGCAGAGGGATTTAGATAGATTGGGGAATTGGACACTCAAATGGCATACATAATGGGAGTTGTAGTTCAGCAACATCTGGAGGGCCGGAGTTTGGTGAGGATTTGGGAATTGTTATAGAACAAACTACGCAACAATATTCAATGTCAATCGGTAGCTGCCAAGGTATTGTCATGTATAAATAAGGGCATTAATACTGGGGATTAAAATAAAATGTTGCCTCTTTATAAATCATTGGTAATATCATGATGTGTAATTTTGGGCACCTGTTCTAAAGAAAAGTAGCAAAAGTACAGAGACGAGCTACAAAATTCATAAAAGGAAAAAAAATCATTTTAGTTACAAAGAAAGTTAACAAATTTAAATATCTTTAGTTTGGAAAAACAGCTCCTCAGAGGAGATGTAATAGCATTTTACAAATAGAAATGGGGGCCAATACAAATTATTGTCTGGAAATCTATTCATAAACAGCACTATCCATAGGACACAAGGTCAAGCATTTAGACTGGAAGAAAGGAGATTTAGTCTAAGGCAAATGAAAGGGTCTTTTACAGTAAGAACAAGATGGGACGTGGAGTTCTCTGCCTGAAGAGATGGTTTCATCAGAGCCTATACAGATGTTAAAACTGCAATTGGGTACATCCTTGCCAAAACAGAATATAAAGGGGTATAATTTTTAATTAATGGGTTCATAGCTTCTTGATCCAAGAAGATACCTGACTGCCTTTCTTGGGTCAAGGATTCTTTTCTAGTTAACTGCAAAATTGGAAGTGCTTCCAACTTTTTTTTTTACCTTCTTTTGGATTAACAGCAAAAACAAATGTGAGAAAGGGTGAACTTGATGGATGCAGATCTCTTTTCCCCTATGTAACTATGATCTTTCAGCTGTTTAGTAGTCATCCTAATGTGGAATTGCCATATTTACCAATTAATGGAGATATATAGAATGTATGTGCTGCATGTATATAGCATTCATGTGATATACAAATGTAGCATATTAGGGAGCCATCTTCTAAACAGCTGAAAGATCAAATTTAAGAAAGGTCCTTTTCTTAATTTTGGTCTTTCAGCTGATTAGTAGATCGCTATCTAATTTGGTAAACTTATGTAGGATTGACATATTTATAGGTTACCAAACTAGGGTGCAGATAGCTCCCTTATTTGGTAACCCTTAATAAGGCAATCCCACGCAAGGATACCAGAGTAAGGAGTTATCTACTAAACAGCCGTAAGATAGTTGAAAGCCCTTTTCATTTTGCTCTTTCAGCATTTTAGCTGATAGCTACCTAATTTGGTGTCCTTACATGTAATTACCGAACTAAAGGATAACAGCTGTGTAGCAGATAGCTCCCTTATTTGATAATTGGCATCCTTGTGCTATCCCATGTAAGGATATAAAATTATGGAGTCATCAACTAAACAGCTGAAAAGTCAAAATTAAGAAAAGGGCTTTTCTTAAAGGGACACTCCAGTGCCAGGAAAACAATCGGTTTTCCTGGCACTGCAGGTCCCCTCTCCCTCCCACCCCCCATCCCCGGTTGCTGAAGGGGTGAAAACCCCTTCAGTCACTTATCTGAGACACCCGATGTCCCTAGGCGGTGGTTTCTGCTCGCCGCCGCTCCTCCTTCTCCTCTTCCTTACGTCAGCTGGTGGGCGAGACTGATCCCAGCCGCCGGCTGAGGAGACGTAATGTGCATTAGAGTTCTCCATAGGAAAGCATTGAAAATACTTTCAATGCTTTCCTTTGGGGAATTGAGCGACGCTGGAGGTCCTCACACTGCATGAGGACGTCCAGCGACGCTACAGGCACAGGTTTTCTGTGCTATGGAGCAGGAAGTGCCCTCTAGTGGCTGTCTAGTAGACAGCCACTAGGGGAGGACTTAACCCTGCAAGGTAATTATTGCAGATTTAAAAAAAAAAGTGGGAGTTGGCACCCAGACCACTCCAATGAGCAGAAGTGGTCTGGGTGTCTACAGTGTCCCTTTAATTTAGATATTTCAGCAGTTTAGCAGATAACCCCGTAAATTGGTAATTTCCTTGGTCATTTTGTGATTGCCACCTTCATTCTTTGTTCATAGGGAATAATGGTCTTAAGAAATAAGAAAAATGAATTTCCAAAATTTCAGATGCACCAAAGTTTGAATAATAATCATAATAATAATAAAGAATCGATCCGAAAGAAAAAATAAATAATTTTTCCCTGGTAAATATATGTAGTAAAAGTAATCAGGTATAAACAAACATATTAAACATTTCGACCAATCAGAGAACAGGAAAGTTTATTTCCATATATTGTGTATAAACGTAGGAAAACTGTTACATTTTGTGGTTTCATTAACTAGTCTACATGATGAAGAAGTAAAAGGATATAGACAGTAACACAGTAGGGCAGGGAGACAGAGGGAAAGCATGGATAATCTTACAAGGAGCAATTTTAGGAGAGTATAAAGGGGAGCAAGGGGGTAGAGGTTAGGAAAGGCCACTCAGACAGAGGGACAGAATAGATGTTGAAGGTAAGCATATAAATGGCACATGCCTTTTGAAGAAATACCATCAAACGTTTGACCTTTAACATGCATACACATATAACATTTAACTGTTGACATTTTAACATGCATACACATGCAACACATACATAAGCCACTTTGTCCACACAGGGATACACAGTTTCATTCTGCCAATACATGGGACACTTTCAAATCTCCAATACAGAAGATCATGTCTGTGTTGTAAGGTATATAGCAGGCCAAAGATAGGGAACAGGTGTGCCTGTAGACTAACTCCAAATTTCATGTCGGCTGGCCACGAGAGAGAAAGTTACACCAGTAATAAATAGTTCCAGGGACACCCTCAATATTAGGACGTAGAAGTAGTTTGTATCACAAAACTGAATGCCCAATGTCCTGTGCATAGACATATGAGAAGGACAACTTTGGCAAAGACATCAGAAATAACATCATTAGTGTGACTTGTCGGGAATTCAAAGTGAATATTACATTTTTGGCCAAAAAGTTGACCTAAAAGCGTAGCTGACATAGATAATTTTTCCAGTTTGTTTATTTTGTCCTAAAAATTGCTTTTAATTCCTTACAGTTCACACTTTAGTAAATAATACTGTGTAGATTGTTGGCCAGATTTGGTATTCATTTATGAAACTGGGAGTTCTACATTGAGTTCATTCCCAATTCAGGAGGAGAGACCTAGCAAGCTAAATGAACTAAAAGTCTATATAAAATCGAATGACACCTAGGACTTTTAGAACTCAAAGTTGCATTGAATTATCACTGCCTTACTCAATCAAATACACTCTAGGGATGGAACATGGTGTTGCCTTACTAGGATAGTAAGTTTCCCTTTTTTATTTCATCTGTTTGCTTGGTGCAATGTGTAACAATTTTGTTCAGAATTAATGTTATTTTTAAGTCAAGTCCCACCTTTGGTAGAAGAATATACCACATGTTACTGAAGAGACATTTATATTGGTATTGTGTTATCATATAGATTTCTGTTAAATTGTTTTTAATAGGTGTTGGTGACTATCATCCTTTTGGGCCTACTGCAGGCGAAAAGTGATTTTTAACCATTGCACCCACTAAAGGTCACATGCATGGCTGAAGTGTTTATGACACCCCTATTCTTATTTTCTCACTCTCCGATTTACATTTTAAAGCGGAGTTGAGATTTTATTTAGTCAAAGGCTTTGATTTAATATATTTAATATTTCTGGATAAACTTTTCAAATGTTAATATACCCAAAAGTGCTAAGGCGCTATAAATTTACAAAGTGCTTAAATTATTAAAGTGCATATAAATGCAATTACAGCTGCAACAAGTTATAAATACAGTGTTCCCAACAACAACAAAAAACCAAAAACATAAAAAGTGATGCACTTAAAATTTGGACAATATAAGAAATACATAAAAATACCAAGCTCTACTGTGCAAACAATTTTCATACAGATCTAAAAAATAAAAAGTTTAAAGTGCAGGATATCGGATATTATCGAATGCCCTATTGAATAACTGAAAGTATTGCACTCACAATTCCCAGAGCCTCTTCAAACCGGTTCTGGGTAGAACAACTGAATTTTCCAGGTAATCGGTTTATTTATATTTTTCCGATACACAGAAATCTGAGGATTTGGACCCAAGTACAGAACACAAAAGGCCCCAATAGTGTGAGATTAACAAAGTGTTAATTTGCAATATTCAATTAAAACTTTTAATTAGTAAAATAGTAAAAAAAATAAAGTAAAATAAAAGATCCTTGTATAAAGTCTTTGTGTCAAGGCTGGCTGGCTCCTGCTCTGCTCTCCCTCCATGTCTCAATATCCATGGGAATTCTTCCAAATAAAACCCTTTTTACCATAAAACAATTAAAAACATGTATTTACTACATTTACCCTTTTTACCATAAAACAATTAAAAACATGTATTTACTACATTTTAATACTTTAGTCACACATTCATGTTATTATGATCACTTATGTATGCATGCAACATAACATAAGGGCATAATTACTAAACGTTATTTAATCCATACTTATCGTACAATGCATATTTCTCTTTGTTGTGGCTTTTCTTATAAATTACAAATATTGTATATTTAAAAAGTTTATTTACATAAATAATTTTTATTTATCCATCCACATAAAATAGTTCTTTCAAATCTACATAATTATATACATAATGATACTAGTTTATACCATTTATTAATACGCCACATACATTTATAAAATTAATTTATAGATATTATAGTTTGTTAACAAGCTTATTTTACAAAAACTTAAAGGAAAAAAAAAAGGCATACTTTTAACTCAAACATTCAAACCCAAGGGGCAAAGTGTCTTCAATTTTCTCAAATGAGATGGGTATTTAAATTGAAGTATGAGTTAGAAGTATTAAAAAAAATGTAATAGATTTTTTTTGTATTATATGTAGAAATATTGCTATTTTATTTCATTTTATGATACTAAGTTTTTTTCCTTCCTTATTACAAGTATATATAAGTGATCATAATAACAAATGTGTGAATTAAGTATTAAAAATTTAGGAAATATAATTTTTCTTCATTGTATTATGAAGGGTTTTATTTTAAAAGAAATCCTACTTATATTGAGATATTATTTGCTTTTAATGGACACTAACACAAACATTAGTTAAATAAGCTTTGGGAAATGGACAAATCAATGAACACCAAAGAGAGATGAGGACCCTGTATAAAGTGGGAGAGAACCAGGGTTTTTTTGTTAGAGGAAGCCCAAATTCGTTGGGCGAAACGCGTCAGTGATGTCAAGAGTATGCTGACCTGGAACTTCTTGGTGAACCAGAGCGCTACGGATCGCACATAGAGGGAGAGCAGGGGTTAGCCAGCCTTGATGCAAGGACTATAAAAACAAGAATTATTTTTTTTTAAATTATTCTAACAAAACAATTGCAAGAGGTTTTTATGTGAATATAACCAATTCAAATTGTGTCTAGATCACACTGTGGGGGCCTTTTGGGTTTTCACCTTGTATCCAAATCACTACAGATTTCTGTGTCTGGGAAGGAGATAAAAATTCTGCATCCTTCGAATATTCAGCTGTTATACCCAGACCCATTTTGAAGAGGCTCTGGAAATTGTGAGTGCTAGCTATAGATCTTTAATAAGGTATTCATTATTATCAGATATTATGCACTATAAAGCACTTTTTAAATATTTAGATCTGTATGAAAATTGCTTGCACAGCTGAGCTTGATAGAAGTATAAATATTCATTGTACTTTGCACATTTGAAGCACAGCACTTTTCAAATGATTTAATATTTTTAAAAATGTTTTACTATTTTAATATTTGATATACTGATTTTTTTATATAGGATATATTTTTACTATTTTTGCTATTTTACTATCCTGAAAATAATCTTTGTAAGCTGAAAATATGAAATCACTTAACAAGCTTAAACAAAAGATATTAAATCGATGCCAAAGTGTGTGAACGCCTATTCCACATGTCGACTTTGCCCAACTCAAGGATTCCATGCAGGAGACGGATTATGTAACATGCACTAAATCTTTCTAGAATGTAGGAGCTCGGCGCAAGTTAGAAGCAACAAAGTGTTAGTTTATTGGACTTTTATTTATTTATTTATTTTTGTGTGAACTATAACTGCATTTATAAAGAACACTATTTATACAGTATATTTTCATGTAGCGTTACCTATGCATTAGTGTTATAGAGCAGCATAGCATTTAGCCTTAACCGTTACATTAAAAGCTAACATTAACTTTAACAGCGTTACATATAGGCTTACTGTTACATTAAGGGCTTAGCATTACATTTTGGGTTAATAATAGCATTACAATTATAGTTAGAGTTACATTTAGGGTTAGCTAAACATACATTCATCCTATTTCTCTCCCTTATACCTCTTCCTCCTCCCTCTCCCCCCATACAGTTTTTCCAGGGCCCTGGAAAAATCAGGAACATTTAAAGTATCTACATACAGGCATGTACAATCACACGTGCAAGAATTGATAGACTAGACAATACATTTACTTGGGACACAAACAAATGAGTAATGACTTGTTATGGGGTAACAGTAGATTTACATGAACGGAAGCAAAACATGTGGGTATAAATAATAATTTTGGACATTGGCAAATCGTTTATACACTGCTTTACACATACACTTAATTTCAGCCTTAATAATTTTGATGTGGAGAATCTTCATACGAACACAATGGCACATCATAGATGGGGATATGGTTCCCCATGTCATGCATTAATATGTTAAAATACATTCTTCAGCATGCATGGTGTTATATGGATCATCTCCAGTATACTTACAAGTTAAATATTCTTAAGAATGTCTGTGTCCACTCAACATCTTCTCCTCATGTCACTCTGGCAAAGGGATCGCCTCAAGGGTCCTGGTTCTGTGTCTTCTGGAGTTCTGTCTTCTAATGCAGTAATGCTGCCTTGACTACAACATTCTATCATAATATCACAGACTTTTATCTGGTTCATAGTGCCGGCCTAGTCAATCATATCCAGACAAATATTTGGGTTCGCAAAATGACAAAGGAGCGCTCAGTTGCATTCCACACAGCACTGAGCTGGGCTGGTTTTTATGGGTCGACTAGAAGGGCAAGTATCCAGCTCAGACATTTAAAGACATATTTGTCAAATCGAAGAAGGGGCATAACAGAATGTACCATGTGTCATTTAGTTAAGGTTGCAAAATAACCTTTAAAAAAAGGATAATCTGCATCACTTAATCTGCAGACAGATGGAGAACATGGAGCTCTGGCGGAGGATATTGCCACTGACTTTCACCCAGAAACACTTGCATTAGCATCATGTAGGTATCAGAGGCAATCTTGGTTTCGAAGGAATAGAAAGTCTTATGCATATAAAGTGGTAGTCCAATTAAATTGGAAGAACTCTTACAATGTCAAGTGGTGAAACTTATTTCTAAGGTTCACAATAAAGCACTGGTGATACAGAGTTTTGGTTGATGGATAAATGGTTACCGCTCCGTTGATATTCAGTCCTGTGCACTCGGGTCGGTCCTCACGAAACGCCAAATAACCGGTACTGCTATACACACTCCAAATTCAAAAACAAAAACATTGTAAGAGTTCTTCTTATGGGGGGTCTTTTGTACGGGAAATAAATATTGTAACTTTATTACGCTATGTCAGTATCCTCTTTATTGAAGGTTGGACACATATAAGGACAAAGTTTATTTATATAGTTTATTACAACTATCAAAAACCGTCACGGACATCTGAAAACTCCCATATTAAGACTGAAATTAGAACTCTTCTGTCCGATATATTTCAACAGTTGACCCCTATATGTAAGATAGGGGTATATTAACTAAGCGCTGATACTGTTTTTATTTTTATGCTTGTTATATAGTCAAACTTTTAATCAAAACGTAATCTGCAGACTGTCAGAGAAGAGCAGAGAGGTAGTGATAGTCTTACTATGTGTTTGCCTGGGTGTTCTCTCCTTCGAATGCAGGCTGATTTGCAGCACTCTGGAATGAGGGTATGTGACTAAAGAGGCTAAATGCTTATGGTGCAGCAATATGCATAGCAATTTGTGTGTAAAAACTAGAAAGATTTGAGCATGCAAAAAACAAAACAAAAAAAAAAACAGCACAAAATAATTGATAAGAAATCCATCACAAGTAATGGTGACCGAAATGTCCCTTTAAATCAAACCTATCACCTAACAGCTTCACCTAAGCATTTAACAGTTACTAAACCAACAAATATATAATTAATTAAAAAAATTAATATATTTAATTGCATTAGAAGCAGATGGGGCCTATGGGTGTTACAGTTCCATAACACCCACCCCAGTCCTCCTTTTTGTCATTTTACTAAGCTCTGGGTCTTGGATTATCATAAAAGTATATTGATAATCTCAAAGAAAACAAGCAAACCTCAAAATCCATAGCAAAAGGGCGTGGCCAGCTGCTCAGCTAGACAGATGGGTTTCTGAGGAGCGCCGTACCAGCGGCTGAAAAAAAATAGGCAAAAACCCTGATAATCAGCGACCAACGGTGGCCACAAGCACACCTTACACACAGAGACATCAATGGGGCGCAAAAATAAAAAGATCCGCCTGCCAGAGACACCCAGAATGTTGGATATTCGACTCTCGTTTGCGAGGCCTACTCTGCCGGCTTCCGCCAAAATGGCACCCGAGGCACCCAGCGATGAAGAAGCCTCTGAGAACTCAGGGAGAGTCTCACCCCATCTCCTGATGAAATAATGGCCCAATACCAAGACTCCGAATCGGAGGAGGACTTATCCCCAGCGACTAAACAAGATATCAGAGACCTCTTGGCAGAAATGAGGGAGGTGTGGAAGGCTGACTTGCTGAACACTCAGAGGTAGGGAACCTCCAACAGAGGCTCACAGCAGTGGAGTCCAGAGAAAGCGCAAGGGAGTACCAAATACTCCCAGGACTCGATGACAGTTCTCACCTTACAAGTCCAAAAGTTCATGTGGACTGTCACTACAATGGAAGCACGGCATAGACGTCAAAATGTCCGCCTCGGGGGGATCCCAGAGAGCACTGAAGGGGCACCCTACTACCCTACATTCATTGCCTATTATCTATAATGAGCATTAAAGGGGGCGCTGAGCCCAGTTTGATACTCTCCATGTTCAGAATCTGCAAGGCTGCAACAGCTCCTGGCGAAGCACCCAGAGACACAATAGCCATCACGAAGGATATGACAACCCACACCGCTATCATGTCCCGCTCCAGAGACCTGGGCACAGTGCAAATGGAGTGTAGCACTGTGCCCACTACAGGGACAGCTGGCACCAACAGCCAAATGGCTAAGGGAGGCGGGGTTTAGATACCGGTGGGGGGAAGGGGGCGGATGGATCCCTGGTGGTACCACGGGGAAACCAGACACTTACCATGTCCTCTTCAGACGACCAACAGCTATTTCTCCTACAGCTGAACCTGCAAGATGAAGATAAGAGAGACACCAGGGCCGAAGCCAATCGGACACAACAGTCTAAAACCAACCAAGGGCCGAAGAGGGGCTTACTCGCTCCGCAATTTTCAAAGAGACATTCCTAGGCTACACAACTTCGCTACATTCCTTCTTTGGGCCTCCTATGGCTGTAACGCCCCTGAGGGGAAAGCTGACATGATACATTCATAACAGATGACTGACCCTCCCGACTCCATCTAGTTACTGAATAAATATTCATAGCTCCTGCAGATTGTCCTGTTGACATTGGCACAGTCTTTACACACTACCGTATGACATATAGCCGTCCTAACAGTTCCTAAATGTTATCTGATAATGATGTCCGAGATTGATGTCAAAATATTCTTACATGCACACTATTGAGCAAAGTCCCAGAGAGCGCCATGCATGGCCCTCACCACACATGGATATGCATTTATCGCTACCTACCTATACATTGATATATGTTGTTGTATATGTTATATACCTACTCTTGTACCTTATACCTTGACGCAGATGCTTTTTGGAATTGGAAACTTCAATAAAATACAGTTTAAATCTATAACAAAGCTTCACTAATGAACAAAGCCCACTTTCATAGTGAGATGGGAAAAGGGGGAATATTATTACAATGAATATTTTGCCTTTTTTACAGTAAATACTGTTCACTCGATAATTCTCTTACCGTTTGTCATCGATTTAAATATTGCACTACTGATTGCCGACAAGTAGGCTGGGTCAGAAGAGGTGGGATTCATCTCATTGAAGGTGTCTGCATTGTAGATGTGGTCTGTCCCAAATTCCTGAATCATCTCCTTTATGAAGAGTCCTCCTACATTCTGGAAAACTGGATCTTCAGGATCCAGAACATAGCTGCAGGAATATGTACAATTGAAACGGCTCCATGCTCCAAGTTTAGTGTAGTTTACTTTAGGGAATACTCTACGGAACAATGCAGATAATATAATTAATAAAATGACTTTCTGAAAACATGTAATGATATTGTAGCTTTAAAAATAGGCTGGTACATCTTCCTTATAGGAAACCACCTTCATAACCACAATGTACATAAAGCTCTCTAAAATGCACTGAACCGAACGTGATGTGTGCAGGAAGCAATGTAGTGTAAAAGGTACTCTCTGCACTCTGTGACAAGAGATCGCAAACTGGTTGGACTTCTCTTCTATTTTTACTCATCAATCATATTTGGTTCCTGGTACTGGGACTGGTCTGGTTGCACCCGGCTACATTTCAAATGGGATTGAGCGCAGTTCCACTTTCCTGCTATATTATATCCAAAGTGTCGAAAATAGACACATTGCCAAAGTAGTTTTATCAACCCAAAGAGCAATAGTGTACCTTTGGGGGAGCTCCCCACTAGACCTACCATATTCACAGTGCTAAGAAAATAAAATCAAACTGATGTAGCTTTGTGATCAACCTGTCATTCACATCAAATACAGAGACAGAGCTCTGCTATCAGCATCTGATCTGGCAGCGGGGGGCAGATAGTGAGACCAGATTAGGGTCTTCATCGCATACATGAATAGCTGGTGACGTCACATGTGATCTCCCTTGCTGTGGACACAGAGTGCGGTACACAACTCATCCACTGGCTTTCTGTATCCTATAGGAGTCAATTCAAAGTGATAACTCATACCTATAAAGTACTGAACAATTCTAGCCCCTCTTATCTCTTCACAGATCCATAGATATCCCCCCTCTCGATCTCTCCACTCTGCCCGTGACCACCTCCTGTCTGCTGCTCACACCCATATGGCCAACTCACACGCGGCTCCCTTGCAGCCTGCCTACCACCATCAGACTCTCCCCTAGTCTTCAATCATTTAAGAAGTGCCTTAAAACCTCTCTCTTTAGGAAAGCTTATGGCCTCCCAGAGTAAACTCTACCTCACATACCTGTCTCTTGCTCTCTCCTAAAGTGCAGCACTTTACGCTCTCCTCCAGCTCTGCTTCACTCCCACCTTATTGGATTATTTCCTGTCCTAATGTGTTTTATACCCCACCTCCTATAGACTGTAAGCTCATTTGAGCATGGTCCTCTTCAACCCATGGTTCCTGTAAGTTTTCTTGTAATTGTCCTATTTATAGTTAAATCCCCCCTCTCATAATAGTGTAAAGCGCTACGGAATCTGTTGGCGCTATATAAATGGCAGTAATAATAATAATAATCCATCAGATAGGACTTACTATTAAATTGCAAGGTTTTTTTAAGAGCCAATTTCTGTCGAATAATATTGCATCGAATTGACCAAAGAGTTTAATTTACATTTAATGTGCCCTGTAAAAGGGATAGACCATAGGCCAGGCATCAAAAGTGTTAATATAACATTTAATTTTTGTTTGTTTTTTGTAAATACACTTCAATTAATATAATAAACAATACAATAAAATGAATGAGGTAAGGTAAAATTCACAGTTATTTCCTTACCTTACAATACCCTGTGGCACATGACCAGCAAATGCTGGTAATACTGCGATCATTCCTAGGGACCTCATTCTGTCTAGAATCTTGTGCTGAGATTAAATGAAACAAAATAAATGATATATTTGCGAGCCTCTTTAATTTAAATGAATCCAAAAAAAAAAAAACAACAACAACAACAACCTACTTACTTCCTCTAAAGCATTTTCTTAAATGTTGGTTTAAGTTTCTTAAGTGGCGTATTGCAACTTTAAATGTTGCTATTTCTATCGGAACTGTGTTAAACGGCCATATTGTATACTTATGTTATATCTAAATATTCACTGTAACACGCATGTTACATAAATTGTCACAAATTATATTTGTATAATTAGTTTGTGATTAATGTGTGAAATACAAAACCTCTAATAAAAACATACTCCAGGGTCTATAAGAGTTAAAAATAGTGGGTAGCTCATAGCTTTAAATTAAATTATTCAAGGGGAACAGTGCCAATATATATTAATTTCTGATATAATAAAATTATTAAATACACTTTTGCTAATTTTTATAAAAATATTATTTTTAGATCCTCACAGAAAAAAGGAAAAATTACTTCTCACCAACAGTAGCATACAAATGGAGGGGCACTACAACGTTGGGGACCACATGAGTGAGTTAAACAATGCACCCCTTGATCCTGTAATTATTGGTAACGAGGCCATGTTATTGACATTGGCCCAGCCTGACAGGGAGCTGGATGAGAGGGGGCCAGGAACTCTGCTGCACATCTTTTGGGCAAATTTATGTCCCATGATACCGCAGGTGTGCACATGCATGCTTGGGCATTTAATGAACAAATATATTGGGGTGGAAGACTAGTTGTGCCCACTGTCTTTTTATTTTTTTTAAGAATTATAATTCTACAAAACTGCAATTGTTTACATTGCAAAGTTAAAACTAAAGGGCCACTGCATTGCAATGAAGTGGTCTAGGTGACTTTAGTTGTCCTTTAAGCTGTGGCATAGTGATAGCTACTGATGAGGTTAAAGGTACACTCCAGACTCCTAAGGCACTTTAACTTGCTGAAGTGCTTTATGTTTGAGGGTGTCCTCAAAGTGCAGATTTCAATATAAATTGGGACTTCTCTAAATTAACCTTGTTACACCCCCTTGTTTTAAGCAAGCAACCTGTCCTGCTACTTCCTGATTTGTTTGTTATTTGAATTGTCCAGAGAACCTGCCTGCCTTGGCGTGGAAGAAAGGAAGGGAGTGCCCCTTTAACATTGTTACACCCCTGGCTGACAATCAGACAACCGGTCCTTTTTATTTCTAGTTGTTTATCTCAAATGGAGTTAAACTGAAGAGACAGCGATTGCCCAGAGCACCTGCCTTGCAAAGACATCTCATTGAGCTGCATTGGGAAGTTTGTAAATGAACAGCCACAGAAAGTCTGTGTAGACAAGAGAACTGCAGGTTTTGCAATTTGTTTTTAAATATATCCCCAATTAAATTACATTTTGCAGTTGGGCAGCGAGCATGTCCCTTTAAGTGCTATGAAACTTTTGCACCCAAACACCATTTAAGAAAGTCAGATTACCTTCTTTATCACACAGCATAGAGGATGGTGAAGAAGAAACAGCATTTAATAATGAACTCATTAATAAAACTCATAACGTAGAGTGCAGGTACGGACTGGTCATCGGGCAAATGCCCGGTGGGCCGCGATGGCCATGGGCAGAGGCCGGCAGGGGAGATCACGTGTTCTCCCCTGTTGGTCCATGCAGAGCCGGCACCATCCAAGCGCTATCCCTGCTGTGTGCCTTCATGGGCCGGTGGCGAGATCAAAGATCTCCCTCACCAGCCCACAGGCACAGTCAAGCGGCCGATGGCTGGGGAGGGAGGGAGAGGAGGACTCAGGGGAGCTCTTACTTGCAGCTCTGCCGGGTTCCTCTCTCAAGGTCGGAGCGTTGACGCGGTTACCACGGCAATGCTCAGATCTCGCGAGAGTGAACTCTAGCCCATCAGGCTAGTGTTCACTCACCACTAGGGCCTCCAGGGACTGTGGCACAGGGGATATAAAGTTTTTAATTAAAAAACAAACAAAAACATTTAAATATGTCCCGTCCCCCCTCCCCTCCAAACATATTCACCCAACACACTGTGCCCCTCACACAGACAATACTTCCAAACATATACTACAGCACCCCTCAAGCTCAATATACACGCTAGATCCCTTAACCAACTCTGGACACACTCTCGCTCTCTCTCCTTTATACACTAGAACACACACACACTACATTCTTTGTAAGAAAAAAAACCACATACTACAATCCCTACACACACACACACATTCTACAATCCCTACACACACACACACACTACAGCCCGTATGCACACACTCGCTACATCCCCTATAACACTATGCCCCCTATACACACACTCTCTCCAGCCCCTAGCCACACATATTACACCACAAACATGAATGAAATTGATCTATTTACACAATACCACACCACAATCAGCTCACTCTACACACACACAATCCCACAAGCAGGCTCCAAACACATGCATGATATGCTTTCCTGGCCCTTTTGTCCTCTGGTATCCCACTAATGGAGACACCAGAGACAAGTTACGAGCTAACACAGTGCAAGCATGTTATTAGATCTGCTGCGCAGAACAAATACAGGGCCTTTTTCTCATGCTAAAGCTCTTCAGCAGGGCTCTGCGCATTGAATCAACATGTTCACTTTAAGAGGGGGCGTGCTTGTCATTAGTGATGACAAAACATACCCTCTCTGGCCCCACCCCTTTCTTAGGGGGCCGCAGTGATTGAAAAATGCCCGGGCCGAATTTTTCTTCCCAGTGCGGCCCTGGTAGAGTGCGTTCAGCAGAACACAAAACACAAAGGTCTTAACATTCTAAGATTGTATTTATGTGTAATGTTTCAGTTGAGAAGGGATTGCATGGATTCATTTTACCTGCAAGGACAACTGGTTGCTCATCCAGGAAGAAGATAGAGGTCCTGCCCAAGTGTGAATATTTCCCATTCGTCCCCAAGCCAGAAAAGCTGGTCCAGTGAAGAAGTCATCAATTTCTGACTGGGTCAGACCCAAAGTCAAATACACCTGAAATAAAGGAATATAATAATCGTGTTTCATACATAAAAGCAATAATGTATAACATATTATAAAGGGATACTTAAAGCACTATAACAAGTCATCGTCCAGAGAGAGTGTTTGACACTGTCCGATAGTTTGTGGCAAACTGTTTTCAGGCAGTTAGCCCGGAAATATTACTGCTCTGCTAAAGTTATGATGATCCAAAAGATTATCTGATCAAAGCACTCCAAGCCTCAAAGGCAGTGATAAGCTGTGAGTTCTGGGATAACCAGCCCAAAACCAATATTAACACCCAAGGATGGTAACACATTATCCAAGACTCTTTAGGTATCAGTAAGTAAAACTGGTTTGACCCAAATTGAATGCAGGGCCAGATTTACCCTTTAGGCAGAGTAAGCACCTACCTACATGGTAGTGCCTGAGGGGGTACATAACCTGTCTGTTAACTGTCTGTTTTTTGTTTGCTGGACAGAACATAGGTTCCAGAACTCTGGGATCACTGTATTTAGTCTAATGGGAGCCTGACCAGCACATGAACCTGCCCCATCAGGCTATACACAGGATCTCCTGTACATGAGAAGAGAGAGCATAGACTCAAGTGCCAGGTCCCACTAATGTTTTATCACAGACTGGGCTGGAATAGTTTCCCAGTCACTAGTGTGTTATTACAGTAAGCAGCCAGCAACATGGTAAGTGGTGGCATATTTACTAACTTTGATGGTCATATTAACCCCATAGGGTTTTCTTGAAGGTTGCTTCTATGAAGGTCCCTCTCATAAAAGCTTTACGTGTGACCCAGAGAAGTCTTCCAAGTTGTTGCAGAGATCTGTATCTCTTGTAATTGCTTTGCAGGTGTCTATGTCAGATAGAGGATTAAATCTCCACTGTCCCCATTGTCAAGTGAACATACATCCTTTAAACACAAAAAGGCAAGGAGTTGTGTCAATATAAATTCACCCTGATAAGATGCATCTTCCAACGAAGAGCTGCTGCCACGAGTCTTGAATAACTTCCAGATCGCTGAGCCACCGCCACTGGCATCAGCATCGTTGGTTGAAGGGAAAAATTATGACACCATAGGCCACTGCTGAGAGACCATCATACACCACGCAGCGTACACTCAACCAGGGGACGTGTGCACCTCACACTATTTTTTTATTAACAATATCCCTCCCCTATTTTTTGGGTGATAATAGGTATCATGGTCACATTAGCTGCAGGTAAATCTATCTTTGGGTTAACCTTACAATGTAGCTTTAATAAACAGGCCACTAGAGGGAGATCATATATATTTATCCAGAGAACATTTATTTTACAGAAATGCAAAGTCAAAGAAAAAGAAATCTGTCTACCTTACACAACTCTCTTTTTATTAATAATCACTCTTGTAAATCAGAACAAATGCAGCTGATTGTATTTGTTCTGGTGAGTATGATCATTCCCTTCAGGCGTTTTGCAGTAATCACAGTCTTTTCTGAGAAAATGCACTGTTTACATTACAGCCTACGGATATCTCCACTGGCTACTCCTCCGATAGCTGTTAGAAGTACTTCCTGGGGCAGTGCTGCTTACTGTGCAGCACTGCCATTCAGTGTCTCCACCCTCTGCATAGAGACAACTTTCTTCATAGAGATGCATTAATTAAATGCATCTCTATAAGGAGATGCTGTTTGGCCAGGGCTGTGTTTGGCTTGTGCTGGCTCTGCTCGTGATTTGCCTCACTGACAGTCTCAGCCAAGCATTGGGAAGCATTGTGATTGGATCAGACCACCACTTCTGATGATGTCAGAGCAAGGACAGAGGCAACAGCTGCAGCCTTGAAAACAAGTAAGATTTTACTATATTTAGGGTGGCAAAGGGGGCATGAGGGCTAGATGGTGGTTTTAACGCTATAGGTTTGTGTTCCTGATCCTATGATGATCCTTTAAATTAAATGTGTTACATTAGGCTGTAAAAGTAGGATAACAGTGGAGAAGATTACAATCCTAAAGCTAGTCTGCTACACTGACAGAAAAAAAAGTTTAAAAAAATGAAATAAAACATCTGTTCGCATCAAAATTATGTCAACAGATAATTTGGCTTAAAGTTTTATGTACTTTAGTAAATGTTTGTACAAATGAGAATGAATAAAAAATTATATATATAAAAGAATAAAATAATGGTTTTAAAAAAAAAAATATGCACATCAAAATGTTGTGTAAGACATACACCCTTTCACTCACCTCCTTTTTCTAATACAATCAACACACACCCTTAGAGAGTTCATATAATACATACAAACAATGTGGGAGATCCAGGTTGATCGTTAGCTCACACACAGCAGTGTATGTACAATGAATAATGTCAATCAAGCCTCGATTTGCACCAACCTATGCTCAGTAGTAGTAAAAACATTACTAAACGTGCAGAAAATGGTATATAAATTATTAGGCGCAAACAAAGTGGTATTAAATTGTGCCACCACACAACACAACCTTAATGTGCAAGGTATATATAGGTTTGTTTGTTACCTGGAGTAGATGTGTTCGATGACATATGTGACGAACTGAACCTCGCCACTGGTTCTTGGAGGGGCCTGCTGGCCAGCCTCTTGCCTCAGGACTATGGCCCCTGCAATAGACCTTGGCTAATATACTTTAAAAAGGCTCTGTTCGTGCAATTGGGATTATGTTGCTCGGCAACCGAAAAGCTGCACGAACCAGAGACCACCTGGGAGCTTGTTAAACCCTATTAACACTTGGTAACGATTCTAACCGCAGTGTTCTAATTGTTTGTCTGGGTGGCCGCTGTTCGCATGAAAGCAGACAGCGGTGTTTGGTCGTCGAGTTCCTGGAACAAAAAATTGGACATAGTTACTCCCGAACACCGCTAGACTGCCATCATCGCCTGCGTTCGGTTCAACACAACTTAGAAGGACACGGTTCGGTGGAAGTGTTCGTCTGGATGAGGGGAACAAGCTCCAGGGTAAGACGACTGACTATGATCGGTAGTTTGTTCGGTTTTTAAACAGCCAAACTAGACTGACCACAAGCCCTGATTCTCTGGAACTCTTTTGGGCAGGAGCCATGTGTGCAGTCGGTCAAATTATGACTTTCATGGAAATCCCGAACACCTGAACCAATCTAGGTGATTTTTGGATAGGTTTGTCCCCCAGATCGGGGCTATCAGGGGATATGACTTTTGTAATAAATGCCTTCCTGTTGTATCATTCATGTAGTTTAGGCTGATGTTTGGGTATACGTCTGATTGCTTGGAGAATTTACTTGGATACTGCATTTTCTTCTTCGAATCAACAACCGAACTGCGAGCTATAATCACTCAGCCTTTAGCTGTTCGGGAGGAACTAAAACTGAACGGGTATCTGAAATACAAGCGTTCCCAACAACAGATATCTGGATACTTCGTTATATGGCAACAGTATAAAAGGAAGTAAAACTGAAAAAGAGAAAAAAAAACTTATAGTGTAGTATTTAAAGGAACACTACAGTCACCTAAATTACTTTAGCTAAATAAAGCAGTTTTAGTGTATAGATCATTCCTCTGCAATTTCATTGCTCAATTCTCTGCCATTTAGGAGTTAAATCACTTTGTCTGTTTATGCAGCCCTAGCCACACCTACCCTGGCTATGATTGACAGAGCCTGCATGAAAAAAAAACTGGTTTCACTTTCAAACAGATGTAATTTACCTTAAATATTTGTATCTCAATCTCTAAATTGAACTTTAATCACATACAGGAGGTTCTTGCAGGGTCTAGCAAACTATTAACATAGCAGGGGATAATAAAATCTTAATTAAACAGAACTTGCAATAAAGAAAGCCTAAATAGGGCTCTCTTTACAGGAAGTGTTTATGGAAGGCTGTGCAAGTCACATGCAGGGAGGTGTGACTAGGGTTAATAAACAAAGGGATTTAACTCCTAAATGGCAGAGGATTGAGCAGTGAGAATGCAGGGATATGATAAATATACCAATACTGCTTCATTAAGTTAAAGTTGCTCAGGTGACTATAGTGTCCCTTTAATACAACAAAGAAAAAGGTATACAATTAAATATGCCTGTAATTTGCTTTACAGCAATATTTGCTGTAATATTCGGTAAAGTACGATTGTATTTAATAACACAAATCGGGAATGAAAGCTAGGTGTGTCATGAGGTAAGAGTTTATTTAGGGTGTCTCGTATTTTCTAATTTTGTTGCAGATCCAGATTGCCATCAGATCACTCCTGTTTTGCAATGGTTTTTACCATTGCAAACCTGTAAACCATAAACCTTTATGATCATATCATCTAAATGTGCAACAGCTTCTAAAGCAATGAAGATTTGTAATTGATCATAAATTACATATTAAAGTTAGACACCAAGCCCCATAACCACTACAGCATGCTGTTTATGGTGCCAGGAGTCAAACCGTTTTAGAATGTTTGCTAGTGTTACCTGGGGACAGCCAGGCATCGTTTGCCACCTCCACTACTGCTCAGTGAGTTCCAGAAACTCTCTTTACCGAACCAAGCCTAGTGGTCAGGGTGCTCATTGGCCCAACTTATGCTCTCAGCCAATAAGCTAGCAGTGCGTTGCCGTTTTTAGCTCAGAAGAGGCAATTAAATTTCCTGAGCAGTAGTGGAGGTAGGGAACCGCACCCTGCAGATCACCGGTAAGGGGGAGGAGTTGGGGTAGTAGGGCCCTCTTGCCACAATAACTACTACAACAAGCTATAGTGCTTGAAGTGTTTCTTTAAGTTGTTTTAGGAAATGTGTAAGGAGATGGTTAGGTAGTACCAAATCAGCAATATCCTTATCTGACACCTTTTACTCTTATTTCTCCCTATCACAATCGAACAAAAAGATTTTTAAATTGCAGGCGAAATAGGCCACTTGTTTTGTGGTAAAAAAAAAAAAAAAAAGCGGTTTTGATGGAAGATGGCTTATATCTTAAGAATGCCTGTGTGATTCCACCGAAGCCATAGCAAATCTTGTTCACAATGTAAAACTGAACTAATAAAGATTTTCACATCCTGAAAAAACAAAAACTGGTTTCATGAAAGATAATGCATACCTTAAGGTAAATGTTCAATTTCACAGAAGCAATAGCAAATCTTGTTCAGCATGGAAAACTGAACAAACTAATAAGACACATACATTGTGTGTGCGCGCCATTCCACCTAAACAGACACTACAGGCACCAAAACAACTTTAGCTTAATGAAGCAGTTTTGGTGTGCAGTGATGAAACTCCTAAATTGCAGAGAATTGAGAAGTGAGAGTGCAGCAGCGTGATCTATACACAACAAACGATTTAATAAGCTAAAGATGTTTTGATGTCTATAGTATCCCTTAACCCCTTAAGGACACATGACATGTGTGACATGTCATGATTCCCTTTTATTACAGAAGTTTGGTCCTTAAGGGGTTAAGCAACACCAGATCTAGTTTAGTAGAAGACTGATCAAATGCGTAAATACATTTTTAAATTGTACATGAATTTAAAAAAAAAAAAAAGATTAATGATAAACAAAGGATTAAGTAATGCTCAGTGAGAAGAACTAATGAAATGTGGATGTCTTGTTATAACCGGAAGAAAAATATTTATTTGCTTACCCGTTGCCAAATTGCCTCTTGACCAGTAAATGCAAGGGGCATGTTGATGCCATTGAGGGCCATCCAGTCGATCTCCTTCTCCCATCGAGTCCAGTTCCACCACACAAAGGAATAACTTGAGGTACAGACATTTTGATAGTAGCGAAACCTAAAAACAGAAGACTCTGTGAGGACTTAGATTTATGTAGTTCTCAACTCAACTTATTCCATCAGCCATGCAATGTGTAAATTAGTCTGATAACTATTTCTAGTTATGCCACAATGTAAACATTCAATAATGTTAATAAATTAAACTTACTTTGGGGTTGGGTATCGGGGGTCGTCTTAGAATTTTGGGCCTACAGGCACCTGACAAGTAAATTCGGTCATGCATGTAAATGCGGTTCACTCTGCATGATTAAAGTACAGTGCCAGTGGGGGGCGGGGCCTGACTATCATGGCGACTGGATGTGTCTCTCGAGGTCACACTGAGCAAAACTAATTTTTTTGGTTGATAGAGCGGCAATTGTGCAACGTGCTACATAATCTTGGCTACACAAACCGATTGACCTTCTGGAGGCACATCCAGCGGTCTACTAAGCCGTTCCAGAAGCAGAGTTCCAGTGCGGCCTAGCAGGCGGCATGGAGGGAGGATGGGGCCCAACATCCCATTCTGTCGTGGGCAAGTCTCCAAACAAGCACCGGTTTAAAAAAGCATAAGCTTTTTCCTGTTTATGCTTTAATTTACTAGTAAATAATGAACAGTTTAGTGAATAAACCTCCTCAAGAAATATTAAAAACATGACTGACCTGTTTAAACAACACATGTTAGCTTTGTGGGGGATTCCTTCTACTTGGGGGTCAAAAAACATCATTCAGCTCCGGTTACAGGATGCAGTTAGAAATCTTTAGAGATTTATTTAAAATGGCATTCATTTTGCAAGAGAAGATTTATTGGGCCCATTTGTACTAAACTCTGAGAAAACAAGTTACTGGTACCAAAGCTAGCAGCTTTATTATAAAAGAAATGTGTTACTTAATGTTGTACCATGAGCATTAAAAGTTACTGCATTAAAATGGAAATTTCAGTTTTAGGGGAACGAGATGAAGAACATATGTCTTGTTTCATAAGTACCTTAAAATATAATTGCACAGTTTTATGTTTAAAAGGTTACCTACGTGTCATGTCATGTACAACCTACCGTAAGCTCTTTTTAAAGAGGCTAAAACTGCCATCAATACATTGTGTTAACAGTTTTGCTAGGGAATCTATCGTTTGGGAGAAAACTATATAATTTCTAACATCTGTCCCTCAATTCCTCAATATAGACTATGTCAAACAATTGGCCGATAGAAAGAGCAGAATAGACCTTCTGCTTTCCACACACTGACACCACAACGCATGTGATGTAGTTGCTTTGATAGCTCCCTAGTCACCTGTGCTAGCGCTGGCTAGGGAGTATGGGAATGGAGTGACTGACGTAAGTACGCTAGGAAGCCAGCATGCATGCAAATAAAATGCTGGTAGCAAAAGCGCCACCGAATTCTGACAGGTATATCTCTATATTTTAAACTAAATATTTAATGCATCTCTTGCATGATATATGTTGTATTCAATGTATTTGGCGGAGATTTAGTCAAATGTCTACAATGGATGACTGGTTCATTTTAAATATGCTTTAGGCATATAGATTCTGTAATAATAAAATATATATATACACATGCAGATAGACGCAGATTAAATGCACAGGACTATTTACTAAAGTGAAAATTCAAAATAAAATTCAAATATAAGGCAACAACAGCCGAACTGAATACATAGCTGGCTTAGAGATTATTTTCTAGTTTGGCTATTTTAACCTTAAATTTGAATCTGGCAGTTCTAAATACAAAGCAACAAAAAGTGCTGAACTTAGGACAATGTGCAAAAGTAAGGAAACAAAAACGTGGAGGGCCATGTGTGGGTTAACAAATGAAGAGAAAATGAGGAAGTGAAAACATATGTTACAAAAGGACAAAAACCGCTATAAAAGTGTCCTTACTGATCAGTGGTCAAGTTCAGGGATTCAGATGAAGTGGTCTCAGTGCTTAGATTGTTGTTATGTTGCCCAGTGATCTCCCTTTCAAACTGCCCAGGCATCAAAGATAACCCAAAAATACTGTTCCATAGGACAACTTAAATGAACACTACAGGGTCAGGAACACAAACATGAATTCCTGACCCTATAGTGTTAGAAAACACTATCTAGTCCCCCTGACCCACACTTTCCCACCTAAATTTAGTCTTACCTTTATTCCAGTCTGCTGGCTCTGTCTCCTTGGCAGACATCATCAAAAGTGATGATCTCAGCCAATCACAATGCTTTCTCATAGGAAAACATTGGATTGACTGATATTGCCAAGGGGGTGTGCCAGGGGCGAGGCCAGACACTGCTCTGGCCAATTGGCATCTCCTTATAGAGGGTGGACACAATGTGCAGCACTGCCCCAAGTAGTACCTCTAACAGCCATCTGAGGAGTGGCCAGTGAAGTTATCACTAGGCTGTAAATGTAAACACTGCATTTTCTCTGAAAAGACAGTGTTTATTGCAAAAAGGCTACAGGGACTGACTGTACTCAGCGGAACAAATACATTAAGTTGTAGTTGTTTTGGTGACTATAGTGAATTGTTAGCATAAGAGGTTTTGCCTTGACGTGGCAGGTGAGCTTGCACTTGAATGGCTATTGGAGTGACACTAAACAACTTCCAGTATTTGTATTTGTTCTGGTGAGTAGAATATTTCCATTCAGGCTTTTTTGCTGTAAACACGGTCTTTTCAGAGAAAATGCAATGTTTACATTACAGCCTAGTGATAACTCCACTGGCCACTCCTCAGATGGCTGCTCGAGGTGCTTCCTGGGGCAGTCCTGCCTTGTGTGCAGCATTGCCATTCAGTGTCTCCATCCTCTGCATGCAGACACTGAACTTTCCTCATAGAGATGCATTGATTCAGTGCATCTCTAGGAGGAGATGCTAAATGGGCAGTGCTGTATTCGACGTGTGCTGGCTCTGCCGTTGATCTGCCTCTTGACAGCCTCAGCCAATTCTATGGGGAAGCACTGTGATTAGCTCAGACCACCACTTCTGATGATGTCAGCAGACAGAGGCAGTTCAGGGGCAGACTTTAATACAGGTAAGATTTTACTATATTTAGGGTAGCAAGAAGGGCCGGGGTGCTAGATGGTGGTTTTAACACTATAGGGTCAGGAATACATGGTTGTGCTCCTGACCCTATAGTGTTCCTTTAAATGTGCATAAGGATTAGGGATTAGTGTGCAAGTAATTTCGTTTTGTTTTTGTAACCAATGATATGTTTGTCACGACAACTGGACTGATACTTCTTCCCTGCTCCCTTGCCCACTTGACAGCAAATCTGGATTGCTAAATGTATTACTGAATTCGTACAGTGGTGAAACCTCCCCTTGTCCAATTCTCCAGAAAATTACGGATCTATGGAAAGAATCACTGCAGTGTTCCAGCTTTCTTACTCACAGATGCACCAGGCTGAAAAAAGTGACAGAGTCCCACGCTATACTCACACCAAGACGAGTATATGTTACCCAGCAAGCCCCTCTCACAACTCGAAGCTTTACTGCCTTCCCATATATAGGCTTCAAAATAATTTGCTGACCACAGATTAATAATGCATAGGCATACTGCTGATGTGCTTTTTTTCAAATAAATGCAAGAAGACAAATTAACCATTATGCTTCACCTACAGGTTTATTCAAAGTGTGAAGTTTTGTGATCTGAAGTGAATTTTAAATATAAATTCAGTGCCGTAGTTGTTAAATATTATGTAAAATCAGAAAATAAGGAACAAGCTTTGTAGAAAATAAGTCACATGCTATGATAAAAACGTTGATACAGAAATAAAACCACACCTTAAAAGGTGTAATCATGTTGAAAAATAGGCACAGTTCCAATTTTATTTGCATTAAAATTGGTGAACTAAAAACTATTACAAAACTGTACACCTAACACTATAATGTCCTCCTGCCTTCCCCCAGTCATGAAATTGTTAAAACCCCTCTTTCACTTATCGTATTCCAGCGACAAGGTCTCTCAACGCTGGCTTGGTCTCCCCCCCCCCCGAAGACACGGTAAATGGGGAACCCCAATGCTTGTTCTTGGTTTGCCCTAATTTCACTTTTTTTTCTATTTAGATTTAGAATCCAGATCAGATTACTATTGGGCTGAGCACCTCACCCATCCACTATGGGTGCCTCAGGGCCGCCATCAGGGGATGACAACCATAACAGTTGTCACGGGCCCGGCCGCCCAGGCCACATTGATTTCCCATTTTAAATCAGTGTAGAACTCACGGATATTACAGATATAATGCACATGTGTGTATATTATATATACACACACACATATATACATACACACACACACACACACACACACACACTTATGTGCTTTTTTTTCAAATAAATGCAAGAAGACAGATTTACTAGTATGCTTGACCTACAGGTTTATTCACCAAAGTGTGACGTTTTGTGAATCAGAAGTGAATTTTAAATGTAATTTGTAAAATATTATGTGCAATAAAAATAAGGAACAGGCTTTGTAGAAAATAAGTCACATGCTATGATAAATGCGTGATACACCTGACACATGCCTAATTGCTACAAACCACCTGAGTGGGAACCCCTTATACCACTCTAAAGAATTATAAAAAATACATACAGTAGGTGGAACACACATCTGGTGATTCTATAAGGAAAAACTAAATTAACATAGTGCAATATTGCCAATATGAATAGTGTAAAGGTCTTTTAGGTTGCAGGTACTCACAAGCATGGAGCCAAATCTTAGGGTAATGCAGAGGGACCCTTAATAGGATGTCCCCATCCTTCTTTTAGCTGGTCCTTGTGTAGCCTTTAAAAATTATTGAATAATGATGATATGAGAGATCTCTAATAAAAAAGGCTTTATTTAGTGAAAGAAAGTAAAACAAAATGCACAGTGTGCAATAACGTAAAATACTTAATTGGTAAAAGTCCAAATATGTCCAATATTGGCACAACCCGATGGCTAGTAGGTCCGATACGTGTTTCGCCCTGTGGTGGGGGCTTCCCCAGTCGGTATCTGTTATTATCTTATTATCCACTATGTCTAGCCCACATAATGAATCTCCACCTACTTATAGTGCTGATAACACCGTCTACTCCAGTGGTTCCCAAACTTTTTAGGTTCAAGGCACCCTTAAATATTCCTGTATTTTTCCAAGGCACCCCAAGTCAAAATTTCTAGGTTGTATATCTGTAGAGAGCTGAAGCATTTACTGGCGCTATAGTGTAATGTACAGTGTTGGTGTTTGAAGGGGTGCTTGTATATAGTTGTGTTTTAACCCCTTCCCGACCAAAGATGGAAATTTTCCATCAAGCTTGTCCTTGCGTTAAAGACCCGTGGCAGAAAATTACTAAAGTTAACGCCAGATCGCCACAATGGCGGGGTTAACGCTCACCTGGTCTGCCTCTGTATTTGAGGCAGACCGGGATCACACGATCGAGCTGCCCCTGCAGCAGTGATCGCTCTGACAGGCTGTCAGCGCGAGCACATGTGCTGCAGGGACTCACGATCCGCATCCCTGCTCTTTCACGGTCAGTGTGAAGTGCAGAGAGACGAATCAGCAGTGATCCTCTTCATCTTGTGTAAAAAAAGAAAAAAAAAAAATTCAATCCCACCCACCCTTTACCCTGCTTTAATAAAATTAACCCCTTCCCCGCCTGTGGCGAAACCAACCTCGCCACTGTGCACTGGAGAAGCCTGGTTGCCAGCCTCCTGCCATCTGACTATGGCCCCCTTTTAAAAGACTTTATTTTTGCCTGCAGAAAAGCTGTATTCGTGCTTTTCTGCCTGGGGTTCGGTAGATGTGTTTGAATGTGTTATACCCCAGATAGGAATCCCATGGAGCCCATTTGTATGAAACTGACTGTAAAGACTTTGGCTCCATGGTGATTACACTGTATTCGTGTGGTCTGAGCGCCATTCACTTAATAATGTGCGCTCAGACCTGAGCTATCTGGGGATATGTGAAATGTCTGTGTTTTATGTATAAAATGTGACTTTATGTATTTTAAAGTGTTTTGTGTCTTTTGCAACCATGTGCTTAATGGAGTCTTGTGTCTGTCCTGGGAGATAATTGAATTACTTATCTCCAGGATAGAAGACTCTGAAACAGGTTTGGGCCAGAAAGCCATGCTTCATTTAGTCACAAAGGACTTTTTACTAACTTTTGAACCCCTTACCTGATTTGTGCCATTTTTGAATATGTTGTTCCCCTGAATGGATTGATTGTGCATATGTAATTTTATGTGAATGTGATGTATGGTTTTAGAGTTATGAAAGTTGGGTAGAGAGTATGTTTTAACTGTATGTATAATTGAGTTTCCTCTCAGGATAAGGGGAGGGAATATGTGGGATGTAACTGTGATGTTATTGGTTGTTTTATACCTCCCTGTGGGCGGTCCTGTATTTGAAAACACTGTAATAAAAACCAGGCTGGGTGTGCCAGGACCTCAGATTCTGCTTAACCCTCAAAACGAAGTGTCGTCTCGTTATTGGGGGAATTGGATTGTGTGCTGACTGCCAGGAGTGTAAGCCGTTTGTATTGCTTTTCCTGTTCGGCTGCTTCCAGAGTTCGTGTATTTCTTGTTCGTGAGTTGGGGATTCGTACAGTTTGGAGTTCGGGAAGTTGGTGATTGCAATAGCTGCTGGTCTATGGGAAAGGGGATTATCGCCTAAACCGATTTTATCCCCTTGTGAGAGAAACGGTCCGTTACAATTGGTGGCAGCGGCGGGATCGTTCCTACAACCAGAAGGACAGCTACAAGACAACACCAGTGCCTGGATTACAATTGAGGGCAACGTTAGTACCCGTACAGCGACCCTATCTACAAAGGAACCAACTTCAGCAGAGGAAGCATGGCGCCTGGCTACACTCAAGAGCAGTTTGACAGAGAGGTTAATGCGGTGCTGTCGCTCTGTGGACCCAACCCCGCGGAGAGTACAGTGCGGATCGCCAAGAAAACAATAGGAGAGTACCTGCAAGCCCTAGCAGAGTCGGCCAGGGGGGAGACACCCCAGCTGCTGAGTAAGTTCCAGAGAGCCAAAGGTGTTGTCCTTCCTCCCCAGCGGCCATGTGAGTTACAGGGAGCCAAAGGTGCCGTCCTTCCTCCCCAGCGGCAGTGGGTATCCCAGGGAGCTGAAGGTGTCGTCCTTCCTCCCCAGCGGCAGTGTGTGTCCCAGGGAGCCGAAGGTGTCGTCCTTCCTCCCCAGCGGCAGTGTGTATTACAGGGAGCTGAAGGTGTCGTCCTTCCTCCCCAGCGGCAGTGTGTATCCCAGGGAGCTGAAGGTGCAGTCCTTACCCCCCAGCGGCAGTGTGTGTCCCAGGGAGCCAAGGGTGCCGTCCTTCCTCCCCAGCGGCAGTGTGTATCCCAGGGAGCCAAAGGTGTCGTCCTTCCTCCCCAGCGGCAGTGTGAGTCCCAGGGAGCAGAAGGTGCCGTCCTTCCTCCCCAGTGGCAGTGTGTACCCCAGGGAGCCAAAGGTGCCGTCCTTCCTCCCCAGCGGCAGTGTGTATCCCAGGGAGCTGAAGGTGTTGTCCTTCCTCCCCAGCGGCACTGTGTATCCCAGGGAGCTGAAGGTGTCGTCCTTCCTCCCCAGCGGCAGTGTGTATACCAGGGAGCTGAAGGTGCAGTCCTTCCTCCCCAGCGGCAGTGTGTACCCCAGGGAGCTGAAGGTGCAGTCCTTCCTCCCCAGCGGCAGTGTGTACCCCAGGGAGCTGAAGGTGCCGTCCTTCCTCCCCAGCGGCAGTGTGTACCCCAGGGAGCTGAAGGTGTCGTCCTTCCTCCCCAGCGGCAGTGTGTGTCCCAGGGAGCCAAAGGTGTTGTCCTTCCTCCCCAGCGGCAGTGTGTACCCCAGGGAGCAGAAGGTGCCGTCCTTCCTCCTCAGCGGCAGTGTGAGTCCCAGGGAGCCAAAGGTGTCGTCCTTCCTCCCCAGCGGCAGTGTGTGTCCCAGGGAGCAGAAGGTGCCGTCCTTCCTCCCCAGCGGCAGTGGGTATCCCAGGGAGCTGAAGGTACCGTCCTTCCTCCCCAGCGGCAGTGTGTATCCCAGGGAGCTGAAGGTGCAATCCTTGCTCCCCAGCGGCAGTGTGTACCCCAGGGAGCTGAAGGTGCCGTCCTTCCTCCCCAGCGGCAGTGTGTACCCCAGGGAGCTGAAGGTGTCGTCCTCCCTCCCCAGCGGCAGTGTGTTCTGCAGGAAGCGGAGACAGTCGGTCTCGCTCCCCAGCAGCAGGGCAATATATTAAAAGGGGAGACAGTTGGTCCCCCCCCTCCAACAGCAGAGAGTGTTCCAGGGAGAGGAACCAGCTATCACCTCTCCCCAGCAACAGGACAAATTATTGAAAGGGGAGACAGTCGGTCTCCCCCTTCAACAGCAGAGAGAGTGTCAGGGAGAGGAGCTTGTTATCCCCTCCCCCCAGCGGCTGAAAGTATGTATGGGAGAGGAGCTTGTTACCCCCTCTCCCCAGCGGCAGCTTAGCCCACCAAGGGGAGACAGTAATCTCCACAACAGTGCAGAGGGGACAGTGGTCTCTGCACATGCACCACCGGGGGTAGGAACAGTCGGTCCTGTCCCCCGGCAGCAGGACTGTTTAGGCAAAGGGGAGACAGTCTGTCCCCCCCTCCAGCAACCAGGCTCCAACCAGACTACTCCCGTGGTAGTGCTGGCACCAGGACCGAGTACCGCTGGTCTCTGCCCACTCAGCAACCCACCCAGTACGCTGACCAGTCACCCACACAGCCATGGTGAGGCACCTGGACACGGACAAAGTTCTCCTTTACCCAGGTGTAGTAGCCAGTTATTGTGGGTGGGCTGTATTACTGATTGTGTTTTGTGGGTGGGCTGCTGGACTAACAAGGGCACTGACCGGCAGGAGGTCAGATACCCTGTTAGTCTGATTGGTAAAGGGGAGAAGTGTGGCGAAACCAACCTCGCCACTGTGCACTGGAGAAGCCTGGTTGCCAGCCTCCTGCCATCTGCCTATGGCCCCCTTTTAAAAGACTTTATTTTTGCCTGCAGAAAAGCTGTATTCGTGCTTTTCTGCCTGGGGTTCGGTAGATGTGTTTGAATGTGTTATACCCCAGATAGGAATCCTATGGAGCCCATTTGTATGAAACTGACTGTAAAGACTTTGGCTCCATGGCGATTAAACTGTATTCGTGTGGTCTGAGCGTCATTCACTTAATAATGTGCGCTCAGACCTGAGCTATCTGGGGATATGTGAAATGTCTGTGTTTTATGTATAAATGTGACTTTATGTATTTTAAAGTGTTTGGTGTCTCTTTGCAACCATGTGCTTAATGGAGTCTTGTGTCTATCCTGGGAGATAATTGAATTACTTATCTCCAGGATAGAAGACTCTGAAACTGGTTTGGGCCAGAAAGCCATGCTTCATTTAGTCACAAAGGACTTTTTACTAACTTTTGAACCCCTTGTCTGATTTGTGCCATTTTTTGAATATGTTGTTCCCCTGAATGGATTGATTGTGCATATGTAATTTTATGTGAATGTGATGTATGGTTTTAGAGTTATGAAAGTTGGGTAGAAAGTATGTTTTAACTGTATGTATAATTGAGTTTCCTCTCAGGATAAGGGGAGGGAATATGTGGGATGTAACTGTGATATGATTGGTTGTTTTATACCTCCCTGTGGGCGGTCCTGTATTTGCAAGACTGTAATAAAAACCAGGCTGGGTGTGCCAGCACCAGAGATTCTGCTTAACCCTCAAAACGAAGTGTCGTCTCGTTATTGGGGGAATTGGATTGTGTGCTGACTGCCAGGAGTGTAAGCCGTTCGTATTGCTTTTCCTGTTCGGCTGCTTCCAGAGTTCGTGTATTTCTTGTTCGTGAGTTGGGGATTCGTACAGTTTGGAGTTCGGGAAGTTGGTGATTGCAATAGCTGCTGGTCTATGGGAAAGGGGATTATCGCCTAAACCGATTTTATCCCCTTGTGAGAGAAACGGTCCGTTACACCGCCAAATTATCACTGACTACAGTGATCACTTGGCAGGGGCTAGATTTTAGTCATCTGATTTTTTTTACACCCTCAGGGGTTAAAATTAGTTTTTAAATTAATGTAAATATTTTTAAGTTAAATATTTAGCTAGCTGGGGTGGGTGGAAATTAGTGGGGAATTGGTGGATTTGTTGTTAGGCTAGCTAGGAGTTAACGTTAAAAAAAGTTTTAAAATAAGCTTTAAAAAAGCATTGATCTCATTTGGTGGCAGACCGCTAGGGGGAATCCGACCTTGATATTGTCACTCGATGCCGAGAATTCCTTTGATAGGGTAAAGTGGCCTTATCTATTTGAGGTACTCTGACACTTTGGCTTCCCGACTCAGTTTACCACCACGATTTGCGCTATGTACGCAGACGTCAAGGCCTGGGTCCAGACATCGGGAGCAAAAATGGTGCCTTTCAGTTTGGGGAACAGAACCAGGCAGGGCTGCCCTCTATCGCCCCTAATGTTCGCTCTCTCTTTGGAACCCCTCCTACAAACAATTCGAAGTAACACGGATATTAAGAGAATTACGGTCAGGGGCCAGCAGTATGTGGTGTCGGGATCCGTTGACCATCCAAAGGAGTCAATGGCAGCGCTAACGAACGTTAGATATGTAAGCCGCGGTCCGGGTACAGGGTGAACTTTACTAAATCAAGCGCGCTCTATAAACATAAGAGAAACGGAAATGGCCCTTATAGACATACTTTATAAAATACGTATAGTGCGAGACCATATAAAAAGTACTTAGTCATCGCCATCCTCCCCATCGTATCCCTATTCCTATAAATGACCTATGAAAACATTGAAATCACCCAACTCGCTCTCCTATATAGATGGTCGACTGAAAGCCCGCATGGTATGGCCCGCCCCATGAACGATATGATACGTCTAAACATTATGTAGCCACACTGTAACTAGGCCGCCTGGACCTACGATCGCCATAACCGGTAACTCCCTGTAACACTCCCTCCCGTAACTCCCCTCCTTTCTTTTTCTCTTTCCTATTTAAGTTTTCATCTACTTCTTTCACATCTATCACTACATTCTCCTTCACTCTGACTGACATTTACACCTCGACCACAAATATTGCGAGAGCATCACCTCTACTGAGATGAGACACGGGATGTAATAAGTTTTAATATTGCTAAAATGGTAATGCAACACTGGTGAAACTGAAAGACGGGTTAGCTATCCTAATCACTAAGATCTCAATAGCGCATTGTATAGGTTGACAAACCTAGGCACTGGATGGAGATATACTCACAATGGTTGGTAAGCTTTCACTGTTTTATTCTTTTTCAAAAAACCTGGTGAGACACCACTGATGTACAGACTTCAGCAGCTGACACGCAACATTCTGCTGCACGTACTTAGTTTGTTTCTATGAGCTTACACATATGTCTGCCTCGTATTCATATTGACGTGTCTTTGTAATGGTGTTTATAAACATGTTGTAATGTATGCTTTATTATGGGGTTTTACCTTGGAATAAATAAAGAATTAAAAAAAAACAAAAAAACCTTAACTTGTGATGTCTCTTTTACAGCACTGTAACTTCACAAAATAGAGTCTGGGTCATACATTGGGCATATTATTTTACTCAGAAGATGTAACTGAGCATAATTTGGGGAGGTTTATGACAGTGGTGCATATAAAGTGTAAGAAATAGTCAGCAAAAATGCAACATGCATGTAAAAATGCCGTTCTCCCCTCCCCCTCCCCCACCACAAACATTGACATAAATTGGTGAAATAATAGTGACAATTTAAGGCACAATTTAAACCACATAAGATACCCTGGGGTGTCTGCTTTGTCAAATGAAAGCCCTTTGTGGGGTTATTTGAACAGTCACACTGTTATAATACCCTAATATGTGACATAGGCCCGTCAAATCCATCTACGAAAATTCTAACTATAGAAACTAAAATAGCCTTGTCTATTTTATAGCATTGTAGCTTCACAGAATAGTGTCAAAGGCATAAAATGGGGATAGCGTTCTACTCAGCAGATGTAGCTGACCACAATATGGGGTTCTGGGCAGGAATAGCACACACCAGCTTTACGAAATACACATTACAAAAACCTTATTATATGTGTATATGCCAAAATAGAGAAAAAACACAATTTTACTCCAATATTTAGCAGAGATTGGTGATGAAATGGTTACGTAAAAAAAGTGTCAAATTAACCTTAGGTAAATAGCCTGTGATGTCTTCTTTATAAATATATACTTTTGTGTGGCAATGTTGTTTTCTGTGGTGGCTACTAAACCTACAAGACAAACATACCAACTTCTAAAATTGTTTCACATTAAAATTTTATTTTAGTGCTTGTATTTTGTGACCTGTAACTTTCAAAATAAGCTGAAATCCTACACATATTATGTACTCTATAAACCAAGACACAAATTAATTTGTTCTGAATTACTTTTTCTAAGCGGCACATATTATGCACATGCTATTATTGCCAAAACTGAAGAAAAAACTTTTATATAATTAATGAGAATGTATCTATGTATATGTGACATAAAATTAAAGCCGTTTGCCCTCTGAAAAACGGTATATAATATGTGTTGGTGCAATATATGACAAAGATGCAAATTGCGTTTGAACACAAACAGCAACAAATGCAAAAATGGCTTGTGTCCTTATGAGTAAGACAAGCTTTTGAAGCTGTATCCTTAAGGGGTTAATATAGGGGTGTGTTTGTATGTAATGTTTGCGTTTGATTGCAGGGGTGTGTCTGAATGTAATGTTCATTTTTAAATGCGGATGAACATTTGTGTAAAGTATTTGTGATTGAGTAAAGTAGTGTGTTTACATGTTTTTTTTGTTTGAATGCAGAGGTGTGTTTGTATGTAATTTTTGTGTTCGATTGCAGGAGTGTGCTTGTATGTTGTGCTGGAGTTTGACTGCTTGGATGTATGCACATACACTACCACATACATACTTACACAGATTCATGCACATTAACACACATGCATATAAATACACCGACATACGCACACATAGATGCACACATTCATTGATACATGCCACACCATGGCACAGATACACACACTGACATAAAAACACACACCCTGACACACATATGCTCATACACAGAAGCACACATTATATATATATATATATATATATATATATATATATATATATATATATATATATATACACACACACACACACACATATACACATACATTAATGAAGAGGTTGAAGTCATTTGAATATAAAATCTAGTATACAATAGACTTTACTAATTTAATTACCTCAGAAGATACTGAAGCATAGGGAATGGACGAAGACAAGATATCTCCTAGGGTGCTACCAAAAATATATATAAATATTCACTAAACCAATAAGGAAAGGATGGAATAATAAAGTGTTAAAAATCCCCCCCTTGCAAAAAATAAAAAATACAATAAAAAATTAATATTAAGGTGAAAAAGGAGTAAAATATACACTCCAAAACAAAGATTTTTTCCAATCTCATTTGTGTATCTGAACAGAGATATGTTCAGAAAAAAGGATTTTATAAGTTTAGTGAATAAAAAAAAGGTAAAACAACAGAGTAACTGAAATGGAACGTTGGTAGCCAATCAACATCCAGCATAGTCCATATAGTGAATGATCCTCCAATATTCTCCCTCTTTCTTTGCTGCTCCAGTAGAGATAAGTATCGTATATATTCACTTATCCTACTGTTTTTCTACACATACCTTCTAGTTTGGTTATATGTTGACATATGTGTTTATTCCTTTGGAATATATACTTTTCTGAAGTAATTCTAGGTCTTCTATTGTTTTAATATATATATTAAAACAATATATATATATATTTCATGTATTCTGTCTGGAAATGAAGTCGCGGTTCGTCCGCGTTCGGTAGTTTTGTCTTTGAATTGTTAGGTCAGTATTTCTATGAATCGCATTCGTTAGTTTTTTTACACAAATTGCACCCATTTATTTTTCGTATTACTTTATTATTCACGCGTTCGCTGTTTTTTTGTATACGAACGGTCAATTCACTGTTCAGTCATTTCGGCAGTTTTATGCGAACCGTTGCAAGCGCGTTTTTCTGTCATTTAGTCCCCATACATTGATGATGTTTTATGGGCGGGAATACCAGTTAGTTGGTCCTCAGCTAACTTTCCTGCCCACTTTACCTCAGGACAGTGTTTTTCTTCACATCTTGTTACTCTTTACTGGTAATTATTATTATAATTTGAACCATTTGATTTTCCAATCAGGATTTCCCTCATAATTGGCAACATTTTATTATTTAACTATTCTACGAATAGTAGATACAATTGCTATTTGTTGCAATTTTGTAAATTATGAATCCTAAAGAGATTAGACAAATTGAATCACCAAAACCTGGTGTTTCTCATGACTGAAATCCTCACTGAGGATTCTTTACAAAATATTGTGGATTTATCCGTTCAAAAGTCAGTTTCCTCTGCAATTTATACTGCAATGTCTTCTATGCAAGAAGCAATTGCAAAGTCTGTGGCTCAAGCCATAAGTAACTCAAAACCCAGTGAGAAGACTAATTTAATTAATACTGCTTCAGACCAGTTCTGGTCATCTGTGGAGTCTGAACGGAACCTAGCTCAAGGTTTTAGGAGGTCTGGGAAGGCCACCCAGAAACGCAAACATTGCTTTGATGGTCCTGCAAAATCCCCTAGCGGCTCTAAGCCACTTAAGATAGGGAAGGACCAAGACAAGAACACAATGCGTGTCTCACGCAAAACTGAAGAGTGTAATCACTCACTCAAAAGACCATCTGCTCGTGAGGAAGATAAACGAGCTCGGAAGGCCATTCACAGGAGCAAACCTGATTCCTATAAAAACTCCTCAGATAGTGAATCATCTTCAATCTCAAGGGATGAAAAATCTGACTCTGATTCTGACTCAAATTATTCATATATCTGAGACACCTGCGCTTATCTCTAAATCTGATGATTTAGGCAAGTTGTATTTTTGAGGATTAATTTTATTATTGAACAACAACCATGTTCTCAATGAACCCAAAAAACTCATTAATATCAAAGCTGAATATTTTTCGAAGTAGTTTTTAGTTATAGCTATGTTAGGGGGATATCTGTGTGTGCAGGTGACTATTACTGTGCATAATTATTAGGCAACTTAACAAAAAACAAATATATACCCATTTCAATTATTTATTATTACCAGTGAAACCAATATAACATCTCAACATTCACAAATATACATTTCTGACATTCAAAAACAAAACAAAAAAAAAATCAGTGACCAATATAGCCACCTTTCTTTGCAAGGACACTCAAAAGCCTGCCATCCATGGATTCTGTCAGTGTTTTGATCTGTTCACCATCAACATTGCGTGCAGCAGCAACCACAGCCTCCCAGACACTGTTCAGAGAGGTGTACTGTTTTCCCTCCTTGTAAATCTCACATTTGATGATGGACCACAGGTTCTCAATGGGGTTCAGATCAGGTGAACAAGGAGGCCATGTCATTAGATTTTCTTCTTTTATACCCTTTCTTGCCAGCCACGCTGTGGAGTACTTGGACGCGTGTGATGGAGCATTGTCCTGCATGAAAATCATGTTTTTCTTGAAGGATGCAGACTTCTTCCTGTACCACTGCTTGAAGAAGGTGTCTTCCAGGAACTGGCAGTAGGACTGGGAGTTGAGCTTGACTCCATCCTCAACCCGAAAAGGCCCCACAAGCTCATCTTTGATGATACCAGCCCAAACCAGTACTCCACCTCCACCTTGCTGGCGTCTGAGTCGGACTGGAGCTCTCTGCCCTTTACCAATCCAGCCACGGGCCCATCCATCTGGCCCATCAAGACTCACTCTCATTTCATCAGTCCATAAAACCTTAGAAAAATCAGTCTTGAGATATTTCTTGGCCCAGTCTTGGCGTTTCAGCTTGTGTGTCTTGTTCAGTGGTGGTCGTCTTTCAGCCTTTCTTACCTTGGCCATGTCTCTGAGTATTGCACACCTTGTGCTTTTGGGCACTCCAGTGATGTTGCAGCTCTGAAATATGGCCAAACTGGTGGCAAGTGGCATCGTGGCAGCTGCACGCTTGACTTTTCTCAGTTCAAGGGCAGTTATTTTGCGCCTTGGTTTTTCCACACGCTTCTTGCGACCCTGTTGACTATTTTGAATGAAACACTTGATTGTTCGATGATCACGCTTCAGAAGCTTTGCAATTTTAAGAGTGCTGCATCCCTCTGCAAGATATCTCACTATTTTTTGACTTTTCTGAGCCTGTCAAGTCCTTCTTTTGACCCATTTTGCCAAAGGAAAGGAAGTTGCCTAATAATTATGCACACCTGATATAAGGTGTTGATGTCATTAGACCACACCCCTTCTCATTACAGAGATGCACATCACCTAATATGCTTAATTGGTAGTAGGCTTTCGAGCCTATACAGCTTGGAGTAAGACAACATGCATAAAGAGGATGATGTGGTCAAAATACTCATTTGCCTTATAATTCTGCACTCCCTGTATTATTTTGGATTTTAATGGTAAACCATTATTCGACCCAGACCATATTAAACACCCCAGGTCAGCCGAATGGGTCCCTATGGCTCATGTAGCCAAATATCTTGAATACTGGTTGAGGAAACCCCTTGATCAAGCAGCTAGAAATAAGAGCTGAATGCCCTAGACCGACCTTGTCAAAGAAAGTCGCACAGACCCCTGATCTAGATCCTACTATTGTGCAATTTTTAACAGAATCAGGGAAGAACCCAAATAAATGTCTTGACAGATCACTAAAATCTTGTCAAGATAAAATAATAGACATTTCTGGTCCTGTGGCTAAAATGTTTGAAACATGCGGCAGCTTCTGGGAATTGATACTTTGAAAGGCTGGACCCAACGCATTATAAGCTTTTTGGGGAATGCTAACAGCGCTGACCAGCGAATGCCGCAGGTCTATTTTAATGAAAATTGACCCTCAACTGTCAAATTTAGCCACTTCCGAACCTGGTCCAGCTGGTGAAGGTCTCCTATTTGGAGAATCCTTTATTAAAGACATTAATAAATATGTCAATCTATTTAGTTCCCTTGATAAGGCTCAGTCATCCCTGAAGAAAGTTTTCAACCCTAAGGTTTTCGGAATGGCTGGAAGAGGAAGGAACCGTTCCTTTCAGCATAGACAGGTTACAAGGAACACCTTTCAACCCACCAGGCCCTAATATGACTCCCAACAATCAACTCCTTTCTTTCCATCAAGATCAAGAGGCCATCGAGGAATGTCTGGCTTCAGATCTTCATCCGGTGAGTACGACAACCCCCCTTTCTTCCCTGGTAGGATTAGGGGGCAGACTCACTTGTTTTTTCCATGTCTGGAGTCAGATTACAAATGATTCTTGGATACTAGACACGGTTCTAGGTTACAAAATAGATTTTATATCATGCCCCGTCCAAAGAAACATGCCTTTCCCAATAAATTTTTCGACCCAAGACCATCATACAGGTGCCCATGAGCAGCCCAGGCTTCATAAGCAATTTATTCTTGGTGAAAAAGAAAGGATTCTGGTCACAGACCAGTCGTAAACTTGAAATACTTAAACAATTTTGTCAGATACCACCATTTCAAAATGGAGGGAATTTATTACCTCAAAGACCTATTGATGTTCAACTACTGGTTGATAAAAATAGATTTGAAGGATGCATACCTCACGGTACCTATCCGCCACTCATTTCAGAAATATTTACAGTTTCTATGGCAAGGGAAGAAATGGCAATTCAAATCATTGCCATTTAGTTTATCCTCTGCACCTTGGTGTTTCACCAAATTACTCAAACCAGTAAATATCCCTACTTCGAAGCAGGGGAGTAGGAATGATAGTCTATCTAGATGACATATTGATTATGTCACAGAGTGTGCAAACTCTTCAACTACATTCTCAATGGACATTGAATCTGTTAACAAGCCTTGGCTTTGTAATAAATTACGAAAAAACGATTTTAACTTCCTTTCAGGAGATAGAATTTTTAGGATTTTTAGTGAATTCCAATTTGGCCACTCAGCCTTCCATCACGGAAATTGAAAAACAATTTGAAAAGAGATCAGGTCAGTTCTAAAGAAGGAATTCATTTCCATCAGGTCTTTAACACGGATTGTAGGACTTTTATCAGCCTCGATCCAGGCTAATCGGGCTCTTCAAAGATTGAAAAGAGAACATTTACGCAACGGTCTCCTCTATTCAGACGAGATTTCTCTAACTTCAGAGACAAGAACAGAACTATCCTGGTGGTTAGATCATGTTCAAATTTGGAACGGGAAATCCATTTTCACGTTATTCCCAGACCTAACTATAGAATCCGACGCAAGTCGATTAGGCTGGGGAACCCATTGTGGAGGCAATTCCACAGGAGGCAAATGGTCTCTAGAAGAGACGAATATAAACTGCCTGGAACTCATGGCAGGGTTTTTCGCTCTACCCAGTTTTGCGAAACACAAATCCCATTGTTGTATCCTTCTCAAGATGGACAACATATCAGCAGTCCAATATATAAATCGCTTAGTAGGTACAAAATCCAAGCAACTGGCCGACATTGCCAAAGAATTATGGCATTTGTGCCTCGATCGAAACATAATGTTACGAGCAGAATACCTTCCCGGCCTTTCCAATACAGTAGCAGATTGGAATTCCCGCTTCCTACTGGATTACAGCGACTGGATGTTGGATCCCAACATCTTCCAACGACTACTTGCTTTGTGGGGTCCATTTCAATACGACCTCTTTGCATCACAGCTCAATCGCCAACTAGAAACATTTTTCAGTTGGCGTCCGGATCCAGAAGCAGTAGATCAAGATGCTTTCCTCCAATGTTGGAAAGACTGAATCAATTATGCTTATCCCCCGTTTACGATGATATCACGGGTACTTCTGAAAGTATGGTCCCAGAAATCGACCTTAGTAGTTATAACCCCTCTCTGGCCATCACAACCATCAACTACTCAGCATTCTGATAGACTACCCACGACCCATACAGATGGGTCAGGATTCTCTTTGCGATCCAGAGGGAAATTTTCATCCTCTAGTGCTGTCGGCCAACTACCCTTGATTGCATCTCATTTTGGGTCATTCGAATCTCATAGTAAATTTTCAAACACTACTAGAGACATTCTCTCAGAAGCATGGGCACCGGGAACCCATGCAAATTACAGATCAGCCTGGAAAATTTGGCTTAATTGGTGCATGGGACGGGCAGTGGATCCCATACATTCAGATTTAACAAACATTCTAAATTTTTTGGTCAGCCTCTTTTGACTCAGGGAAAGCTTATCGCACCATTAATGTCTATAGATCTGCTATCTCAGCAAATCACGACCCTATTGAATTTTTCCCTGTGGGTAAACATCCTCTAGTCTGCAGACTTATGAAGGGTATCAGATTTAAACGTCCTCCATGCTGTTGACAATCTGTCTGTTTTGTCAGAAGCACTAGGCCAGGGGTAGGCAACCTTTTAGCAGCACTGTGCCGATAAGATTGTGATGTCCCGTAGCGTGCCGGTCCTATATTTTTAAATTGAGGCGTCTATGTTGCAGTCTTCTGCTTGTGTTATTTTTACTGCAATTACTTTGTATCGTTGTATTTGTGTGTATATGAGCTATTATATTGTATATGTTCATTAGTAGTTTATGGTATTGTGTATGATACATATGAATGTGGGCTGTGTATGGGGGCTGCTTGTGTAATTGTGTGTGGATGGATATGTCACATTGTGTGTTTGTTAGTATGTGGGGGCTGTTTGGGGTATTACATGTGAGAGGCTGCATGTGGGGTTGTGTGCATGTATGTGGATTGTTAGCGGGTTACGTTTGTGCGGATTGTGTGTATGTTTGTTTGTGGGCTGTTTGTATTATTTGTATGAGGGGAGGGTTATTCTGCATTTCTGTGTATATCTAGAAGTGTGGGTGGCTTCCCTGGTACAGGTCAAAGACAGGAGCTGCAGGCTGCTCTACTGCAGATCCGAGATCACTTCCTTTACGTGCTGCAATGCATAAATTGAGGATTGTCCTTCACCATCTTTTCGTATTAGCAGATATCTGAAGTTTGAATGGGACTCCTAAGGAAACAATTCTCCCCTCCTTGCCGTTCACTTTCTCAACCACATGTAAATCTTGCTTTCCCTACCCTCCAGACTTTCTACCCAGCTACTGAACAAGAGGTGGCTGCGCTTCTCCGTTCCTCTCACCCCACCACTTGCCCGCTCGATCCTGTCCCATCTCACCTCATCAGATCTCTCTCCCCTTGTCTTGTGCCTACCCTAACACACATCTTTAACTGCTCTCTCTCTTCTGGCACCGTTCCTGCTGACCTTAAACATGCCACTGTAATACCTATCCTGAAAAAAACATCTCTTGACCCATCCTCCCTTTCTAACTATCGTCCCATATCCCTGCTCCCTTTCTCATCAAAGCTTTTGGAAAGACTTGTCTTTACCCGTGTGTCTCGCTTCCTTAATTCCAACTCTCTCCTTGACCCTCTTCAGTCTGGCTTCTGCCCTCTCCACTCTACTGAGACTGCTCTTATCAAAGTGACTAATGACCTAATCTCCGCTAAATCCAAAGGTCACTACTCCATATTAATTCTCCTTGACCTCTCTGCTGCCTTTGACACCGTTGATCATGCTCTCCTCCTTCAAACTCTTCAATCGCTCGGTCTCTGTGACTCTGTCCTCTCTTGGTTTTCCTCCTATCTCTCCCAACGCTCATTCAGTGTCTCCTTTTCCAAGGATACCTCCTCCCCTCGTCCTGTCTCGGTTGGAGTTCCCCAAGGGTCTGTCCTTGGTCCCCTCCTATTTTCTCTTTATACTGCCTCTCTTGGTAAACTTATTGCCTCTTTTGGATTCCACTACCACCTGTATGCTGATGACACTCAGATATACCTCTCCTCCCCGGACCTCTCCCCTGCCGTCCTGCAACGTGTCACTGCTTGCCTTTCTTCCATCTCTGACTGGATGTCCTCACGCTTTCTGAAACTTAACCTCTCTAAAACTGAACTCCTTGTCTTTCCTCCTCCTAATACTGATCCTCCTCTCTCACTCTCCCTTCAACTCAATGATATCCTCATAAGTCCATCCCTGCAAGCGCGCTGTCTTGGCGTCATACTTGACTCTGGTCTCACCTTTGAGCCTCACATCCAGTTTGTTGCCAAGTCCTGTAGGTTCCAACTCAAAAACATAGCCCGCATTCGCCCCTTTCTTACGCAAGATGCTACCAAGGAACTTGTCCATGCTCTAGTAAATTCCCGCATGGATTACTGTAACCCTCTCCTGATTGGTCTCCCCAAAAGCCGTATTGCCCCGCTACAGTCTGTCATGAATGCTGCAGCTAGACTGATCTTCCTCTCTAGTCTGTCCTCTCACACATCACCCCTCTGCCGATCCTTACATTGGCTCACTGTATGCTATAGGAGTCAATTCAAAGTGCTAACCCACACATTTAAAGCACTGAACAATTCTAGCCCCGCTTATATCTCTTCACTGATCCATAGATATGCCCCTCCTCGTACCCTCCGCTCTGCCCGTGACCACCTCCTGACCGCTGCTCGCACCGGTACGGCCAACTCGCGCTTGCAGGACCTCTCGCGGGTGGCTCCTCTCCTATGGAATAGCTTGCCTACTGCCATCAGACTCTCCCCTAGTCTTCAATCATTTAAGAAGGGCCTTAATCTCTACCTTACATACCTGTCTCCTGCTCTCTCCTATGGGACAGTGCTTTGCTCTCTCCTCCAGCTCTGCTTCACTCCTACTTGATATTTCTTGTCCTAATGTTTCCAATACCCCACCTCCTATAGTCTGTAAGCTCATTTGAGCAGGGTCCTCTTCAACCTATTGTTCCTGTAAGTTTTCTTGTAATTGTCCTATTTATTGTTACATCCCCCCCTCTCAAAATATTGTAAAGCGCTACGGAATCTGTTGGCGCTATATAAATGATAATAATAATAATACTAGATTTTATATTGAAATCATAATAAAAGTAAATTTTTAATTTCCAACTAGGACTTCAACCTCTTTATTAATAATTATAAATTGGGTAAATGCCTTGTCCTCCTAGGACCCACTATATTCCTCCCATTCTCTACTATTTCACACTCACACTCACCTCACACACATACACATGCCCAAAATTTAGTAGGCCTAAAATCTCCATGTGGCATATACAAGTACAGGTATCTGTTAGTTACGTGTAGCTAAGATACTGTCATCAATGAACTGAGCATGTGCTGGATTTGAAAAACCATATTCCATTCTCCTCAAGTGCCATACTGCCTATCTATATAAGGTAATGCTGTAAATACTGTTTGCTGCCAGGTGTAAGGGTGGGCGATGAATAACTATAAAAAGTCTGTACTCCATGTGCTCAGACATTTTGAACATGAGTTCAGATGAGACCTGATCGGTGAGAATAAAGACCTTTGCTTCCTGAACTGACCTGTGTCCGGACTCTCCGTGCGTTGCTTCTTCAGAGTTCCCCTATAACACCTGTTCCCTTCAGCTTACCTTATGTGCCAGGAGGGTGGCTTGGAGCCCTGCTGCTGTGGGATTAAGGGATCTGGCACTCTTCATGCTCCTCTCCCCTCATGCTGCAGCTGCCTCCGACATTACAGGGGCCGTATTAAAGGACCATGGCACCCGACCGGACCCCTGTTCAGTAGTAATGTTTCCCTGGTGCTATATTCATAGCACCAGGGAAACATTCCACGGCACCACAGGGAATTGAGATGGTAATTTTAAACCTTGAGAAAATTCTTCCATATAGCTGCACTATTTCGACCTAAAGTCGGTATATATATGCCAAGCAGTCATCCACCCAGTTTCATCACATCCCCGACTCACCTTCCGACCAGGGAACAGGAATTCATGCCAGTCATCTGGAACTGTTTGCTGGATCTGAAGTAAGCAATGGCTGGCTAGATCTTTAAATTGGTGGTGATCGGACACCAGGCAGCCTACCTGGGTGCTAATCGGACTGAAGGACAGGGAGGTGAGAAGGCATCTGAGAGTGCCCAGGACTTTATGGCACTCCTGTCACCAGAGCTCTAGGAACCCCTTTTTCAAAATTGGGACCAAGTAGCCACACGCATGGAACGGCGAAGGGCTGGGACCTGTTCAAACTTTAAAAGGTTGTCACTAGGGCTGGGTGCCTCTGATCTGAGCACTTAAACTGTGCATGGTTGAGGTTACGAGCTATCTGGAGATCTATAATGTCATGAGGCTTACACCTTGGGAAAATGTCTTTTAAAGGGTTTGAACACCCTGGCCCCCCCATCTGGTGAAAACAACTAGAGGATAATGTCATGAACCTGAGCTGAACTAATTAACTGTTAGCAGCCCATACTTACTGTGTGTCACTCTTACTGTTCAAATACAAATTATGTTTATAAATATGTACAAGCTGTTCCAATAAGGTGTACTTGTTGTACCCACACTATGTCTTGACTAGTGTATGGGGTGAAGGGCTATACTCTCACTACATTACTATAGGGCTAGAAGGCACCTGCCTTAAGAACCTAAGCTCTGCAACAAGACCCTGAATCTTCTAAATAGCTCAACACTGAACTTATTAAGCTTAGCTAGGACGACTCTAGTCTAGTGGTAGGTTTAATTGAACTTCTGTACAGGAGTATTGTAGCGTAAGACAGCAGTTTTCAATTGAACAATCATATCAAAGAGATAGAGCTGATTGCTGACCTAACCACCTTGTATGGTACAGGCAGGTCAGGAATTTTGAGGAGGTGGTTAAATGATCTCTAAAAAGGCACCTAGACCACCTCATCTCAAGCAAGTAGTCTGGATGCAGCAGCCCTTTAGTTTTACACCTGAAATCTAAAACATTGCATTGAGACTATATGGCAAAGCTGTAATTGCAGGGTTAAACACCCTTGTATTGGCAGTTTTCTTGATAGCCACTACAGGTGCTTCTGCTTTAATGACCTTTGACGTCATTAACTGCAGCTCATTTGATTGGACGTGTACATGGTGCTCACCGCACACAAACATATTCTCCCCAGTGCTTCTCTATGAGAAGCATTGGATTGGAGGTCATTGAGGAAGCAAAACGCCTCCAGGATGACGTTGCAGGAGGAGGAGCGGGTGTCGACGCTGGGAAAAAAAGTAAATTAAAAGCTTACCCCCCCTCTATATTTTACATTTCAAAAGGACACTATAGCAGTACAAATACATGAACATTCCCCATAGAGATGCATTGACTCAACAGATCTCTAAGGAGAAATGCGGAGTGGTCTCAGCAAGGTGATTGCTGCGCATGCACACTTGCCCTAAATGCTTCCCTTTTGGATTGGTTGACATAAATAGTAATGAGGACATGAGCCAACAGGGGTGTTGCGGTCGAATTAAGATCGGTGCATCTGAGGAGTAAAAAGGTGGGTTTTTTGTTTTGTTTTTTTAATACACCCACGGGGTTCAAGATAATCTAAATAGTTATTATAAAGCTTTAGAGTTCGGAATACATGTTTTTTTGCTGTACAGAGAGTTCAGTGTGTGCACTCTTGAGAAAAGAAAGTGAAAGGGAAAAAAAATCCAGAAAAACAGACTAGGTTGGTAAAGGAACACTATCGCATTCGGTTAAACACACAGGTTATTTTTAACCTGCAATGTAAACATTGGCATTTCTATAAAACTATTTAAAAAAAATAAAAATACAAAAAAAAAAAATTATTTTATTTTATAAACTCCAGAGTTAAAAGCACAGGACCACTGCTCCCATACAACTTCATTGAGATGACTTGACTGTAGTGGTCCCTTAGTAATTGAAACAATTGCATGAACATACAAAACGGTAGTTAAAAGGAACACTTTAGTGCTGTATTCCTAACATTAAAGTGTCCCTCAGCCCATGCATCCCCCACGGCCACGAAATGGTAAAAAATCGCAACAACTTTTACTTACCCAATCCCACGCCATGTGTGCATTAGGCCTTCCCCATAGTAAAGTATTGCCTCAATGCCTTTCTATGGGGATTTAGAAGATGCTGGACCAAGCATGTCAAGCCTGCGGTCTACAGTGAATATATTTGCGGCCCGCCTGCCCTGGGGCCGCTTTATACTGTGGCTGCGACCAGCCACAAGACAGGCGCCCTACCACGGTTGATCGCGTGCTTTGGGGTCATAAGGCCGCTAAGCATTAGTCCACACCGGTTGCTGCAATGCACAGAGTGGCTGGCAGTCAGAAAAACGGGCCACCTACTCCCCTTCCCTCCTCCTCGCAGTGTCAGTGGACTGTCTAGCCTGCTTGAGCAGAGAAGAGCTGGAACTGGAGGACTGACGGCTTATCTTAAGGTAGGGGAAGAGACGCTTAGGGGACCTTCCTGTGTACGGTGCTGAATAGGGGACAGGGGTGCAGTGTATTAAATGGACACTCCAGTGCCAGAAAAACAAATCCTCTTAAGTGACTTACCTGAGACCACCGCCGATGTCCTTCGGTGGTGGTTTAGGGTCTGCCCACGCTCCTCCCCCACCAACGTCAGCCGGCGGGGGAGACTGAATGCGCATGCGCGGCCACCAGGATGAGACCTAATGCGCATGTGCGGCAATGCCGCGCACGCGCATTAGACCTCCCCATAGGAAATCATTGAAAATGCTTTCAGTGCTTTCTTATGGGGATTTTAGAGATGCTGGAGGTCCTCACATAGCGTGAGGACGTCCAGCGACGCTCTAGCACAGAAAACCTGTGCTAGAAACCAGGAAGTGCCCTCTAGTGGCTGTCTAGTAGACAGCCACTAGAGGAGGAGTTAACCCTGCAAGGTAATTATTGCCGTTTATAAAAACGGCAATAATTACACTTGCAGGGTTAAAAGTAGTGGGAGTTGGCACCCAGACCACTCCAATGGGCAGAAGTAGGTGCCTAGAGTGTCCCTTTAAATTGGGGAAGGTAGCAGTATATTAATTTGGAGGAGGACAGTATACTAGAGTGGTGGGAAGGGGGCAGTGTATTATTACATTAGAATGGTGGGAGTGGGTGCAGTGTATTAGATTGGAGTAAGTGTGTAAGAGTGGATGGAGGGGGTGTTCTATCAGTCTGGTATACTCCGTCAGATTGCTATACCCACGTCACTTCCGGGGAGGGGAATCAGCTGTCTCCTGTGCTGCACATGCGTGCTAGCACTCCTGCTACTCCTCCACAGCAAGGTCCTGGAAGGTAAGTAAAACTAGTTTTACACTTTCATTATAGTTAGTGCATTCACTAAGCTTAGGCACACGGGACATTTAGGGTTAAGTGAGGGTACAAATTAGGGTTAGGTAAGTGATTCTAACCTCTCTCACACTCTATTCTTACCCTAACCCTTGGGGTAAGGGTTAAAATAAAGTGTGAGAAATCACTATTTAGTGATATTCCCCTAATGTGAAATATCACTAAATAGGAACAAGTCCCTAATCCTAACCCTAATTTGAACCCTAACATTAACCCTAAATGTCCCATGTCCTAAGCTTAGTGAATGCACTAACTATAATGAAAGTGTAAAACTAGTTTTACTTACCTTCCAGGACCTTGCTGTGGAGGAGTAGCAGGAGTGCTAGCACGTATAGCAATCTGACGGGGTATACCAAACTGATAGAACAGGGGCAGTGTATTAGATTTGTGAGCACTGAATGCTCCCCATGGAGATGTTGATTGGCTGCGCAGCTTTTTGCCACACATGCACAATAGCCTCCCAATACTTTCCTAAATTGAAGCTAATTATCAGCTCCATACAGTGTAAGTGCATTTCTTCACTCAAATTACATTCTACACTATATCTCCCTCCTTGTCCTTTCTTCTCATTGCATATTGGCCTGTATCTGAGGATTTTCCCAAAGCGCTACTTCCTCCTTCTTGCATATAACTTACTCAGGAACGGAAAGGAGAGACTCTAGATTCGGTTGTTCGAGCTGCTTCTCTTATCGCACAACAAGCGCTAGAAGAATCTTATGCCTTGTTACCTTTACAGTTGTTTTGGTAACTATAATGCTCCTCTAAATTTAACCCCCCACAGTGCTACATAAATGAATATGGTACTGCGGGCATACAGACAAGTTGGTAATGTCACTGTGAACTCAGAAGTGTTGCAGAGGAGGTTTGTTTTGTGTTTTAACATACCTCTTCTGCTTTACTTACCCCAGTAAGCTTCAATACAGTTTACTGGAGAGAGGGAATGAGGAAGTTCTTATTTCAGAAAAAGTAAATATATAACTAAAAACAACAACAACAAAAAAACAGGGAAGTTGAGTGGAACATCATAAATTAAATATCAGAGGGATTTTTTTTTTCCTTTTAAACATTAAATATTGAAATGAGGGTTCCTCTTCCATGAAATCTTAACACACAAAAACATCTGTATTAGGTCATTTAAAGTAACAACCATGTTTAGAGGGCAATGCTTGCAATGCCATCATAAAGTTAAAAAAAATAAATAAACTGCAGGACCTCACAAACAAGTGACCACAATCTAAAAAAGAAAAAAGTTTAAATCAAGTTTCTCCCAGAATTTTTTTTTTTTTTTTATATGAAATTATTCTTTCATTCATTGCAGACATTCTCATGCAGTTCTAGTTGGTATGCCATGCTCAAGAGCCTTACCTGTTTGGTGTTTTGACAGTAACTGGTGAAGATATTGGAGGAAGGACAGGTGGTAAGTTCAGCTGAACTCCAGACCAAGAGATGTGGCACCCACAGTAATATTTCAAGTAATTGTAGCACCCTGTGGCTGCTGCCACCCCACTGCTTCCCACAACTGAAATTTGGCCACTTGGCAGTGAACTCAGCTGGTAGGTGTCCAGTCCATCAGCAGCCAAGTAGCTGTTCACCTTCACAACAAATCCATTAGCCCTGTCCCCGATCAAACGTTTCAGCAGATCAGTCACTGCTTGAGCCTGCACAGCATCACTTTTCTGTGGCTTTAAATGGGACAAGGTTTGGAATGTCTGTGCTGGACAAACGACCCCAAAAGAAGCATGAAGTATACAGATTGCCACCAAAATCTTCATTGTGGAATTTCTGCAAAGAGATCTTCTCTAGAACCTGGTACTGGCTGCTGCAATCACCAATATCAATCTTCTGTAAACATCTTAATATTCGGTGAAAATAAAAATAAAAATATGACTTTAAGGGATACAAAGTATCTTGTTCTGTATATCTTTCTGACCAGTGGAGCAGAGTTAGCACACCCCAAAAAACATGCAGGGTTACAAAAGAATCTTTTTTGAAAAGCGCAAGTTTCAGAGGTTTCTGTGCATTTTTGACACAATCACAGCAGTCCGGACTCTAGAACTGATGTAGGTCACGTTAACAGGATTTACATATACTTTTTGACTTCCTGATTGCTATGAAATACAATCTCGACTCTTATTGGTGGGCCGGGCTGTCATTTAAATGTAATGTTAGCTGATACATTGTGCTCTAGATCTGATTGGCTGTTGCTGCCCGTGCATGAAAGGGCGTTTGAAAAATAAGTCTAGTCAGTTGAATTTTTGAGCACAGTATTTATTTGTTTCTTTTTGGTTTTCTTTTTAAGTAAAATTCTAGAAGAAATATCTGAAAGTGGAGCATTGACCTCCTTGATGATTGTTTTGTATTTTTCTGTATTTTTTTTTTTTTTAAATCGTGCTCTTAAAAAAAAAAGTTACAAAAATATCTATGTGCATATAACCAATTGTACTATCAAATAAAAATGTTGTGGAATGTTTATAACAAGCCTGGGATTTGATCATGCACTATTTAAAATGCACTTTTTATTTTTAAATAAGGGAGGCTTCCACCTTCCCTCTACTTCATTTCTTTCATTTAACCCTCTGAGTGCCAGAAAACTTTCTAATAACAAGGGTTGGTTTAACCCCTTTAAGGACACATGACATGTGTGACATGTCTTGATTCCCTTTTATTTCAGAAGTTTGGTCCTTAAGGGGAGGAAGTTCTCACTTTTTTTTAACCAGAGGATCAGCTTAAAACCAAACCAGCAGACTTGTGCTCAGCAAGAAATGTAAGTTCTGCTGAATTATTTATTTCTGAAGACAGAAATTGTCCAATCAGTAATTCGGGTACAATTTCCGGATTTGTTGCGGAATTCAGCAGATCACCTGATTGGCCCAATTCGAAAAAATTGCAGAAACCGCACATGCACATCAATCCACTCGCCTTCTTAATTTTATATAAAAATACAGGCTATGAATTGCATTGATGTATGTTAACCATGCTGAAAGGACTAGTTTATAAAAATGATAAAATTACAAACATATGTTCGTTTTGTTCTTTGAGGTAGCAGCCCACAATCAGCTCTATACCAGTGGCCTTAGGAGAAATTGCCATCCTGCTTTCCCTCCCATTCCCCACTGCACTCTCTTTTAAGGAACACGAAAAGCATCCAGACTTAATTTAAAGGGATACTGCAATGCTAAGAATTCAAATCTGTATTCATAGCACTATATTTCCCTCCAGAGGCGTGAGCACGTGGTGTGCCGGGTGTGCCTGGGCATTCCCTAATGCCTGCGGCCTGCGCTATGTGCCTCCCTGGGCCGGTGAGGGAGATCAAAGATTTCCCTCACCGGCCCACGGGCAGGAGAGGACCCGGGGAGCTCTAGCCAGCAGTCCAGCTGGGTTCCTCTCATGAGATCGGAGCTCAGATCTCGCGAAAGTGAATTCTAGCCCCGCAGGTTCACTTACCACTGGACCACCAGGGATGGCAGCAGCATGGTCCCCCCTCCCTACAAAAAATAAGAAGGGAGGAGGGCTATTTCCTAAACGGTCCCACCCACCCCCATAGTCCCTCCAAACAAATACACACATACAGCACCCTCACACACACATCAACAGCACCCTCACACACACACATCACCCTTACACACACGCACACACAGCACCCTCACACATACAGCCCCCTTTAACACACACAGCGACCACGTGTGTGTGTGTATATATATATATACGCGGTGTATGTGTGTTTGTGCTTTAGGGTGCACACCCTTATGCCATAGACTGCGCATGCCTATGCTTCCCTCATCTCCCCCCCTCAGCAGAGTAAAGGTTAATAAACCCTTACTCTACTTACCTGATCCCAGCACTAATGTCCCTCGCACTGGGTCAGCCACCCGCCTCCTCACCTGACGTCACTCCCATCTCCCCTAACACTATAGCCTGTCTACCCCAAAACACACAAGAGCCCCCATGTCCCCAAGTAAATGGCCAGGAATGATAAATAGTTAAAATATAACAAACATAATAACCCCTATCCCTCCACAAACACACTACAGCCCCTATTCATCTGCACAAACACATACCACACTGCAAACAGCCTCATCCACACAAATGCAACCCCACAATCATCCTTTCACCCACACCTGAAACAACCGAACAAGCAGACTACCCCCATCCACACAAACCCAAAGCAGCCTCCTCACAAACATGAACCACCACAAGCAGCCTCCACAAACAACCCCACAAGTGGCATAGAAACACATAAATTGCCACATGCAGGTTCCAGACTCACATTTACACATATGCACATAACACTATGTCCCAGCTTTGTCCTAAATGTGTCCTCTGAAACACTTCCTCCCAATCGTCCTGAATTCTGTGGGACAGTCACAATTTTTATGTCCTCTCCTACCGTCCCACCTAAGAGGCTGAGTTAATGGCATGATCACTTGACTGGCTCACCCACTTTACCTTCCTTTCACTGGCGTCCCGACATGCACGACGCTGGAGTTGGAAGGAATGGACACAGGTCACCAGCAAACACAAAACAAGCGAATCATTTTATTCACTGGCACAATGTGAAAATTTTCCCTATGCAACAGCTCTGTAATTAAACTTGGAGTTCGTGACTTTGGTGAGCACAACGTGCCCCTCTCTGTCCCCACCCCTCCTATTGGGCTGTACCAAAAATGGGAAACTATTGACAAATGTTGTGAACTGATAGAAAATCAGGGTTGAAGGCAGTGAATTGAGGAATAGACATAAGAACAATATATCAAGGAAATATGGCCAGATATGATGAATTTAAACATATTCTGACAATTATTCCAATGACAGTGAATGAGAGGAATTTTGCTGGGTATGATGATCAGGGCATGTTGCTGGGACAATAAATTAGGTGACTATGAGTTTGGGTGATAAATTGAGTGGATATGGTAAGCGGATTATTTTAAGACATGGGAATGTAAAGGTGGGGCTGTGCTAGGAATGTGGAACAAGGGGGCTATATTCTGTTTTTCAACTGTGTTTTTTAATAGAAACTAAAATATCCTGTGGGGAGACAATGGATACCATCTGGGCATGCAGAGGTGTAATGAAATATATAGAGTAGAGGAGTAGTGGAAGAAGATATTCAGATGTGGGAATGGGTTGGAAAGGAAATTAAATATGACTTGGCCTCGGTAGGTAGGGGTTTTATAAACAGAGCATAGCCAGGACAGTATGGAGTCCCAACTCACAAATATAGGACAGAGCAAAGAACAATATGTATTACCAGTTTTTAGAGATGGCCAGGCTTAACATACTATAACGAAAGAATAGTCAAAGAGCAAGCAGAGTTCAATGGGATACAGAATAGAGACTATACGAGTAAACAATCCAAAATCAGGGTAACAGAATCAGAATAGTGAAAAGAAGCCAAAAAAAACTGAAAATCAGAAAATAATAAGAAAGCACTCTGGGGCTATTAGAAACATTGAAAAAACACAGTTCCAATAGTGGTCTGAGATTATTATTAGGCCTAGAGTCTGATGTCATCAGAGTGGGTCCAGAATGTTCTAGATGGGTGTTACAAAAGTTATATCATATTTGCAACAGTTTGACTACATAAGGAACTATGGCCATAGCGAGATATGTTACATTTGATAATGGAAACACATACAGTGGCATGACTCTGGTGCAGGGTCGATTAACCACCACTCACATAACTTTTGCTGCAGGAATGATTAGCGGAAGGTAGCCTGGCAGCCAGGGGCGGACTGACCACTAGGGCACATCGGTCATTTACCGAGGGCCCGAGACAGCCAGGGGCCCGACCGCACAGCCATGCTTCAGCTGGAGAGATCAGAGATCTCTCCAACTGGAACGGCAAAAAATATAAAAAAAGATCTTTTCCTTTAATAGGTTGAGGGGATCCTGGTGGAGCGCAGGGCCCCAGCAACCTACCGCTCTGCACATTAACCCTCCCCCCATCCTCAAATGACACCTGGCAGCTTCACCTGCTCTCTGCCAGGTCTCCTTTTTCCTGTCCCACACGGCGCTCTGTGTGATGGGGAGAGGCAGGGCTATGAAGTGGCATTACTTTATGTACTCTCCTCTCACACAGACCTCTCACAGCCAGACCTCTCACACATATGCATTCACACTGACACTATGTACAAAAAAGCACATGTTGTCATCCGGACATGCACAAGTGCATTCACACAGACTCAAATACAAACATGCATTGCTACACAGGTCTTCACAATATCCACATCCAAAGGAATGCCATATTATATGAGAGTTATATTTAACCTTTATTTAGTGCACATATATTTGGCCTTCAAGGGGCCTGGGATCTAATTTTGGCCGGGGGCCCCAATGGCTCTCAGTCCACCCTTGCTGACAGCAGAGTTCTCTGGGGCATTTGGTCGATGGACGCAGGCAGGAAATGTCTAGGGCCAGCCCTGTATATATATTCATACATGTGTGTTAATATATACTTTGCACCTTTTCAGTTATTTGTGGGCTTTTAGACATTAATATTTGCTAAACTTATTTGATTTGCTGTATTAAAAATTTTAAAAACACAACTGGCCTGAAAGGTATCTAAACTAAAAAAAATACCCAGCCTGCAATGTATTTCACTAGATATTATTCTAGTGCTTAAATAGTTAAAAATTCTCCTGCTCTTTCCATTAAAATGTTTCCCCCCCCAGGCTGGATAACTGTGTTTCCTAAGAAATCTTTACTACACTCTGGGATACTTCAAAGGCCATCAAAAGGACTGACTTTGAGCTAAATCTGCTTTATGTTAAGAAAGTGTAAAAGGTTGGTGTTTTTTAGCCTTTTTTTTTTTTTTTTAAATGCCTTTACCCCCTCTGAAAGCAAACTGCAGCTTCCCAATGTTCTAGCAGATGTCATGAAGTAAGACTTTCCATCCATCAAACATATATATAGGGTGGCCGTAAGTCCCTACCCATCCATATATCATATGTATCCAGTGTATCCAGGGCTGGATTAACATAGGGGCTGATGGAGCTGCAGCTCCAGGCCCAGGCCCATGGAATAGGCCCATTAAAATATTTTTTTGTAAAAATGTATTTATTATTATTTATTTTTTTACACACTT